ACTTATTTGTTATAGATCGTATACAGTAGATATATAATTTATTATTGTATAGCTGCTCTCGAAAAAACAAAAGCGCTGAATAGCTGTCAATTACAAGTAACAATTAGCTGTAATTTCAACTTGTAACTGACAATTGAAAATAAAATATATTTTTGCGATATTCTTTGCACGCTTTCCTACAAAACATAGAATTCCAGATATAAAGGAAAACAGAAGGCATTAATATACAAGGGTTGACCCCTATGCTGAGCCCACTGACCCCTTAGCTTTGAAATTGTATATCTCGAAAATTAAGATCATTTAAAAAAAAATTAACTGATGAGAGTACAACATAAATTAAATAAAGCTTGATTGCAAATGGGTTCAGGACACAGCATGGCGATCAGCCCCCTCAATATTTATGGAACCACGTTGTACGTTTCAACAAAAAATCTGAACCATAAAAAAGTAACAACCAACCAAAATAAAAGGAGTTTCGAGAGCTGTAACGTTACATCTGTACATCATGTAATATAGTTGTTTCTATGAGCTTCTTCTTCTCAATTCTATGTTATAGTAATGTCACTATAGCATTTGACATCTGGATTAAATAAGCCTTGGGATTTTTTACGCATGTTTTTCCATGAGTCATTGATCATGTGCAAAACATATTGTTATGGTACTCGTATGTATAATACTAATTAAAAACTATATTTTGATATTCGGATATTTATATCAATTATTATATTTACAACGTCATCCGCATTGGGTCTCTAGTGGAACTACTAATTTCTGTTGAACTGTCTCACTAATTAGTTTCAATTTATTTATACTAGCTAAAATTTCGGGTGATGACATTGATGTTTGGACACTGTATTTATAGTTGAATATTTCAAATGGAATAGGGTAACCGGTGGTACCTCATTTTGAAGCTACTCATCCATAGTCACCCACAGGAGGGGCCACGGGGGCCGATGCCCCCACTGGGAGTTCGGTTGGACTTAAGAATTTGTATAGGTAGTATGGAAGGAGATTGAATTGTAAAAAACCAATTAATTCAAGTTATGAATTCTTGGGATCCTGTCAACAACAGTCTTAGGGCCATATCGACAGTCCTTCCTACAATTGTAGGACACCTTTATCGCCTCCTTGATTTTCATAGTCTTTCTCCTCTTCTTCAGAAAGGCTAGGGTGTTTCAAATTTTCTACTGTTCCAAATCAGCGTCAGCGCTCTCCTAATTAAGTTTTCTTTTTGAATTGTAGAAAATGTCAGACTGATACAACAAGTGATAAAAATCAAAAGCATAAACAATTTGATGCAAATAGATATTTGTAACATAACCTCAAACGCCTTTCTGAAGGACAGGAAATACTATGAAAATTAAGGAGGCCATAAAGGCGTCCTACAATAATTGTAGGAACGACTGACGATACTGTTCCTATACCCTATTTCACAAGTATCTATCACGGTATAATAGCTGATTATCAAAATTCCCGATATCGGTACAGGAGACATAATTCTGACGGATCCGTCAACGTCAGGTAGTCAAAAACGTAAATTGTTTTGGTTTTTGGTACGCTACAGATTCATTATGTACTTGCTAACAGCTCTTTTCTTTAGAAAAGTTCATTTGCATATAAAAAAAACAGTTTTATTAGATTTACACCCGATTCATTATTGCCAACGTCAAGGAGTAACACAAAAATGTCACGTGCTGATCAGCTGTTCACCTCAGTGGATGTCAAAGCGAGATGGATACTCGTGAAATAGGGTATACATGTTTTCGAGGTTATATTTCATGAAGAGTAGAGTATTATGAGCCTTTCAAGATTGTCGAATAACTTGGGATAAGGGAAAAAGTCATTAATGGCCAATTACGCCACAGAAAACAAAATTACATACCTCTTGTAGCACGAAATCAGTCAGCGGATCCATCCACGAAAAAGTACATACAATGCACAAAACATGTACAAAAATCACCACTCACAATATTCACGAAAAAACATGTACGATGAACAGAAAAATCAAAAATCGCCGTCCACCATTACACCGAAATTCTTTACGCGTAATATCGAACCCAAAACGTAAACAGGAAAGATTAAATGTCAAACTCTGAAACTCCTAAAAAAGTCACAGCCTACTAGAAATAATTCCGCGAATTATTCGACAGCATATTGTCATGGCCTACTATTATATTGAAATATATTAGGGAATTTAGAGAATCTGATAATGCTGTATACAGTGTTGAGCGTATTTACGTATGCGTTGTTAATAAAATTGAAATGAAGGAAGATGAATAATAGGGAATAAAGTGATAAAACTTCATTTATATAATTTATATGGTTTACAAACTGCAAATATAGCAAAAATTTATAATTCTATTCTAGCAGCGATAATATTAAATAATTAAATGATTGACAATGTAAGATTATTTATGTTTTGTAACGTTTACATGCGGTTGATTTAGGTTAACTTTGTGGCCGCGTAATGTCAGTAACCGACGGCAATAGACCGATTTTTATTAAAATTGGGAAATTGGGGAGCAATGTGCTTTCGAGACGTAGTGAATATCACTGTATTTTTGGAAAAGACCAAACGCGATTCCAGGAGACTAACCAGCTCCAAATATTGAGTATTTTTTCGAGCTCCGTTTCTTGACTTTTAGATAATGATATTTGTTAGGGGGTCAAAAATATTGACATACCAACTGTCGTCGCGTAAACAAGGCAACTATTATGATCGCAAAGGAACAAAAAATAATAAATTGGTTATACACCCAAGTTACGTTTCAAAATCAAAATTCATTCAAGGGCAGGGCAAAATATTCCATTTAAAAAAATTGCGCCATCTTGAAAATATCAACCTCTTAAGCTAACTGTTGCGTCTCCTCTAATTTTAGCTCGCTTAACCTATTCAAAAAATAAATTAGGGGGGATGTTTTTGAAACGCACTGTTTAATAACTAGCAAAAACGCTGTATCCACACATAAAGTGAAACATACCCAAAACTTGATTTTCGGTGCTGTAAGTCGTCTAAACAATAATAATTTTGTTAGTCACTACTACTTGACTGCACAATTTGAAATTATTTATAAAGGCCACCCACATTTCTTTTGTAAATTGGTATAACTTTAGACAAGATCAAAACTTTTCGTTTGACACACTATTATAGGCTAGATTAAATTACTTTTGAACTAACAGAATGATCGGTGTTATTATGTTTTTCTACAAAAATAACTCTGATACTGTAACAATATGTATTTGAATTGTTTTCCCCGCCGCATGTCAAATGCTATACTTCCGTGGCACGTCTTTCTCTGTGATTTTGAAATTAACTGACAATACACGTTCGACATATAAGCAGAATGTGCAATTCACAAATATAAAAAAAAACTGAAAAAATACTACATGTAGTAGAGACTATTTTATATGTAATATATTTATATGTATCTTCTACTTACTGTTAAAGTGAATAAACATTAATAAACATGGCGAGCATCGAGAAAAACTTTTTTGTACAAACTGTGATTTATTTTATTTTATCTTTTTATCGCTCCTTGATCGGTACATCAAACGGAGGTTTGATTTGGTATGGACAGGATTTGTTGCGCTTCTAGTATTCAGTCGTTTGTCTGCATTCGATGAGAGGAGACTCGTCGCACCGAACCTAACCCAACAACAAACGCCAACGTCACATTCGTTTGCTCGGCATTGGATTTTTGGTCTGTACGCGGCTTAAGGTAAGTATAGCCTCTCTTACCCCTATAGATCACGTCAACTAGCCAAAAGCGGATCCTGTTCTAGAAAAAGATGTCTAGACGCACTTTACGACGGAATTATATTCTTCAGAGTAAATGATAATGTCTTCCGTCTTGGGATACAAAAAAGTTTGCTGGGTAACTTTTTAAAACGTCAAAGCTGACTCCTGCCATTGTACTGAAGAGCTTGCTCCAGTTCTTTCGCGTCTCTTCCAGATATCTTATGAATCCAGAAAACTGGAAATGTGCTCATGTCCAACCAATCCCAAAAAAAGGATCTAAGACCGACCCCTACAGCTACATGCATATATCTCTGCTTTCTGTTATAAGTAAGGTGATGGAGAGGTGCATAAATCGCGAGCAGTTTATGGTGATGCTCATGTCGTTGCTCTTGACATCACGAAAACGTTCGATCAGCTGTGGCACGCTGCCCTCTTAAGCAAAGTTCCATCTTATGACCTCCCAGAAAAGCTTTGCAGATGGGTGGCTGGCTTTATTTGATATCCGTCGTAATTGACGGGTTCTCCTTTTCATCCCACAACGTCAACTTTTCTCCGCATGACCTTCTCACTCTATACAAGGCCCAGATAAGGTCTAGCCTCGAGTATTGCTCGGGACCCTTTCGCACCGGCGATCTAGCTCTCATTTACCGCTACACCAACGGGCTTTGCTCCTCAGAGCTCTCTTCCATGATGCCGCCGCGCAATGTGCCTGCCAGACAGACCCGCCTGACTTTGGCATCGCATCCTAACCGTGTCGAACTCCGTACATCCAGAACTGGCCGATACGACCGCTCCTTTGTCCCGAGGATGTCGAGATTGTGGAAAAATCTACAAGAGGAGGCGTTTCCCAGTTCTACTTAACTCAGGTACTTCAAAAATTGGATTAACAAAATTTCTTTGGGATCATCATAAGAGCCGCGCAGTCCCCTATATTCAACAACCTATAAAGTATTGATCTCATTGATCTCCAGTCACTTTTTATAGAGTGAACAGACCTTTAAAATAATGCATAAAGGCCATAAAGTAGCATTTTAAATGTTTTTTGGTAGCATGTTTTAGTCAAAACAATATCAAATTAAAAAACTGCAAATTTCAAGATCATCCGTACCTCAATCATTTCTCCAGTACGTTACGGCAGTTTTTTAAATTTTTATCCTAGTAATAAAAACGCACTATTTCAACTTTATAGCTGTTGTACTGTTGTATCTAGGGCTGCATTAACCAATATGAAAGATGATATTGGGTATGAAAAACAATAGTATACTTTTAACTATTTATTGTTAATAACATATTACAATAATTAATGAATGCATTTACAAAAATTTGTACTAACAATTACACGAATTCAAAAAATTCAAAGAGACAACTGAAACGATGATTCATATCACATAGATATCAGTTATTTACATGTCAAACGGCATCTTCAATCTAAACGGGAATCATATTTACAACGAGAACAAAGGAAGACTAATCAGGCTTGTAAATCGGTATTTTTGGTAGAAATTCGATTAAAATTACATATTCCATCATCGATGAAGAATCACAGTGTTGCTTACTCAATCTCCAATGCAAGCCCAACTTGTTGTATAAATAACTATTCTCCCACTCTAATAGCTTATTCAAGGAATGTTGAGTCTGGAAAAGAGAAAAAATTATATACCTTTTTTATAAATTTTCAAAAACCTAACACATCCTACGTTTCTAAAATTACTCAGATTTTTTTTTCTCCGACTCCAGTAATTACTTAAAAAATGACCCTCGTATGTTTTTATACTCACCCTCTTGCTGAGGCATATAACTGGCCATAGAGAACAGCCTAGAGTGCAGCAGCAGCATAGGCAGCCGCAAAACAACCATTTAACATTTACTGGAAGAGTCTTTTTCAATATACCGTTCACTCGCATAATAGTCTCCTTGAATTCTTCAGGAGCTACCCGCGAAACTAGTCCACTAGGAAATTCTGTACTAAATCTGTTACTTAAACCAAACCTGCAAAAAAACAACTCATTAACAATACTGCTTTCGTCTGTCCGGTCATTAGACGAACAACCATGTACATCGCTGCTTCACGCTTATTTGCAACCATCAGTGAGGTCTAGGTCTCTTGGCAAGATGACTAATGTAACTACAGCAACTGTATCATCTATAAGAGGTACAAGTTTTTCAATTGCCGCATCAAAGAATGAAGCTAGTCGTGTCAGTAGCCAATTGTGCACGAAAGTTTCCACACCTCTGGAACCCCCAAATACTGTTGCAAGAACTTTTCTTGTAGAAAGACCGGTCTTGCCTTTTCGCGGTGCTAATCGACGCAAAATTTCGGAAGGTTTTACACCCTCCCGCGACAAAAATTCTATTATAATGCGTTGCGCAACAGATGTATGCACCTCTTGCTCAGACATGATGCTACTAAAAACTTATATACAAAGACTCTCACTCAATTCACCTAAAGCGCGTTAAACAGAAAAGTCCGGTTCATATATGATTCACCCTCGTACATGGAATTCTCTAAAATGAAAGCAAAAACAAAAATATTGAATCTTACGAACAAAAACACTAAGATTACTCAATGTCATTTACTGGGAGAACGATTTTTCGATTAATGGGTAAATACCGAAAAACCATGTAGTTTAGTATCAGTTTTTAATGATACAATGCGACTATTTAAATTACTACAGACATCATCAATGTCAATTTAGCTAATCATTAAAATGCAATATTCGCGAAGGACGCATTCAATTATAAACCTGAGAATTGACAATCACACTGTAAATTTATAACGGTAATGAAATTAATGTATCCATCTGACTATAATTGAGTGACTCATAGTCTCAGGTCAAAAAACTGTATGAATGCAATTTTGTGGCTATAGCTTATCATCTAAATTGTGCAATTCATCACTGTACAGTTTGATGCCCATATGAGATGCTTCATTTATAACTGTTAGGGATCATATGAAAAATTATCATTGAAATGGTTTGATGACCAGATTTAGAATAGTGATACTATAGATTATGGTTTTGTAATTAGCAGATGGTTCATCAACCGATAAATCGTCAAATAAACAAGGTGAAAACTAGGGATGCATCAAATACTCTGTATGTACCCTGTACTCGGCATCAAGGTAATAGGAAGGATAAAACAATAATAAAAATTATTTATAAAAAATGCGTTAAATAATGTGCAACATATTCGTCACATCAAACCAAACAGTGTATCCATCTCTTTTAAAAAAATTCAGCATTACTGAATCGGCAGATTGTTGTACATCTTTCAACCTCATACATTGACTTGTCTAAACATTATATTTAAATCTTAGTATATGGAAATTTTCTTTTGATCTAATGTCGTAACCTTGCAAGAATCCAAAAATGCATTGAATACTAAGTAACTTTTTACATCATAGTTTTGCACTGTTGCACTAAAATCAAGTGTTTGCCTGTTAAGATATAATTGACATCAGACAGCAAAGCATCTTTCATAATATTATTTAGATCAGATATGAACTTGAGGTTCTCATCAAAAAATACCCCTAAGTATTTGCTGATTCGTCAATTTGAATAACACTACTATTTAATCATATGATGAAGTGAATTCTACGTCCTTTAGGAGAAAAAATTAATACTTTAGATTCAGATGGATTTAACTGAAGGTTATGTTCTGGTCTGAGGTTTTTTAGGGGGATACAGAAAAAAGTAGGGGAACACATGTAAGCATTCTGGCCCCACCTCAGAGATCTGCCAGGTTGTATCTCTATCCTTGAAAGTCAGAGACCATCTACCAGCACAACATCCATAGCCAAAAGAAAAATTCTCTTGGATGGATTCCACCCTGAATACCTCACAACAACAGGGCTACTAGATACATAGCATCTACCACAATACACTACCACACTACATACGAGGTAATAAGAAACTTAAAGAATAATCTACATTTTTTTTCTATTTATTGCATGATGCCATATGGCATCGATACTATATCAGAATGCATGCAAAGCTGACATCACATGTGGGCTGTTCATATACCATTGTGTTTTAATTGTGGAAACATTGGTGTGCTGTTATGAATTTTCATTATTTTTTAGGTCTTTGCAGGTGCAGCTTTTTAGCATCAGATTTTCTTGAATAGCAACATGCTCACGAAATTGGTATTAAATTGTATAATTTTGAGGTATTTTTCATAAAAATTAAACACCAAATGGGGGTCAATTTTTGGGCAAATTGTAAAGGTATCCAGTTCAAGGATATTTACTTACACAGTCATATTTCCAGCACCTCTAATTACTACAGGATCAGGAACCAACGAGATTTCCATAGGTTCAGCCTCTTCATTGTTTTCTATTTCTTCTTCGTAATAAATAGCATCAAACCCTTCCATCTTCCATGTGTCTGCAAAAGGCACTCGCGTATTGACAATCCTGCTATAGAAAACGGTGCACACTTACCTTAAATGTTGTAAGATGACCACAAAATATCCAAAGAATAATTCTACGTGACCACAAACTTTTACACAAATTTGGTATTTAATTAAGTTCTTTGTTTATTTTCTTGCAAACCAACAAACCATGGTTGATGAAGTAGACACTTCTTTGACAAACACATGTGTAGGGATGCGCGCTAATGAATACTGACACTGACAACTGATACGATACTACACCGATATGGTGGCGATGAATGATGATACTAATGTGATCGTTTCCGATAGCCTTGTCAGCGGTTTCAGATATGATTGCGTTATACCGCGCTATGCAGTATACATCCAATTATTGATAAGAACCGGCCCGAGTAAAGATAACATGGCCATTCAAGACAACTACTGAAATATACTCTATTAGACTCTAGAAGAATATCCGTAGCGAATTTTTTCTCTAAATCGTTGCACACCGCTTGAAAAATGCAAATGAAGATTGGAAAACTGCCGCTTTGACTTACTAAATGTCTCCAGCTCCGTCGTTACCCCCGGATAGACATACGCTATGGTCATTCTTGTCACCTAGATTGCTGCATTGCCAGCTTATCGGACAATTTTGCTACCTCTGCTATTTTGCTGGAATGTTCTTTCTGCTTCGTTGTATTACCGATCCGCCATATAGTACGGTTATTATATTATACGGTATAAATAATAATGGAATCTGTTTCATGTGTATAAATTATACATTTGGGCAATGTGCAATAACCTAAAACGCTCTAATACTTCGATATAAATGGTTTGAATGTAGCGAATACATATGATGTCAACCCTAACACACAAGTAGATGAGTATGCAAGGCTCGCCCAGTTTGCTGCACTGATATCCTGTTTCCCTCAGAAGAGTTGGAAGTAGACCTAATTTCCACGTTGGATACACTTGATACCCACGTCACAGCACTAAAGCACCACTGAGACACAATCGAGAACCTTATAGTGAACACCACTACTAAAAAAAAGCAGCTGAACCGCATAAAGCTCTGCACGGAGCTGTGAACGCGTAGACATTCCGCTGCGCCGACGGTTGCCGAGAGAGTGAGTGTTGTACCTCGCTGCGGTGATACGGTATAGTACAGCCACGCAAGTTTCCAGCTCCCACAACTCGCGTTCAAATTTCTTAAAATGGATCCAAGAATCACCCCCTCACTTTACCTCACTTTTTAATCATCCAGGAATATTTCGCTAAAGTGGCCGGCACATATACAGGGTGATTCACAAGTCGTGACCAAAAATGAAGCATCGTACACAGGACCGCATTTTTAAGATACGTGTTGAAGTTTACAAAAAAATACATTTTTTTATATCTTCAAAACCGTCAACCGGAATGAACTAAAATTTGGTTTGTGGATTTACCCAAGCATTGTCCACATTCTTTACTTAAAATTGCACCAATGGCGGAGATACAGGGGATTAGTGGCATTATTTTTCCAAATAAAAATAGTACGCCACTGTTTTTTTCGAAACGCGTTATTTTTCGAATTATACCTTCCTAGAGTACCCTGCTGTCGTAAAAATAAAAATAAAAAAGTTAGATCATTCATGAAGAGCCGAGATACAATTACTTTCAAAATAAAATAGGAGGCCTTGATACCAACTTGATGTTTCTTGGGAGATGTGTTATATGGTTGTTATCGTTACTACTACCAATTTTTTTTTTTTTGAAAAGTCATGTCAAGAGTTTCTTTTTTCCATTTTTGAGCGTTATGAAATGGAATTTAGCAATGATGAGTACACCCCGATATGATTTTTGTATACGGGTTCTCTAATACCTTAGCGAGTCCTCGGGAGTATCAACGTAGATTTCTTAACAGACGCCAACCTACCCCAAAGGTTTTTACCAATTTGTTTTTTTATTTATACGAAAATAGTGCACTCTAGAAAAAAACACAAAAGTAATTATTGGTAGCAAATTGAAGGTACAATCCGAAAAATTGCGCGTTACGAAAAAACTAGTGGAGTACTTTTTTTTTTTTCTAAAAATAATGCAACTAATCCCCTTTATCTCCGCCACTGATGCACGTTAATTTTAAGTAAATACTTTTGAATGTGAACAATGCTTAGGTAAATCCAAATACCAAACTTTAGTTCATTCCTGTTGACGGTTTTGAAGATATTAAAAAAAAATGTTTTTCATTTTGAAACTTCAACACCCCGTATCTTTTTAATGAAGCTCTCGAGGAAAAAATGTTACATAGAAGACCCCTCCTTAAAATGCGGTCCTATGTATGATGTTTCATTTTTGGTCACGACTTGTGAATCACCCTGTATATGTGCAATTTTTGTTTTTCAGTAATTCATAATACGATATCTGACATTCCTGGTTGCCTCATTGATTTAACAAACTGTGCATTCTTGACCAAATAGAACACAAATAGTAAAACATAATGACCTGATGACTAATAGCGAGATATCAGATTACCATTGCCCATCTCTAGTTACAATTCCCAAGGTGAGATTTCAACCTTACCGTAACTGTCAGTTTCCGCGCTGCCAGTGTCAATAGTGTCAACAAAACTCAAATGAGAACAAGACGATCAACATCGTTTATGAAAAACAGTTATTGAAATTTCACATTACAAGCGACAAATAATATCTAGTCCACATGTAGTGGCGCACTACTTTTGAAGATCTGTTCTAATTTCTAGTAAGATTACTCCTTTTGTTTGTCATATGATACAAGTGTCAAGTTTAGGATTTCCAGTGTTATCTAAAATCAGGTTTCTAAACATTCCATTCTAATTCAATACCGTATGCTCATTACTCATAACTAGGATTCAAATCAGGTAACAATGTGGTGTCCAACCCATGTTCAAGTAACTGGTATGTATTTTTGCACATAATTCCTTGGTGGTTTTATGGGATCTGTTACTTAGATTTTTAATTTTGTTATTTTTAGTCCAAAAAGCAGAATGTGAACTCTTCAAGGGTAAAAACAGCACCAATGATTGTTTTGTTACAATTGCCTTGGGCAAGATCAAATATGAGACATCAGTTAAAGAAAAGGCTGGAAGACAGGTTGAATGGCATGAGGAATGTGAACTGTAAGAACTAAAACTATTTCCTAAAACTACCAAAACAATGGCAGGAAGCTGTAATAGGAAACTGTTCCAAATTGCATGATATTTCACTTTGTACATAGGGTGTTTCTCAATGAGTGTCCAGTATTTCACAGGATGATTCCTTAGGTGTTTTCCAGATAAAAAAATATAAACAACGTTTCCATCCAACATACTTCAAAATTCATATAGAGTATTTATAAGTGTCTTTTTAGACACAGAAAATTAAACTAAATACGTTTTATAGATTTGAAATATTTTTGGGATGCTTGCTTTAACTAGTTAGCAACATATGTAGCTTTGTTAGAATAGATTTCCAAAATAGAAATGACAACCATACTGCAAATAATGTTCCCAAAACAATAAATCATGCTCACATATTAAGTATCCTACAGCTGTGTTGAAATAAGAATAAAGTCATATCTACACCTCTTAAAATCACTACAATTTGATCTATGTCATGGAATTGAAATCATAAAATTATACATACATAGAAGATCAACATTATTTTTTTCCTTTCATAAAGAGAACTGTGAAAATTAATAATTCTTTTTCAACAAATGGTAAAACTTATTTTTCTACGAACTCACTTTTTCCAATAAGGTAGCAAAAAATGTAAAACAAATATTATTAATTTTTAACATAAATAATGAATCTAAAAGTTATTGACAATATCATCATTATGATTCATGTAATTTGAGCTTTATTACTAATTATCCAGGATAAATAAACAATTTACATGCTAGTTCCCACAGTGATACAGGTCTGGGAAAATAGAAATGAAATCATTAGTCTTTATATCTCTCATTCAAGCAATATGTATTCACCTTTTACTGAAATTAGTTCTTTGAAAACTATATATGCCTCTGTTAGAATTATACGATGCATTCATTCTATTTCTTATTTTTATCAAACTATCCATTTTGAATACAATAGTGTTTATAAATTGTTAGCTCTTATATTATACCATGTGTCCCAAAATAAGTAGCCAATCCCACAAATGTACACTACCGCTCAAAAGTTTTGGGATAGCAGATTTTTTGAGGGAAATCAACCAATAGAGTGTGTTTAATCAAAAGAATAAGAAAGAAACTATTTTCCACTGGAACTCAGTTCAGTAATCACAGGTGACGGGTCGTGGATCTTTGAGTATCATCCAGAGACAAAGAGGCAATCTTCCGAGTGGCACACGACGGCGTCTCCTCGCCCAAAAAAGGGAAGAATGAGCAAATCTAAAGTGAAAACGATGCTCATTGTCTTTTTTGACAGCAAAGGCATCGTCCACCATGAATTTGTTCCTCCTGGACAAACCGTCAACGCGAAGTTTTACGTGGAAGTGCTCAGGAGACTCAAACGAAGGGTCAGTCGGGTCGATGAAAGGCAAGCATGTTGAGACAACAGCATGCACCGCGGCTCTCAAGGCTATTCCGGAGAATGCCTTCCGTGACGCCTTCAATGCTTGGAAATCGCACTGGCAGCGCTGCATCGACGCAGAAGGAGCCTATTTTGAAAGTTTTTAAAGCCTTATTTATTTTAAGTTGTCTTGAAAAAAGCTTCTGCCCCAAAATATTTGAGCGGTAGTATATCTACAAGGGTTGATCCAAAAAAAAAGTTCCCAGAGAGCTTCAGCCGTCCGATATAGAGCTTCCCATTTTTGATCATGTGCAAGATTCGTTCTGTAATTCGATTTTTGAGGCAACCTTATTTCTGGATCAACTTTTGTAGAGAACAAAAAAATATGTGGCTGGCTCTAACACAGTATTTCTATTTACTTACATCCTCAACTTCAAATGGGATCCTTTAGAAGAGGAGACTATGTAGGAGAATCTCAGATGATTTTTTTCAAGAACAAGACACATTATTTTCCTGTGTTGTATATGAATCCTAGAGATTGCCCATATATTCTAGGACACCATTTTGTTAAAATTGTAGGCATTTTGTTTCCAAATTCATTACTTATCTGTTTTGACCCTCAAATTCGTATTTTTAGTCCGATACCTGACCAAGGCAACACAGCTGAGATTATCTTAACAGTGCTTCACCGTAACTATTTAGGCATTGACGAATTCTTAGGACGAGTCACTATCCCTCTGCATTCTCTAGATATTTATGAAAGGCCTAAAAATAAGTGGTATACTTTACAAAGCAAAACAGGTAAATGAGTCTATGAAATAAGAGCGAATATCTGATAAGAGGCTGTAAATTAGTCAAGTCATTTCTCAATATATTTTTATCAAAAAGTAGCTTCAAGTTTCCTTGACAACGCTAAGCAATCAATTTTTTTCGACAAACTCTATCCATCGATGGCCGCGATAAAAAGAGCTAAAATTGCCCATTGCCTTTCAACAAAATCGGTTCAGCGGTTACTGAGATGGCGATAGTGCCGTAATATTCCATGCAATGCTATAAATACACAAAAAATATTCACTCACAAGTCTCCGAATATGTTCATAAACTTGCCCTGTAACAAAAAATATGCCATTACATGTTTATACCTGAATATAAAAGCGATAGTTGATATAGGTATTGCCTTTTATCAGATATTCCTATGGTTTGCTTTGTTTGAGTAACTTGAAAGACAAGAACATTATTACTACTTCAGGAAGTGAAAAAAAGAATAAGGAGCGTGGAAAACTGGAAGTAAAAATCGGCTTCACTGTGAAATCAGGCAGCCTGACCAACTTGAGCAAAAAAGAAAAACACAAATCCTCGATCGGCGGACTGTCCGCAGTTGCCCAATCAGTGGGCGGCAGCTTAATGAGCTTGGGCAGTGTCGAAAAAAGAAAAGGAATTAAAAAATTCGCTAAATCTATAGGCTCAAAGATGCACCTTAAAGTGAAGAAAAAAGGGCACGAAGACGATGATTCCTCAGTGGGAAGCATGGGTAGTTTATATAATAGAGTTAACAATCCTGAAAAGTTCAGGAGCAGACAAACTTTGGAGGACGCGGACCCAGGAGTTGTCAGTGACGAGGATGAATTTACGGTAATTCAACGTTTTGAGTAACTTTTTTTTTTTGAAATAGCATCTGCTTGATCGTATCTACGAGTGGGTCTAAAAAGTGGCGTCAAGTAGATTGATTCCGCTGGTCAAAGCGGGTATTCCTCGGGGATCGGTCTTGGCTCCGATATTGTTCCTCTCACATATCAACGACCTCCTTTTCTGTACGATCAATCTGACCCACAACTTTGCTGATTACAACACTCTAAATGCAGGAATTGAGAGTTACAAGGCGGTCTCTACCGGTGAGCTGGAGAAAAGTAGACTAGCAGTGACTTGCTCTCTGACGAGGGACCTGAAGGTTATCACTGCTTGGGGATGTAATAATCGGGTACAATTTAATTTTGCACAGCCGCATTTATTCGGAAATTGCAAATCAGCTCTCACATTTACTTCGATTGATACGGTAGGTGTGGAGCCAGACTAAGAGTAGAGCCTGATTCACGGTACCTCTTAATCCACTCTTTCAACAGATTCTTACTTGGCGCATCTCTTGGTCGGCGAATATTGTATCGTGTACAAAATTTCCGAAGGGCAGCTGCGTATGAGTCACCACTCTCAAAGTGCGCTTCGGTCCAACGTTCCATTGTGACTATTTAACCCGCACGCCGAACGAGTCGATCAAGACCTCTCCCCACTTCCTCGCGTAATTCAAATTTGGAATGTGAACTTTTCTGTAAAGCCATATTATTATTATCATTATTATAATAGGCTGTGAAGGTTATTCGAAATTAAATCTTTTGAAACTCAAATATTATATTATGCCCCAAAAAGTAGCTTAAACCAGTTTATGCTTTGTTGTCTCCTGAAGAATTCAAATTATGTGACTTACAACGTTTTTGCAACGAACAATTCATTTATAATGTCAAGTACGAAATTTTCAACCAGACACCCGCAATTGATCCCATTAACCTACGTATTTGTCTTTATTTTTAGTTCGATGACTTGTCACACAAAAGTTCGGCCAGCTCGTTGAGTCAACCTTCAACTCACATAAATGCATCACCAATTATCAAAGTGTCTTCGTTCGAGAACATAACACCCAGTGATAGTTTTAAGAAAATAGAAGAAGGTAGCCTTCCACCTACAAAACCGCCAAGGGCGGAACTGTTGAGACCCCAGGACGAATGGGAATCAAAGCTCGTTGGAAACAAAAGTAAAAGTAAGGTTACATTTTTATCGTTCATGTCACATTATGGTTTCACCATGGATAATTTAGGATGATTCCAGCGTATATCCATAGGCGTCGGAGCTTTGTTGGGTCGGTGTTCAGATGGCACGCGTACAAATTTTATACAGAGTGTTCCTAATATTTTCTTGGACCCATTTTACGAAAAAAATCGTATGAACGTATATCCCAAACGTCTTAAGCTTTGAGATAAAAGGCGGTAAAGTTTTCAAAAAAAATGTATTTTATAACTGTGATACTATCGTAGATATTTCCATGAAATTTGGTACACATGTTCTATACATCAAGTTGCATTTTCTGATTCACGATTTTATTATTTCCACCAGTGGCGTGCGTAAGGGTTTTGCATTGATTTTTTTTTGAGAAAAAAATGTTACGCCACTGCTTTCTGTTTAAATCATTAATCTACAACCTTATTTGGTATCTTGATTTTATTTCGTCCGAAGTATGGTTTGTATTCCGTGACTGCTATGCGGAAATCTTATTCTTTCTTTTTTTAAGGTATTGAGTTGTTTAGGATCAAGATCAATTTGATCATTTAATTTTCTTTTAGCTGATGCGCAAACGATTATTTTCTCTGTTGTACATTAACTTGTTTTTCTTAGGATTCAAATTGCGCTTTATGAATTAATGACGGCGTTTCGTAAACCGGATAGTTTTGTTAAAATATGGCAGGTGAAAAAATCCGTTAATTTGTTTCCTCCGGAGTTTTGGACTTTATTGCCGCGTTAGATACTATCATCATACTGTATAATCCGTTTAACCTCAGACAATTAAAATGATTACAATAGAATTTCTGAACAAAATAGTATGACCATGGTTAATTGATAATTAGGCGAATTCAGTATATCTACAACAGCAGGTAATACTGAGAATTGAAATGTTACGTCACACAGTTAAACCTCTGCTCCCTGCTATCAAAATATTCGCGTCTGATTCAAATTTAATCGTTTTTATTTCCGATCTCAAAAAATTCAACATTGCTGTTCAATTTTGTTGGTACACATTTCTCAAATGATATTATGATCAGTATTATGAAAAAAGTATCGTCAAGTAAGTTGACTCTAAGCTTGCCACGGCTACTTAACAATTTCAAAATTTCTCAATTCAAAAATTTTGAAAAAATGGGAAGACAGCACAAAATGCCATCTAATATTTCGATAGACTGTATATCTTTGATAGAGGATAGCTGCCCAGCTTTCGTTTGTTGTTCTACCTGAGACCAAGCCTAGGCCATGCTGACGAGTTGCCAAATAGCACGAAACAGCTGTCCATGGTTGGCCGTCTATGGTCGGATGAACGAAAGCTATATTACTATAATAATAATAAACGTCTTTTTATTTGGGCAAACCTTAGCTTAAGCTTATTTCTCCACTGTTACTAGTTTACGAGTAGATCAAATCTACTATAGCACCAGAATCGGTGGCATCCAGCGGCCACAGTGGTGGATGCGCAACATGGAAAATTGTTTTAGAAATTTTTTCGAAGGCGTGGGAAGTATAGAATCAATCTACGTGACATTATTCTTGTATATGGGGTCACAAGTTGAGGGCTTGTAGCGCTATCTTCCAAATGTCATTCTCATTAAAATCGACATCTAAAAATGCAACCTGCACATACTCGTAAACATAACGTTAATGACTCATAACTTTGGATGCTCATATCAGGTTAATAACCTTATTGTTATGTTGAAGCTTCATTTGCAAAGGGAGGGTTATTGTGAACAGGTAAGATGTATCATATTTGCAGCAACAGAACAATGGTTCAACAACTAACGTCTGAAAAATGCATTATGTGCATATAAACAGAAAAATGCAATGATTCATTATTCTGGAAAAATGAGACTATCGAATGTAATCCATTGTGATCTGAAATCAGGTGTTTGAGGAATTCAGTGTTTATATTTCATATCTGCTTGTACTACATTACGTGATATATTTACCTTTTTTGCTTTCGCGTAAGTTCAAGCTAAAGTTCTGGACAATTTTCACGTTTTCACTATTCATTGGGCAGCATACAACACTGCATCACATTACAGTGTAGCCAGTTTTTGCCTAAGATCACGTGTCTTTGAATCAACTCGTATAAAGGGTTTTCCAATAAGAAGTGATTGTGTTTCAAATTAAAATAAACTGTGTTATCCATTATTTTTTGTTTAAGAAGCTCATAGCCCCGAAATAACACGCCAAAGTGACACGGGAGATAGATTGGCTTCAGATCAATCATGACATCAGTAAAAGTTTTCGAGATATTGCCACTTTTAAGTTTTTTCAAAAAATCGCTACTCTTTGCTACTTTTTTGCCTGTTATGGCTATAAAGAACTTTTAGCTTATGATTTTTTTCCTGGGATATCATTTCATTGAAAACTAGCGCGGTAGGTGACTTAATGCTACCGAGTGAACAGTGCATGTGAGAGCGAGATAGTTCAATGACATGTTTAGGTCGTTTCATTCTTTAGTGATTTGGATACAAAAGACGGCTGCACTTATTTTTTATTTGTAGTATTTCGCAAGTATTCGACTTCAAGGACAAATCTTGGAATTATTCAATGTTCAGTAGAAAGAACCTACAAATGTTATACTATTTTTAAAAGAGCATTAAATAGGCTAGTTTTAAAGATCATTTGCCAATTCAGTCTGTTACATCTTTTTTCACAGTTCAAGTTGAACAAGTCGTTGTAACTCTTGTATTGACAAGTTTTCGGTTTTCAGTTTCTTTCTAATTCTTTTATTCTTTGGACGCTTGTCTATCGTTTCGGTAGGTAAAGGAGGTAACTGTGAACTCATACTAGTTGATACATTTTTTTCGGTATATGTTTTTCCATTGTTATTTCCAATGGAACAACCCCAAAAACTTTTACGGACACTGGATTTTTTCATAATTCAGTATTTCCCCACTCACCTAGTTTAATTTTTTTGTTACCAGTCGTATTTTTATCTGTTTTTATCTTTACACTTATTTTCATGTTATTGAGGATTTTTTTCAATTTCTCAAATGTAATATTCGTACCAGAAGTCTTGACAAATGCGCCTGATATCCGTCCATGCCTTTTCTTTAGCTTGACCAATCGACGAATCATTAATTTTTTTTTAATAACCTGGGGAATATAATTCTCTGACAGCCAATCTGGACAGGTAATTCAGCTGCGTATGAATCATCACTCTTGTAAGTCAAGTAAGCCTCGATAGGAAACGCAAATTCAAAAAAATTCAAATTTGAAATGTTAACTTTCCCTTATAAGTATCACCTTATCTTTACAAAATTTTACTTCCAAGGCAATTCTTGTTTTATTCAATATACCCATTGTTGGTTATTCTTATTGGGATTTATCTTCCCGCCGCATCAGTTACTATTAAAACTTATTTTCCGTTTCAAGCTCCATCCCGTCCTGGCAGTAGCGAATCTTTGAACAGAAGATCATGGGATGCAGCGTCAAAGCTAGCAACCCAGATAGAAGAAGATCCGAAAGATCTACTAGAGCCACCGCAAACCAAGAAGGACAAACCAAAAACTCCAGAAACACCGAAAAAAGAAGAAAAGGAGGGGATGTTTTCGAAATTCAAAAGCAAAAACTTCAGAATGGGTGAGTGAATGACCTCTCCCGTGCGTAGATCGGTTAGGTGCATGTATTTGTTTGTTTTAGATAAAGAAATAAACTCGGAGCATGATAAGATAAACAATCTAAGAGAACGTATTATTATAGGAGGTGAGAATGAAACGATAAAGGTCACCCCAACCAATAACAGCAAAATATCCAATGAACTTTTGCAGAAGTTCAAGGGCAAAACGCGAGAGGTACGTGAAATCAAAATAAAATGTTAGCACAGTATACAGGGTGTCCCAGAATAACGTTTAAAAAATAACATCACAAGTTCCTAGCAGGTGAAATATGCTAATCAATATCTGAAGATACCCAACTAAAATAGCATTAAGGCTAAAAAAAGAGGATCCTAGCACCATCTATGGAAAGTAGTAGCATCGCTTGAGGAAACGATTTTTCAACTCCCTAACGTTCGTAGAACCGGGAAAAGCCTCACCGGGTAGATTTGTTCACAATCCTAGGGGAGGCTACGTCTTATCTGAGCCTTGTATAAAGTGAGAAGGTCATGCGGAGAAAAGTACTTTTCAGCACTAAAAAAATAGCCCAGCTGTGCACGTCAAGCTGTGACGTTCAAAGTACCCCAGAAGTTCCCGATTTATCTAACTCTTTTCAAAGTAGATGTCTGAATTCATTTTTGTGTTTTGCTACTGTCGCATATATGGCGCTTAGTTTCTTTTACATCCCTTCGTTCTCAAGAACTGGGTATTCGTCGCACGTCATTATGCACTATTTAAAAAAAAAGACTTGCATTTGCGGCCAAACAAAATTTAGTCGCTGACAATACAGTCTTGCAATATTGCAGCTTAATCCCCAAAATACCTACCAAAACATCATTTCTAAGTTTCAATAAGAGATTAAGATGAAAAAAAATGGACGTATTTTATTTAATTTCACAAATATTCAAGATACAAACCAGTCAGTTAAATATCGGCCACCCTGTATTAGATAAGTTGCACTACACATCTAAACTATATTTCTTGCAGGATCTGATTTTGGAACTGAACGAATCACGGAGTGACTTGGAAAAACAAAAGAAGAAATTAAAAGACTTGGAAGATTATCTCGATGACCTGCTTTTGAGAGTAATGGAAACGACGCCAAGAATATTACAAAATCCTTATGTTCAGTGCAAACTGGCACACAAGCAGTATAGTCAGTCAACTTAACTTTTATCAAACGTTATACAGAGTGAGTCAGAACGCAGAATCCAGCAGCTGAATATTAGGGGCATCAGCTGCAGATTGTTACCTTAATCAATGAATATAGGGTAAATAATCGAAGGGTGAACAGTTTCTGGGGAGGTGGTTGAAATGAAACCTGGGAACGAATTCGAATAGGTTAAAAGGAGCCTAGTCTATACAGTGTGATTCTCAAGTCGTGATCAAAAATGAAACATACACAGGACCGCATTTGAAGGGGGATCTTCTGTGTAACATTTCTCGGGTGCTTCATTCAACAGATACGAAGGTCTTCAAAACCGTCAACTGGAATGGACTAAAATTTTTGGTACTTGGATTTAGCTAAGTATAGTCTACATTCAAAAGTATTTACTTAAAATTAACGTGCACCAGTGGCGGAGATAAAGTGGATTAGTGGCATTATTTTTCCAAATAAAAATAGTACGCCAGTTTTTCCCGAAACGAATTTCTAATTGTTTATCCCAGGCCATCACTACTAGTCTATTGAGCAATATACAGGGTTAGTTCAAAGGATATTTTATAGCAAAATACACGTGTTTATCTTGCCGATATCAATCACAAACCATTCCGGAAGATAAATGTTATTTTTATACAAAAAAGAATGAATTACGTTTTTTCTTCTAAACAAATTCAAACATACATCTCGTATTGGTGGGTAATTTCTGAGTTTGCAGCGGTCAAAGCTAGAAAGAAGAGATGTTAATTGTAAGATAAACATATTGTTTGTCTTAGTTTTTATTGGTTTTCGTTCAATACATATTTTAAATATAAATATTAAATAATCCATGAAGTTTATAAATCATTTGACTGTCGATGGGGTGACACCACCAATTTCCGCACCGGGTGCCACCCAAGGGATCTACGCCACTGCATGACTGTGTACGGCATTACGTTACCGAGCGATTTACAAACGCACCCCTGCAAAAACACATCGCACGCTACTGCATGTGCGGCGTCCCTTTAAATTGAAGTCAACGAGACGCCACGCTGGTCAGTGGCGTGCGATGTGTTCCGATACTCTCTTCCTTTTCGGTACTTGAGTATACAATAAACACCAGTTAAGAATAGTCATTTCTGACTCACTCTGCATTTCGCTTTTTATATTCACGTTGTGTGCCTGAATGTAACCATTGAGTAACGTATTTTACCTGATGATAGCCAACTGGAGCGCTTATCTATAGCGTCCCCAACTTTTGCTTGGTTTAATTTTACATTAATATAACTTACATGTATGGTAAAACGAACAAAAATAACTGTAATAGATTCATCTATTTCGGGTTTTTTGTCTAAAAAAAGTATATATTGCACGGTACCTCGGAATTATATTACTTGCAATACCTAACAAGTTTCTAAAAACAATATACAGGGTGCAAACGTTATGATAGTCGTTATTTAAATGGATGATAGTGAGGGTTGAAAGAAGCAAAAAGTTTCATATAACCTGGTCAAAACGTGTGAGTATTATAGGAATTTAATATCCCGTCGCAAATTTATCCCTGTATTTTATATACAGTTACATTTAAACCACCTAGAGAAAATGCGAAAATTGTTCGTGAGGCTACAGCTAAACTCTCGAGTTTATATTCACGTGTCCAAAAAAAATTATCAGAGATGAAATGAGGTCATTTATGAGGATTTATGACAGCGTTTCTCTATAAATGCTGTGAAAAGGTTGGCCCTCTTCAAGTGGAATACGTTAATCTATGATGTAAAAAAAAGTTGGATAGGTACAAACAGATTTAGTTCTAGCAAATGTACTTCTTAATCAATCAATGCTAATACGTTCCATCCAAAGCTATTTGCAACAATTTTCACGAATTTAATAACAGAGGTCACTGAAAGGAGTACTTACTGCATGCCGTTGTTTCCTTTTCATTATACTGATTGTGGCATTATTTTTACGCGAGAAAAATATACTGAAAATAAGACGAGACGTTTATGTAAACAAGAAAGTGCCCCCTAACGAAAGTTTAGTATGTTGTAAATTTCTGTTCTACTAACTTAGGATATAATATGAATATTTGTTTAAAAAACGTTTTGTCAATCTTCAGCGTGCTTTTACATGATAAGCTCCCAAGCATTGAAAAGGGCTTAATTTTTATATTTATTCCAATGTGCCTTCTGCAATAGAAGTATTGGCAATCCTTAAATTCGCCTGTATACATCACTTAAATATAAAGGAGTAACTTTTTCTTTGGTGCTATCTAGCAATTCGTTTTTAACGTATCATCTTACTGGACGATTGTAAAAATGGCGAAAGTATCAGTGTTACTCAAGTCAAATCTAAACACTTCTTAATATTCGCCATTTTAAAGTGCCTTCAAAATTTCATATAACAAAACCGAGAATATTAGCTCGTTCATAAGACGGAAATACTGTAAATATATGTTTCTGGAAAGGTGAATATACAGGGTGGCTCAAAATAACGTCATTCTGTTGCGTGCAGGTAGAAGACTTCAATAAATAAGTCACCAAAAAACCGATATATTGGCTACTAAGCGGAAAAATTTACTCTTGTTTAACATCGATAAAAAAAACACTCGTTTCCCTTAACATGACTTAATCAGGTTTTAGATACAGGAGAATGGCGTGTTATCTAGGACACCCTGTATGTTCTCTAGACATCACAACTCGTAATGAAACCAAATCAATACTCTGGAAGAAGTTTTAACAGGATATAAATATTTGTGATAGCTGTATTATTCAAATAAATTTAGATAAAAATGTTGCGACACATGTTTTAGTTTACTAACAAATCTAAATAGTTCTCACAATTTAGCCTGTATAAATGGTTCACTAAGGGAATAGGTTTAAACTTATTTTCAAGCGATTATAATGAGCCTTTTAACTGATGTGAAAATCATTGATTTCAGTTTTATTCATGAATGAGAATCTAGAATTATTTATGAATATAAAACAATTTAGATGAAAACTTATTATTGAAACCTGAAACTTTATATTTTTTTTTTTTACTTTTTTGCCATACTCTGTAGGAATTATGAGATTTATGACAAATCCAAGCTAATAGATGTTCCATAGTGGTCGAAAAATACTGGAGTCTGTTTTTTATTTGAATATTTGGGAAAAGAATTCGTCCAATTTTTTGGTGCTGTGAATTGAAAAATTTATGAGGAAGACTAAAATATTTCATTTGTAACCCACATCACTTAAACCTTGTTTTTTCAATGTACTTGTTATGTTTAGCTTTTATTATTGTAACTAATATATTGTGACTTTTTGTTAAAAATCTATTAACCTCTTTATTATATTCAAATGGATTGTATGATATTTATTTGCTATTTTTAATTATGGTGTTATAAGTATCTCATATATTTTTGTATACAGTTGAGATACCTGCAAATAAACTATTTTTGTCATAAGGTGGTACTTTAACTTTCCCAACTGAAATGATGATATTTGATGATTTTTGGTGGACTATACGGTTTCCGAAATATGATTTTTTCGTTTTTTTTTTGCTCGTGATAACTTTTTTGTTTGTCGAGATAATAAAACAAGATAAATTATGGTTTCCGCCAAAAATCATCAAATAGCGTCCCCGATTACCCGTATTTTTTTGTCGGTTCATGTATAACGTGAAGTATTACAACACTGTGGTCCGAGTTACCCAGGGGCGACAGGACAGCAGTACATGCGTGGTCAGAAAGAGATCCGGCAGGCCACTGGCGTGTGAAAAAACGCAGAAAATAAGAAAAAAGTAGGGATTGTCACTAGCTGGGTCAGTCCTAGATCGAATTATGGATTTTCTGGATAAAGGTAGTGATGGATTCACAAATTAAGGTTTGTTATATACGAGGCTTGTCCGTAAAATAAGTTCCACGGGCTGCCGCTGGCACAGCCAGGCAACAGAGGCAGATTGTTTGGTTCCCCCACTCCAATCCCTCACCAAGACAGCGTCGCTGCGACGTTTAGTCTTGGCTCAGCAGCCGTCAGCGATGGAGCTTCCTCTTGCGTCTCCCGCCAGCTGCGAGTTGCGGTCTGTTATTCGTTTCCTGGCCGCTAAGAAGAAATCGGCGAAGGAAATTCACGAAGAACTTTGTCAAGTGTATGAGCTGCGGGATGGTGCGCAGATGGGTCAGGGACTTTAAAAATGGCCGAACAGACGTCCACGACGAAGCCCGTGCAGGGCGGTTATCGGTTTCCGACGAAACAATTGCCAAAGTCGAAGCGGCAATGCTTGAAGATCGACGGATTACAGTTCGGGAGCTGTGCACAAAGATTCCGGAGGTCAGCAAAACCACAATTGACAAGATTTTGACTGAACATTTAGGCTATTCAAAGGTCTGCGCAAGATGGGTACCAAGAATGCTCACTGCAGACCACCGGCGGCAGCGGGTTGAAGCGGCCCAAGAATTTCTCGCTTTTCACGGAACAACCGAAGAGGAATTTCTGGACTCTATTGTTACTGGTGACGAGACCTGGGTACACTACACCACACCGGAAACAAAGGAGCAATCGAAGCAGTGGAAGCACTCTTCTTCACCAAGTGCAAAGAAGTTCAAACAAATCCTGTCTGCCGGGAAAATCATGGCTAGCGTTTTTTGGGATCGAAAGGGCGTATTGTTGTGCGAGTTTATGCCTCGCGGGACAACAATCAATGCTGACCGGTACTGTGAGACCTTGAAAAAACTTAGACGTGCCATTCAGAACAAGAGAAGAGGAATGCTGACGAAAGGAGTGCGTTTTCACCATGACAATGCCCGACCGCACACCGCCAATCGAACCACAGCCCTCATCGAAAGATTTGGATGGAAAATGGTGTCTCACCCACCCTACAGCCCAGACTTAGCACCAAGTGACTTCCATCTCTTCCCTGAGTTGAAGAAAAACCTTGGCGGAACCCAATTCCAGACAGATGAACAGGTGCAAAACGCGGTTGTTAGTTTTCTACACGGACAGGCGGCAGAGTTCTATGACTCTGGTTTGAAGAAGTGGGTGCCTCGAATGCAGAGATGCATAGAACGCAACGGCGATTATGTAGAAAAATAAAAGAAGGACTGAACTTTCCAAAAATGTATTTTCTTTGCAATTAAAGCAATTTTATATATGAAAAAAATTTGTGGAACTTATTTTACGGACACGCCTCGTATTTCAATTTACCACCTTAATATTTAAAACTGTACATTCAAGAAAAAAACGTTTCAAACTAAGGTTGTAGGCTGTGGCGAAGCGTCCATGTAACCATTGTTACCAGTAAAAATCTTAAAAACAAATATTTTATGACTAAGTAATTCAGTAAATAGCAAATTAGCCCCACGAAAATAATGCGACTCGACTTGGTTGTCACCATTTTCATTTATGGATACACTTGGTAGTCTGTCGGGGACCGTCGGTACCGGCTCGTGTCTGATCGCGGTCGCCCGAGTGCGTGGGGCGCCGAGACTATTTATGTGGGCTTGTTACCATTGCAATTAAACATAGATGAGCGTAATCGATCAACTACTTGAAAAGTCATTCTCATTGTATGAATTTTAAGAAAAAAAGGAGATCATTGAAAATGGAAGACCAACGCCCATGTTAGATAATTTTAATAAGGAATAAAAAACGTAGTTTGATATTTTAAATTTAACTTGTTTATGTGGTTGTAAAAAACAGATTGTATTGTTGGCGATGTCTTCTGTTTTATACAGAATAAAATGCAGCGGAGTCAACGATTTAAATAGTTTTAGGGCCCTAAAGAGGAGACACTTCAAGATACCGTATGTTTTTTGGCAAAATACGAATTACCGTTCATTTTGATGAGGTATATCAAGTGCCCCAGACGCTCTGTCCAGGAATGTTACCTTAATTTAAAAATAGTTTAAATAAAATACTTAAAATAAGCACAAACTTATATTTGGGAGGTTCAAAATAAACTTTTTTTAATAAGGTTTTTTACATCTCGTTTTGGTAACAGTTTAGGAAACGTCACGCATCGCCACTGGTTGTGGGTGACAACTTTTTTGGTATAAAAGACAAAGTAAAACTTCAGATTAACATACTGATCTTTAAATTGCTCTTATGCTAAGATAGCATTATCCATTCTCTGTAGATCATTTGTGGCAAACCTTGATAGGTTCATAGCTATTTGCTAGCTAAATATGCAAATGTTTTGATATTTTTTTTTTTTAAGAATTTTAAATGGTTGATTTTTGTCCTTGTTTAAGTGGCTACAAAGTAATTGGCATGACATTATAATTATATAGATTGTCAAATAATTATTTGACCTGGATTTATTTTGTTTTATTTATTTTATTATTAAAATGTTACATTACACATTATTTAAGATTGGTGCATAGGGATATTAAGTTATCTAGGTACCACATAAGAAAAACTATTACCTGTTTTATTTTAGTGTAATATATAAAACCACTGTATATATCGCCATCACTTTGTAATATATTGTATTGTATGCTTCAAATGAAATTATAATAGTTATGCAACTGTACAAACAGAACAACTTGCCCCATATATGGAGACTCCACAAATAACATTATTATCTTAACGTTGACTGGTATCTCTAGGCCTATAAGTTAAGCCCCTGCTTTTCATTTCTCTGATGATGCCATTAGGCAAACGTCCTGATACAGATATGGCATAAACTCCCCTACAGAAGCGATCTAAAAAAAGTAAGAAAAAACGGATTAGGCCTGACATTGCTTGCATTCACTCAGCAGCTGGATCTTATGGTATAGTCTTTATTAAATATTATTATTAATTTTGTTTCAAGTATACTCACTTATCCTCTGCCATTTAGCCACCCAACTATCTTCTGGACTCATCATAGATATCATCCTGCAATGAATGTTTGTTATGGAACCGATTTCAGCATTTTGTTCTTTCAAAGACTCACCCGTCAAAGTTAGAGCTTGTGCAGTCGTACACATTGTCACGATTGTTCTTCATCCTCAGAAATTCATCACAATTGTCGCAACCTTCGTATTCGAATTGCTCGAAAGACTATAATAGAAACAAGACATGTTAACCTCAAGAAATTAAACCTAGTACCATAATACAATTACCTTTATTATCGAGCAAACAAGGCATGCCCTCAAGCCTCTCAGGTCTTTAGGAATCGTTTCCAAAGTCATCTTTATATAAGAGATTTATCAAATATTGAAAAACAGAAAACCGACAACACAAACGATACAAATATAAAAACTTACAAACACAAAACGTTTACAAGTTAATAAAAAGTTGTCACTGTCCAGGGTTGCCAGATGGATGAAACAGAGTTCCCCAGAACAAGCACAAAAATCTGGGATTTTTAAAAAATCCCTCAAATCATATTTCAGCGTCGAGGAGTGGGGGCAGAGGTTTGACTAGTTGGATAACCACGAAGGGGGGGATTCAATATATTTTTCCAACTTGTTTCTTGAGCCACGATTGCCAATGAACGTAAAACGATACGCGCATTCTCTATCGCTTCGCCATTTGGGGATCGAGAAATCGCATGCCCCATGAGTGTCGTTGCGTCACTGGGACCATCTCACTTTTCACGGGTGATTTTTCTTAACCTTTTAGCGCACAGTAAACCGTAAAGCTTCAAAACTTCGCAAAAATCGGGTTTTTGCCTCCCTAATGGACCCTTTCACTCAGAAAAATCACAAAAAAATATCTAGCGGAAAACTTCTGTTTTAGGGACGGGAAAATACTGAAAATAGTATCCCACTGCCCATGTAGGGAAACGAACATCTGACTGCGGGCAGTCGGTGATTATTTTCCCACCCCCTAATTTGTTTTCTAAACAAAGGTCTATCTTTACAAAAAAGAAACTTCAATACCACGACTAAGTTGCATTGGAAGAATCAAAAGGTTCAAAACATGCTTTGCACAATGCAACATTGCAAGCAGTACTTTTAAAAAAAATCTCTCAAGTCACAGTTATTTAATGGAAAAGGGTAGGTTTGGTTCCAAGAGCGGGGAAATACTTTCCATCCGCGACATCTGTGATGTCCGCCAGATCGTCATATTCACAAAAAATTCCCCCTTGTGAAAATACCCCAAATTTGGGGGAAAATCTCACAGCACGGCAACCCTGTCACACCACCACTGGTACTCAAGCGTCAAGTTTCGGGATCGTCTTTATGGCTCGAACAGCATTACCGCACTGTTACCAGACGTAGGGAAATTTTCATATATCTAGGGAACTACGAGAGGGGGGAAAAAAGGAAAGTTTATTTAAATTTGTACAAAATCTAGGGAATTCTAAACTCTGTAAGACAATTCTAAGCAGCAAACAGCAAAAAATAAACGAGAGATAGAGAATAGACTGAGAAACAAATATATTACTTTTAAAATACCTTCCGATTGTACCTATACAATATGATTCAAAATATATTAAAATGTACGAACACCAAATTGTATCAACAAACCGGTCGGAAATCATAACTCATAACATTCGGGGAATTACTAAACGAAACGCTGTGGTTTCGCGTCGGTGATTCCTCATCGGTGATTCCCCTTCGGTGATTTTTTAATAGAGAGTTGTTTTCAAATTTATAAAAGATTTGATAATAAAAGAAAAAATGTCGCTACCCTAAAACATATTTCACTTATATCACCAGATGCAGTAATTACAAAAACAAGCATCATTAGGGCCTTTAGTTTTCGATTTTCCCAACTTGACAACTGATAACTTAAATGAAATAGACAAAGAATGGCGTTGCCTGAGAAATCTTGATTTAAGTGAATATACAAATTCAAGCGTTCATGAATTTTGGGAAAAAATTTCAACATTAAAATCGGGTGATGATTCTCGTATGTTTCCAACCTTAACTAATTTTGTGTTTAATATGTTTAGCTTGCCAAATGTCAAAAAGATATTTTCCCAAATAAATCTAAACAAAACTGAAATAAAAAATAAATTATCGACTGAAAATTTAAGTGGAGTTTTACATACGTTTTATTGAAAAATGTCAGTTGCTACAACTTTAGCATCCCTAATGATTTGTATGGAAGAATGGATTCGTCAATGTACAATAAAACTCAAAATTAAAATATAATACCTACTTTTGATTATTTTGCTTTATTGTTTTCTTAAAAATAAAATATTTTATGTTATGCTATATTCGTTCGTTCGCTATTATACAGAATATTTTTTTTATATTTTTTATAATATGCATACTTAAGTTATCATGTATTTTAGTTTATATTATATATTTTAAGAAATACCTGTTACGTTAATTAAACTAATTACAGACACGTAAAAAATTTGTTTGCATTTATCAATACTCCTACCCCAAATTAAAAACAATATTAAGATGAATATTAAATATATAAAAGGAATTCTAAAATAAACATTGTTTTTTAAGTTGTTAGGGAAATCTAGGAAAATTTTGGCAAAATATCTAGGGAGAAAAAAAAATAATTGTCTGGCAACGCTGCATTACCGTCGCTTCTACAGTTGTATAGGCTCCATGATGTTAGTGATCATAAAAGCGATAAAAACTGTTTGCGTCGACATACTTTTTAGCTGTGCATGTCAACGCTAATAAAAACGGAAAATGCAGTTCGAAGAGAAAATATTTTATTTTTATTAACAAATGATTTATATTTCACTGGAATATTCCGAAAATGACTGTATCATTTTAAGGACTTGCAGTTGCATTTGTTTACTAGTAATTTAGTGATAAGCTTAAAAAATGACGAACACTGACGAATCAAATGGTCAATTCGAACATTAATCACAAATAAGCTTACTCAAAACTTTGTTAGCATTAGTCAGCTGAATGTTTATCTCTTTGTATTGTTACTATACAGCATGTTATTATCGAAAGCTTCAGAATAATTAAAATATAGCCTAGGAACTTTCAAATTTAGAGCGTCTTATCGTAAGCGTTTATTGGAAGTTCCGTAGAGCTGACTGGCCAATAAGAATAGATAGTAAGTTAGCCAGCCATTCCAAAGTGTAGGTTTTACCTAGATGGAAAAAGATAGCAAGATTTGCATGGTCCAACACACGTCACGTACCTCCTCGCTTATGACAAAACGAGAATGGTCGGTTTTCGACGTTTCCGTGGACTGGGTTTAGGTTGGAGGACTGATATGGCTTAACCTACAAAATAGCTTTTTGTTTATGTATGTGCAAAATATGTGCGTACGCAAAAGTGTAAGAGTTCTAGGACGTGATGAGTGAGACTGGACGTGCTGTAATTGCTAGAACTGCGCCCGGGACTTTTATAAATTTCGCCGTAAACCATCTTTGTTGTGTTGCTATTCATACAATCGATAGCTGGTGGGGGTATAACATGTAGTTGAAATGGATTTACTTTTGCTAAGAGTCATGTAAAAATAGTTCGGAAATGTTATTGCAAAAACGTTTTTTAGTGTTGTTCTTTTCTCTTTATCGGTGACCTAGGAACCAAGAGTCGGCAACGAAAAGCTAGCCCGCACAGCAAAATGAAATTTACAAGCCCATGATAACTAAAAGCAGGTAAACTCGAAATCTCGAAAGTTTTTCTGCGATCCGAGATTTATGTTGTCATGTCATCTCGGGAACTCCCAACAAACCAATTGAATGGAGAAAAACTTTAAAATGTTAAAGAAGGGCAACAGACGCTGAAATGATATTTCAGAAAATATAATATATATGTTTCTCAACAAAATGAACACAAAAGTAGAAAAGCAAGTGAATGGTAATAATGGTATTAAAAGCCACCCAGGGAGTTCCAAAAACTCTCCAGTAAAATCCAATGAACATCACAGCCAATATAAAGAAGAAACCTTTGAATTTGAAATACCACCAGAAGCACCAGTATTTTACCCTACAGAAGAAGAATTTCAAGATCCTCTAGCTTATATTGCTAAAATAAGGCCTATCGCCGAAAATACGGGCATTTGTAAAATTAAACCACCATCAGTAAGTACCTAGTAAACTTTTTATTTAATTTTATGAACATTATGGTGTCATGTCAAACTATCAGTAGACATGTTGGTTAATCACCAACAATTTGTTGATCTCCCATATCAATGTGCTTCCACTTTTTTACATATGTTACATTGGAAAAACTTTGATTTGCTGAAAAACATTTCTAATATGCTTCATTTAATGATGTACTGTCCATTGTCACTGAGGTAGAAAGGTCACATTGCTTTTTTTACTTTGTATAGTATTTTTAGCTCAAATAAAATACATAACTTTTAATTACATTTATGAACAAAATTGAGCATGAAAAGCTAACATAAAACCATTTATTGATTTAAATAGAGCAATATTGTAAAATATTTATATAAAGAACATGATAGATTATTGTTTCAATATAAAGAAAATCAGTATTATAAAACTAATGTTATTATGAAACCAAGCAGTCTCAGGGGTAAATAGCATATGTTTGTGAGCTTTTGCATCCAAGTTAATTATACATAGTTTGATAGGTCCTCCATTTTGTTTTTCTTGTGGAACCTGATTACACAGAACAACTCCTTTAAATTGTATTTTGATATAGTACCTTATCACAAAAAGTACTTAACAACTTTGAATATCTACCTCTCTGACTCTACTGTTTGAGTTTGATGATTGATACCATTTTATATTTTGTTTCATTATTCCCTCCATATCTACCTTACTGCCTCTATTATCCAATGTTGATATTTAATGCTTTCTTTTAACATGCCTACTGGTAACTGCTGACTAACCACAAATATGTTATTTGTGGTCGATCAGCACATTGTGTTTTATTATCCTCTGAATTGTAAGAAAACTGATAAACTACTTATGGCACCCACAAATCAAACAAATTGAAAATTGTTATGTTGTTTGTGTTTGTTTAAATATTGCTTTTGTTCTAGTAAACATTCAGCCTGCTATCCACAATCCCTTTTTTAAGGAAATATGACCCACAGATAGTAATTTGATGTTCTCTTTAGTTTTTAGGCTATACTTTTGTTGTTGGCCTTAGCATTTTTTTTTCAAGATTTTTTTTATCTTTTGGCAATTTGCAGTCTTTATCAAGCTGGGGACATCCGCATGAGCCATTTGTGCCTATAAGATTAAGACAGAATAGCCTAAAGTTAATAATTGTTATTGAGTTTGAGACACTATTAAAAGTACTTGTATTACAAATATACAAATCATTTTTTAATGTAGTGATGAATTGTATAAATTTACATGCAAAATCAAAAGATCAGCTCCTTTGCCTGCATAAAAAAAATGTCAGAAAATTAATTTATAAAGTCTGTCAATATATCAAATTTTGAACATAACATATGGAAACTATTAGTTGATGTATAAAACATCAATTCTTATACCTTTCACATCAGGGTAGAATGACAGCTGATTACCTAGTAATATTTCAAAATTCTCCATATTGGCACAGGACACAATTCTGACGGATCTGTCAACGTCAGTTACAAAAAATAAAAGGCTACATACAAGTTTTACTTGATTTACACCCAACTCATTATTGCCAATGTAGGAGAGTCACAAAAATGTAACTTGTTGATCAGCTGTTCACCCTAGTAGGAGTCAAAGCGTGATGGATACTCGTGACATAGAGTATATAGACTCTCAAGAGGAATTAAAATATCTTTGCAATGTCAGCTAAATGCTAACCGAGAACATTTTATATCCAACTATCAGTATCTTTTTGCCTAAATTGGTTTATCATTATATTTATTTGTACCATAATGAAATAATTTACTATTCCAACATTTGATGATCTTAATTTTAGCACTGGCAACCTCCATTTGCTGTAGATGTAGACAAATTAAGATTTACTCCTAGAATACAAAGACTTAATGAATTAGAGGTAAGTAATATATCATTTGATTTGTACATCAGTAATAGATTGATAAATTGTTTCAGGCAAAAACACGTGTAAAACTAAATTTTCTAGATCAAATAGCAAAGTTCTGGGAACTGCAAGGCTCTTCACTCAAGATACCTATGGTAGAAAGGAGAGCCTTAGACTTATATACATTACATAGGATTGTACAACTTGAAGGTATTAATAATAGCTACACCGTAGTGTGAAATTTGCTTTCTTATGAACAGAATTTTTTATATTGTGTTTTTTAGGTGGTTTTGAAAATGTAACAAAAGAAAGAAAGTGGTCCAAAATATCACACAGGATGGGTTACCAAGTGGGCAAAAGTGTTGGAACAATACTTAAAACACATTATGAGAGACTTTTATATCCCTATGATGTCTTCAAAGCTGGAAAGTCAGTTGATGTTGTAAGTCTGTGTGACCTATACGAGTACATACATTTAACTGAAAATCTTGGTTCCATTTTTTTGGTACTTTTTATTGAGGTTTAAGGGACAATACTTATTGCTTATTTGCTACAATTGACACAGCATTACAAATCTAGTGTCACATATGTGTTTTATATATAATTTAACTTTTTATTACTTAGAGGAGATGTATGCCACTCTTTTTATTGATATTTCAGGGAAAGTACTTTGTTTTTTGTTTTTTTGCTACAACTAACACATAGCTTGACAAATGTAATGTGATGCATGTTACTTTTTAGTACTTTAATCACATAATTTAGTCAAAACTTTTTATTCTTTACATTTTTACATTTCATTTTTAGTGTATTTTTATTGAGAGTTTTTTGTTTCTTTGATTCAGTTCACACTGCTTTACAAATGTAGGAAAATGCATCTTTCATTTATATCACATGATTTAGTCATACTGGGTGCACCATCTATTACTTTTTTTTGTGAGATTTTTAGCTTACTAGACTGGATGGTTGAGGATTCTTGGTTGGTTATGTATTTTTTAACGGAGCGAGTCGGATTTTGGTTACCGATTTTAAGAACGTTTAGTTGAACATTTTTAAATTTGTACAAATAATGAGCAAACATTTTCATAGAGCACGGAAATATGACGATCTTGCTTGAAAGAGGGACATCTCACCTTAGTTGTGCGGTGAGCCACTGAGTTGCAAAAGGAAAGCTACTTGTATCTTAATCAGAACCCACTACATCTGTCACTGCATCTTTCGAATGTATAGCAAGTTGCCTGCATATGGTCATTCTTGTAATAATACAGGGTTTGTCCGGAAAGTAATAGGACTGAGTCGATTTAAAAAAATTTATTGAGCCAATCGTTACAATTCTTAAAAAACTTTCAAAATAGGCTCCTTCTGCGTCGATGCAGCGCTGCCAGCGCCATTTCCAAGCATTGAAGGCGTCACGGAAGGCATTCTCCGGAATAGCCTTGAGAGCCGCGGGGCATGCTGCTTGGATCCCCTCCCCCAAATGCTTGCCTTTCACCGGCCTTTTCAGGCGAAGAAACAAAAAAAGTCCGGGGGGCCACATCTAGGCTGTAGGGCGGCTGCGGAAGCGTTGGGATGCCGGCCTTGGTCAGATAGCTGTTCACAAGAAAGGCGGTGTGAACCGGGGCATTGTCGTGGTGCAACTTCCACTCGGCTGCGATGTCTTGTCAGACCCGACTGACCCTTCGTTTGAGTCTCCTGAGCACTTACACGTAAAACTTGGCGTTGACGGTTTGTCCAGGAGGAACAAATTCATGGTGGACGATGCCTTTGATGTCAAAGAAGACAAAGAGCATCGTTTTGCTCATTCATCCCTTTTTTGGGCGAGGAGACGCCGTCGTGTGCCACTCGGAAGATTGCCTCTTTGTCTCGGGATCATACTCAAAGATCCACGACTCGTCACCTGTGAATACGTTAATCAAAAATTGGGGGTCACTTTCACACATGTTCAAATTTTCTTGGCACACTTCCACTCGCCGCAATTTCTGGTCGTCAGTGAGCACTTTTGGGACCATCTTCGCGCACACCTTGCGCATGTTCAAATGCTGTGTCACAATGTCATGAACCACAGATTTTGGTGAATTTAACATCTGGGCAATTAAACGAATACTTAGTCGACGGTCTGAGTTCAAAACTTTGCGCACACGAGTCACATTATCGGTGTTTGTCGAAGTCGAAGGTCTTCATCAGCGACCTCTTCCCGGCCCGGACAACTGACCAGCCGCTCATTCGTTAGCTAGGAACGCCGTCTACCTAATCCAGTCGGTGTACGCACTCATTTCTGTCGGCTTGTGTGTTAGATAATTCTTCGCCATCAAATATCAACATGTCTCTGCGACGAATCTGCATCGCGTCTGTATATTCACGGAATATGATATTCAAAAAAATAATCGTCTTGAAGCAAAAAGCAAAAGTGTATGCCTAGACAAGTTAGTGGAGCATATGCTTTGACGATAACATGTATGTTTTAGAAACAGCCCGATCGTCACGATACAGAGAAAACCGATAAAGACTATAAACCACATGGCATTGCAAGCAGGATGCAAATCAAACCTCCGCCTGAAAGAAATGCTAGACGTTCAAAGAGATTTGAAGCAAATGATGAGGTATTTAGTACAAAAATATACCAACAATCCGTAGACTAGTACCAAAATGGAATATCATTATTATTCGTACGCCACTGCTAACGAACGGGTGTGTATTTGTGTACGTGTGCGCCGACCGAGTTAACTGTGGCTTACGATGTCTTCCTTTTGGTACTATCAAATAAGAAACTATATGTACATTCTGCAAAACGAAAAGATCGCCTAATTTGGCCTAAGAATGTTAAAAATCGCTTTACTATGAATATTTTTCGGGGTATTGGAAAGCAAGCTACCTTAATTCAGATACTTGGTGACTACAAAGATTATAATTTCTAACAGTTTTTAAGCATTGAATATACTAATTTTTAGGATTTTTCAGTCCTTAAATCGCTTATAACTCAAAAATTGTTAGCTTCATAGAAAATTTATTTGATTCCTTTTTTGATCGGAAGCCTGAAAAAAATGTAATTTATATAAAAAAATACTTAAAGGATCTGGGTTACCGTGCGGGTATGTTCAATGCTTAAAAACTCGGTTAAAAATTATGATTTACAAACGTTTCTCTGCAAGACTTTGAAGAATATTTTGAGATCAGTTATTATAAAGTGATTTCACCCTTGTTTTTCAGGCCGAAATGGCGAAACTTTTGTTTTTGCAGAGTGTATATGCGAATAAAAAATGTTTCTTTGCAGAACCTTACACTAAAAGTGAAAGAAGAAAAACCAGATCTGGATGACGAATCAGGAAACAAAGAGCTAAGGCGGTTGCAGTTTTACGGAGCTGGTCCCAAAATGGCTGGTTACGATGAGAAAAAGGACGTCAGACCTAGGAATAAGCAGTGCAAATTCGATTTTGACCCGGTAAGTCCACAATGGCCGTAGGAGTATTGACTGGGATTTAATTCGATCTTGCAGGTTAAATATCGTTCATCAAAAATCGATTAATGAGTAGTGCTATAACAAACGTGTGATTTTCAGCTGGCCAAATACGTATGCCACAATTGCAACCGAGGAGACGCAGAGGAATACATGTTGCTTTGTGATGGTTGTGATGACAGCTATCACACATTTTGTCTTATGCCTCCTTTGAGTGAGATACCTAAAGGAGACTGGCGATGCCCAAAATGTGTCGCTGAAGAAGTATCGAAGCCGATGGAAGCTTTTGGGTTTGAACAAGCTCAGCGCGAATACACCTTACAGCAGTTTGGCGAGATGGCGGATCAATTCAAATCCGAGTATTTCAATATGCCTGTACATGTAAGTTTGTATTGGCTATCGAATGTTTTGGATTCCAACTCAATGCATTATTTTTTTCATGACAAAAAGAACGTGCTGTCAAGTGAATCTACTTGTAATCCGAAAAAGATATATTGTGTTTTTTGGGTGTTATACAGGGTGCGCCACTTTTGGTTCACGCATTTCAGTAGGTGACCGTAATAGTTGTTTAAAGCACATGTGTCCAATTCATGATGGAGCGCTACACGATCCCACAACGCGTCCGTATTGTTAAAACGTTTTACTTGAATAATGAGTCGATTGTTTCAACGATTTCGGACAAAATAATGTGCCCAATGTCAACACCATTCGTTAGTTGGTGCGGAAAAAACAGATGAAGTTAAAGACTTGCCAAGGTCGGGCCGTGTTCGAATTGTTCGTACTCGAAAATATCGAGGGAATTCGTTAAAGTGTAATGGAGCGCCCTGAGACGTCTACCAGACATCGTTCTCAAGAACTGGGTATTCGTCGCACGTCATTATGCACTATTTTAAAAAAAAGACTTGCATTTGCGGCCATAGATTAACCCAAGAACTCCAGCCTAGTGACCATGAAAGCAGCCGGCAATACAGTCTTATAATATTGCACTTTAATACCCAAAATAACGATTTTTACCGTCAACTGATAATGAAGGATGAAGCCCACTTCGATGTGAACGGATTTTTTAATAAGCTGAATTGTTGTTTATGGGCATTAGAGAACCCTCGGGTCATCCAGCAACGACCACTACATCCTTAACAGCTCCTGACTTTTTTATAGGGATTTTTGAAAAATAGGGCTTATGCCAGCAAACCAAATACTGTAGAGCAACTGAAGAACAATATCACGGAAGCGATTGAAAATATTCCTCCCGAAACCTACCAAAAAGTAATGGAAAAAGTCATAAAGCCGACCATCTTTGGTTTCATCAAGACGGAGCAACGGCTCGCACATCTCGCCAAACAATCGCCTTATTGCACAGGAAATTTCAAGACCGCATAATTTCACGAAATTCAGATGTCGGTTGGCCCCCGAGATCGTGCGATTTAACACCTCTTGACTATTTTCGCTGGGGATTTTTGAAACGAAAAGTGTACGCGAATGGTCCCAGGACAATTCAAGACCTAAAGCGTAATATTCGGACTGAAATTGCGACCATAGCCCCGATTATTCTGGGAAAAGTCATTGAAAATTTTGATGTTCAGATGTTGGCCTGTAAACGAAGCTGCGGTGTTCACATGACTGATGTTATTTTTTTATACATAAATGGCATAAACCAACCTTCATTTATCTATAAAAAAACTCGATTTCACCCCGTAAAAAGCGTGTTGATTTTTCAAATAGAAAAAAGGTAATAGAATGACGCACCCTGTATATTCCACCCTCCACAACTCTTTAAGAAGTCTGTATTTAGAATAGGGAAGATGATGTATCAATATAGTAAAAACTGCCAAGACCCTTCACGCTGAATTCTGCCGTTGGTAATAAACAAATCATGAGAATTTTATAGATGAATTATTTATTAGTGGACATTTCGTACTGAATTGCTTTTTTATCCCAGATGGTTCCAACTGGCACAGTCGAGCGAGAATTCTGGCGGATAGTATCTTCAATAGACGAAGATGTTACAGTTGAATACGGAGCTGACTTACACACTATGGATCACGGGTCTGGATTTCCCACAAAATCGTCGTCGAATTTGTTCGCAGGCGATAAGGAATACGCAGAGTCCAGCTGGAATCTTAACAACCTACCTATACTTGAGGGCTCTGTCCTGGGATACATCAACGCTGACATCTCCGGAATGAAGGTACGATCGAAAACTCCGGAAAAAGGCCCGACATCAAATTAAGATTTTCTTTTAAAGGTTCCCTGGATGTACGTGGGAATGTGCTTCGCTACTTTTTGTTGGCACAATGAAGACCACTGGAGTTACTCGATCAACTACCTCCATTGGGGCGAAGCCAAAACTTGGTATGGAGTACCTGGCAGCAAGGCAGAGGCTTTCGAGGAAACAATGAAATCAGCTGCTCCAGAATTGTTTCACTCTCAACCAGATCTGTTGCACCAATTGGTTACCATCATGAACCCCAACATTCTCATGAACGCTGGTGTTCCCGTGTACAGGACAGACCAACATGCTGGCGAGTTCGTGGTGACATTTCCGAGGGCTTACCATGCTGGGTTCAACCAGGGGTAAGTTGGAATATCATCCATCATTTTCACTTCCTGCACCAATTAACTAGGACGTATTATAATTATACAAAGGGTGCAATACAGCTTTATTTATTGACTTCATCATCAACAGATGTGCTGCTGCGGCTACTATGCACTCATGGACATGTCTCAACATGCAGCCTCCTGCGTTATATTGCAAAACTTTTATATACTAAGTGACATATAAATCCGAACACCCAGTTTAAATGGTTTTATTTTAATAAAAGTCGGTGAATGTATTTATCTTACTGTAAATAACAAGTGAAAAAATGTTCAGCCTTATCAGTTGGACATTCCGGTTTTTATACTGCTTTTTTTTAATTCACTAACGCTCTAAAAATGAATATTTCAGCCGCAGTAAAGAATCAACGTTGGCGGATTTTGGTTCTTGACATCCTTTACGATCGGTTACGATGCCTAGAGTACGGAGACCTGTACGATTTCGTCAACTTAGTGAGTTTGATAGGGGCCGTATAGTGGGACTTCGGGAAGCTGGACTTTCTTTTCGGGCAATTGCAGTTAGAGTGCAAAGAAGTGTAGACACTGTGGTTAGGTGTTGTCAGGCATGGCTTCGAGAAGGCCGTACGCAAAGAGCAAGGGGCACTGGACGCCGCCGTAGAACAACAGACCGTGAAGATCGCCGCCTAAGATTATTGGCCTTAAGGGACCGTTTCTCCACTACCAGGTCCATTGCAAATTAATGGTTTGCAGAACACGGAAGACCTATTGGCATGCGAAGTGTTTACCGACGAATGAGAAGTTTTGGCTTGTTTTCATACCGGCCACACTGGGTCCTCCCTTTAACTCGAGAACACCGACGTAATCGCTTTGAGTGGTGCACACAACGGTCACTCTGGGATCAGGAATGGAACAGTATTGTCTTTAATGACGAGTATCGATTTTGTTTAGGCATGCACGATGGTCGTGCCAGGGTTAGAAGGCGACGTGGTGAAAGGAGGAATCCACAGTTTTTTGTTGAAAGACATGTTCATCACACTGTTGGAGTTATGGTTTGGGGTGCTATAGCTTATGGTTCCAGGTCACCTTTAATCTTCATCAGAGGTAACATGAACGCGCAGCGTTATATCCACGAAGTTCTAGAACCCCATCTTTTACCCTATCTTGACACCCTGGCAAGATCCAACTTTCCAACAAGATAATGCCCGACCACATGTTGCAAGAGTCACAATAGACTTCTTTCAACATAATGATGTCACATTGTTACCATGGCCACCAAGATCTCCCGACTTATCCCCAATTGAGCACGTGTGGGATATGATGGGTAGGAGATTGTTCAATTTGCAACGTCCTCCTCAGACTCTAGAAGCACTTCGAGAGGAGTTGGTGGTTGCCTGGAATGAGATACTACAGGAGGACATTGACCACCTGATCAGAAGCATGCCTAGGCGCGTTGGAGAATGCGTAGCACATCAGGGTGCATCCACACATTATTAAAGGTCAAAGGGCTTTAAAGCAGTGCAATCATTTTGAAATTTTTATGATTTACTTATTATGCTTCATTAAGTACTTATACAAAATTTTATTAAAATAAAACCATTTAAACTGGGTGTTCGGATTTATATGTCACTTAGTATACTTGGCTTCGTTTGGTCGACAATACTCATGCGAAAACTTCGTTTCAGGTACAATTTTGCGGAGGCTGTTAACTTCGCTCCCGCAGATTGGTTGAGAATGGGACGAGAATGCGTCCTGCACTATTCTCATCTGAGGCGATTTTGCGTATTTTCTCACGATGAGCTTGTATGCAAAATGGCGTTAGATCGCGAAAAATTAGACCTCACCATCGCTGCTGCCACATACCAAGATATGTTGGTCATGGTTGACACCGAGAAGAAATTAAGGAAAACCCTGTTAGACTGGGTAAGATTATAGATAATATCATTGACCGAAATTTTAGCCTAATACTGTTATTCGGTGTCCGAAAAAATAGTCGAAATGAAATGTGGGATATTTTATTACGTTACTTATCTTCAGGTAGTAGTGATAAAATGAACATCCAAGATTATATTATTATCTCAATTATATACAATCACAATTTATTACAATCGGTAGAGTTTCTTCGTACACTTATGTTTAAAGATTTGACTTTCCCGCTTGTCTTTTCTTGTTTTAGCCTCTTGGTAAATTGCCTTATACAGCGTGTCCCAAAAGTCATAGAGCATTTGTGGAAAATCGATACTTTTGAGAATATCCTGTTTTATTGATCGACTTATCTAGAGATCCACAACGTTTTTACGTATACTTTCGAATGAGTTCTGATTGTTTTGATGAAATCTTAAGTTTAATGAGATCCCACACTCTATACTTTTTATATAATATAACTAGAAATGTCCGGTTCATATTTGTTCCACCCTCGTAGGTCGTCTATTATGTATCCATCGAAGAAAGAGACTAAACCTAAACATATTCACGTGATCGCGCTTCAGAATGCCGAACCCGTTACAGGGCCGTACTAAGAATACATGGTTTGTGGTTTTACGACACGATGAAAAAGTATGCAAAATTATTGCAGGCAATTAATATATATATATTTTTTTTAATTTAACTGTCATGCCAAATAAAAAACACCTGACTATTATTACATAAATTAACCACAGCAGAAAGAGTTGAAATTATCGAAATATTTTTCGGAAATAATCAGTGCGCTAATAGAACAGCAGAAATATTTAATGAGCGACATGATAACAGTAACGTGCATCGAAAATATGTTCTAAAACTTGTAGCTAATTTTCGGGAAACTGGGTCAGTCGCCAATAAAAAAGGCAACATTGAAAATCCCATAAGGAACGAAGCAACAGAAGTGGGGGTTTTAGGGCAAGTTTATGTAGATCCTACGTTAAGTACCCGCAAATTAGAGACTGTGTGTGGTGTTAGTCGACGTACTGTCCAACGGATTCCAAAGGCCCATAGTTTTCATCCGTATAAAATTCACCTGGTACAAGAACTTAATGATTTTGATTTTGAGCGATTACAATTTTGTGAAGATATGAGTGAACGAACTATAAACGATGAACACTTTCTATTCAACACTTAAATGTTCCTTTTTCTTAAATGGCGTAGTAAATCGTCATAACGGCCGATATTGGTCCGATTCTAATCCCAGAATTTATCATGAGGTTCATACACAGCAGCCACAAAAATTAAATGTTTGGGCTGATATTTTTGGCCATCATTTAGTTGGTCCTTTTTTCTTACCTGGAAATTTGACCGGTGAAATGTATTTGGAATCCACCCTCCGGTTTGCCATTGGCACTCCACCCTCCGGTTTGCCATTGGTTCTGTGTAAGGGCTCGACGTATTCTGCCCAATAACAGTTATGCTCCTTCTCTTGGTTTAGTCTCTTTCTTCGATACACTCATTCGATTCAAGCGCATCAAATTGTGTCCAGACCAAATCAAACCTCCCTTTGACGTACGGATCAAGGAGCGAACGCGATCGAACGCCAACGCCGACCTTGGAAACGCACGTGCCTTGGCTTGCGTTTAAATCTCGGCCTGTACGCGGCTTTAGAACTGGTACCACAATTGCTCGCTTCCACGGTTCATATTAACAAGAATTGTATGTATATGATTTTTTTAATCTTTTAAAGGGTGTCACCAACGCGGAAAGAGAAGCATTCGAGCTTCTACCAGACGATGAACGTCAATGCGAAGTATGCAAAACGACCTGTTTCTTGTCAGCCATGACCTGCAAATGTTCTACAGACGTCTTGGTTTGCCTGCGGCACTACAAGAACCTTTGCGAATGCCCGCCAGCAAGTAGAACCTTGAGATATCGCTACACCTTGGACGAACTGCCCGTCATGCTTAAAGCTTTAAAGTTGAAAGCCGAGTCTTTCGACCATTGGGTAGCTAGAGTCAAAGACGCTTTAGATCCGAAAACTCCAAAAACCCTCAATCTGTCAGACCTGAAGGCTCTGTTGAGCGAAGCTGACGGTAAAAAATTCCCGAAGTGTGATCTACTCCAAACATTGACCAGTGCTGTAGTTGATGCTGAGAAATGCGCTAGTGTCATACACCAACTCGACTTGAACAAGATGCGCACTAGGACCAGAAACTCGAATGATACGAAATACAAGTTGACGGTCGAAGAGTTGACGTTATTCTGTGAGGAAATAGATAGTTTGGCATGCATTTTGGAAGAAGCCAAAAGTATAAGAGAACTCCTAGCTGAAACGAGAAAGTTTGAAGAAAATAGCGAGCACTTGTTGAGACGGTCAGCTAAGGAATGTCCTATTGCTGAGCTAGAAGCTTGTAGCTCTCACGGAAATGGTCTATGCATCGAGCTTCCAAATTTGAAGAGAATCACGAATAGGCTGAAGCAATGCCAGTGGCTGAAAACTGTGGACACTTATAGAAATAAATCTGATGTTATGGGACTTGATTCAATTAAAAACCTCATACAGGACGGAATGTGTGTAATCCCGCATCCAGACGTAGAATATGAACTATCTCAGTTGCAGGGCGTACTCCAGGCAAGTGAAGAATGGGAACAACAAGCCGCCCAGGTCTTGGAGTCCAAAGACAACAATGTTCTCATTCAGGTAGATAAGCTCTTGAAGGAAGCTTCAAAAATATCATGTTTCCTTCCAACCGAAAGTCTTTTGTTCGATTCGATGAAAAAAGCAAGAGACTGGCTAAGACTACTTGAAGAAATGAACTCGGCTGAGTACTATCCATACTTCAGTGCCATGGAGGAGCTCATCAAAAAAGGCAGGAACCTAGCTCTACACTTGGTAGAAGTAGACAGAATGAACGATTATTTGGTTTCGGCAACCAACTGGAAGGAAAAAACTTGTAGGTCATTTTTGAAGAAAAATTCTTGTTGTACCTTAATGGAGGCACTCTCGCCGAGGATAGCGATGCCGAATTCAACAAAACCTAAAAAAGGTAGGAACGCTGAAGAAGAAACTTGCATACAGTTGAGCAACACTATGGACCCAGCTGCTGTGGTAGCAGTTTTCAAAGATGCCGAAGATACGGAAATGGCGCTGATAAAAAAGATTCGAAGTATGAACCTCGCAAAAAGCTTGGATCCGGCAGATAACTGTACATTCTGTGTATGCGGAAGAGGCATGTTCGGACTGATGATGCAATGTGAGCTTTGCAAGGACTGGTTCCACTCTAGTTGTACCCAATTGCCCAAGGTAGCAACTACAAAGTATAAAGGAAATTTCACGAATATTGCATTGCACTTAGGGTTTAAAGATTGTAAATTCCTGTGTCCCAATTGCCAACGTACGAAACGTCCAAGGTTAGACGTCATTTTAGGCCTTCTAATGTCCCTACAAAAACTGTACGTACGAGTGCCTGAGGGTGAGGCCTTGCAATGCCTTACAGAAAGAGCAATGAACTGGCAAGACCGAGCCAGGCAGCTGTTATTGAATCCCGAATTAGAACTTGCCAAGAACAAACTGACTATTTTCAGCCAGAAGTATAACGAAGCAGCAGCTAGGCAGAGAACTGAGAAAATAATATCGACTGAATTGAAAAGGGCATCGAAAAACCCTGAATTGCACCAAAGAGTACAAGAGATAACACCCTACAGTGGTGTTAATGACGAGAATGTGTCTACTGCAGATAGCGGAATAAATGACTCAGACGAAAATTCTATAGATGATGACAGAATGGGAGAGCACGCGTACTCTCTTCATTTACCCAGGTTTGGAGATGATGATTATGTCCTTCACATCAATCCCGAGATAAAGAAGCAACTGGAGGAGCTTCTGATTGAAGGTGACTTACTGGAGGTGTACCTCGACGAGACATTTGCCCTGTGGAAGCTTATGCAGGCTTCAAGGGATCCCGACAAGGAGTCTATACTTATCGACTTAGATGTAAGTATAAAAATACCTCTAAGGCGGGATCTCAGGGTAAACATTTCAATTTCAAACTGACGATTCTCTTTTGATGCTAAACTGAATCGTGTGGGACCCTGTGACCTAATCAGATAGGGGATGACTTAGGGGCTTACTAATAACTTTCCAAACAACCATATAAGAATCCTATGCATGGGAATCTCAATATCTGTGGGAGATACAGCTTAGGTTAAATTAGGAAAAATGTGTATTCCTTGAGGCGTATTTACAGTGGCGTAGCTACCTTGGGTGGCACCGGTGCGGAAGTTGGTGGTGTCACCCCATCTAAAGTCAAAAGCAGTAAATTTTATATGATTTATAAACTTCATGGAGGATTTAATATTTATATTCACAATATTGAACAAAAAACAATAAAAACTAAGACAGAAAACATATTTTTATCTTAGAATTGAAATCTCTTCTTTCTAGCTTTGACAGTTGCAAACTTCAAAAAAATTTCCAAATACTACGTATTTGTGATCTCAACAAAAATTCGTTTCCTGGGTAAATCTCAAAACCGTCCCCACGACACTTGATAAAATGAATATTTCCTTCTTCTTTTTGAACCCATCCGCATATTTCTGAACTGGGAAGTACGGTGTGTCATTTCTAGGGTATCGCAATTCAAATCACGTAACTTCTTTCCCAATATAGGCGAACCAAAAGAATAATGCTCCGAAAAAAAGAGGCAGAAAGCGACTGTCAGAAGAGACGGATATGAAGAAAGTTAATAAGACCGTCAAGGTGGAAAATAAGACAATGCGTGGTCGGAAACTAAATGGTGTCAAGGAGATCAAGAAACGAGGCAAGCGAAGAGTGCGAAGAGCCCAATCGACCGCGTCTGACAGTGATGATGAAGACGACGATGAAAGCTGTGCAGCAAATGGTTGCCAGAAGCCTACTGGTAAGTGAAAAGTCTACTTTTCAGCACCCAAAAACATTGGGGATGAGCGATTCATCACTATAGTATTGTCCAGTGATCGTTCTTCCCTTTTTCTAAAAAATCATCGCCATGACCTTACCGGGCGATGAACCGTCTGCGCCTTCTTTGGAGCAAGTTCACCGGGAGAAATCCATTGTTTTGATTGTTGCTTAGTTTCTGGTGTGTAATGATGAATCCAAGTTTCATCGACGGTGACAACTCCTTCGGATTTCGCTTAAATTGCTCCAAACACTGCTTCGAAGTTAACAGCCGCAATCGCTTGTTATCCACCCATCGCGCCGACAGTTTTTTTATAGCCAACTTGTCATGTAAAATATTGATTGCCGTTCCGGTCGACACACCTACGGCCTCTGTTACTTCGTGCACTTTCGTTCGTCGATCAGCGAGAATCATGTCGTGGACTTTTTGAGTGATTTCCTCGGTAACCACGTCTGCCGGGCCCATGTTTAAATTCGTTGAAACAATACCTAACTGTGCTCATAGATGGCGAAGTGTCCACATAAACAGCATCCAAAAACAAAAGCGAATGAATCTTAGCGAAAATCACGAAACACATGTTACCTATTAATCAGTCTGAAATTTGTTGTGGCGTCGTTTGATAGATGGCAGCACACGATGATAACGTTAACTTCCCCCAGGAACGCCCTCTGTCGTCGAACACGGGTACTTGTTGAACCGCTCACGTAAAACCTTGTTAGAAAGTGTTTCTTTCATTCATCTAACTGAGCTATTTGGAATCAGTCTACTTGACGCCGTTTTCGTTACAGGCCAAAACGTGGACTGGGTGCAGTGTGATGGTGGTTGTGAACAGTGGTTCCACATGGCATGTGTCGGTCTATCAGCCGAGGACATCAACGAGGACGAGGACTATATTTGTAGTACTTGTTCGCGAAGCACAACCTTTGACAGTCTCGACAGCAGGTCGAGCAGTCCAAGGTCGCCAGATTCAACACAACCTTCTACGTCTAAGGACAATTCATAGTGTAACGGTAATTAAAGTATGCGGCACGGAATGGAGTATTTTAGTATAGCGATTACAGTCAATATGGAACAAGGTAGGTTCAACCTGACTTCGCCCAGTGAAATGTGCTGGTAACTCTATGAGGGAATGTCCAACTGCCTTGCCAAAATATTAGCTCAAGATTTGGATGCTGGAAAATGAATTTGTGAAGAAACTATTTTATCGAAAAAGCATGGTTCTACTACATCTGCACATTGTGATATACGAATGCATGTATAGAATGAGGTTTTACAGAATCCCAGCAACTTTCTGCCGTTGTCGTTCCCGATTCAACCAATTAAAGAAAGAAACGATCAGTATGTAAGTATAGTCATCTTTTTATTGGTTAGGTTCATTATACATAGTTTTTATTTTGGTATTATTTCCCTGAGGTTCGTATCACAGTATGTATGTGTGGGTATGCTTAAATGTGATCTTGTAATTTTGCTACCTTTTGAAGAATTTCACCAACTTTTCTTACAATCTATTCGTGAATCTATTTGATTGCGTAAAGCGGCTTATTAGGGCTCGCGCTGACAGAAAGCGTTCCACGTTCTTTGTAACTAATAGATCTCTATAGAGTCGCACAGACCGAGGGGCAGCCAGACCGCGCCGGTCACTGTGAACGCTCGCGTTTTTGCTATTGTTAGAGATGCAAAAAACTCGTGGAACGCCTCGTTCGCAAGATGGCTTCCATAGAAAAATTAATTGTTTTAGTAAGGGAAAGGCGTTTCTTATATAATCGCGGATTATAAAAATAGTTTTAAAAAGATGCAGCATGGTTTGAAATAGCCACAGAAATGGGAAAATACTGCCAATCTTTTTTTTGTAGATATAGCCTTTCTCCGGTTGGTATCTTGTTTCTCTACTCCCTTTTTTTATAATCATGCAATTCATTAAAAGTACTATGTGACATTCGGAAGTAAATAAAAATAACACTGATCTCTCCTTTTCCATCTCTCTCACAATTAATCGGGTGCACTCAGTATCTTTTTTCTTATTAGGCTCTTATGACGAGCTATCGAAATACATGTTTCACCTACAAGTAATCTTCGTAAAGTGGAACCCAGTGTTGGTAACTGCCTCCTGTCTGTGTTAGAACTCCTAAGAGGAATTGAACGACGAACGCGGCTTGAACGCTGAACGCTTGTCTGTATGCGCGAGCCCTTAGGATGCTCGGAATTTCGCTGACTAAGCCGATGCACTGTTGCCAAAATTTTTAGCTGACCAGTGGTTCTCCTACATTTCAACAAAAACTATGACTTTATTTGATGCCAAGAATTTAGAATGTGATTCAAATTTTGAGCTAACGTAAGTAAGTGTGAATGAAAAAGGAGATTTTGAAGATCAGATAATAATAAGTATTTTTTTCTTGAATCTCGATAACGAAAAGTTGAATATTTTTATACTAAATTTATTTGATAACTGACATCCAAATAGTCAATTCGGCCTGAAACCATCATGGCATGGAGATTGTGCAAGTACCACAAACGTTTTAACGAGATTGATATCCGGGGTTGCGGTGGAGTTTTGAGTTGTGCAGGAACCATTCAAAAATTACTATTGTATGTTAATTTTCATATAAATGTATTATGAAAAAATGCATCTTTTCAGTATCGAGATTAAAGAAGAAACGGGGTGTGCCAATAGCAGGTTCATGAATTTAGTTGTTTTTCTTTTGTTCATTTTTTGATGGCGCATGTTGGGCATTCCGTCATGGTTGAAAGTATAATTGTTATTCTGTTAAATATGTGTGATGATTTAAAAAATATCATGAATAGACCAACAGATGTACTCTTATTTGTCTCATGTGGGAGAAAGACGATGTCTGTCAGTGCACCTCCCTCATCCAAATGTTCTCAAGCTATTGACATTTGTTGAAGCAACATATTTATCCAAAAATAATGGTACATTAGTTAATCTTTATACAAATCTGGAAAAGTTGTTTACTGTTAGCTATTATCTAGTATAAAATGGAGACATATAAACTATCGACTCGAAAACTGGATGAAGAATTTGCAACTAATGAACTTCAGCTGTTTGGACTGACGTGCTATAAATGTCTGGTAAGTCTGGTCAAGCTTTAAAATATATTATCTAGTCCTAAGGACTCTATTTATGCCATTGGTAATACAGTCCACAGTAAATGGAAATCTGTAAAGTCTATCAATAAACCCATGAAAAGCCGTGATTCAACCGTTCAACCGAATTCCTTTTTTAGGCATGTTTTCTACATCCTTAGGTAATAGCTAACGGTGAAATTTCACCAGCACTACGTCATTGTTCATTGTTATATTTTGTATTTATTTAAGAAATTATAGTTTATATTTATTTATCTCGACGCCTATTTTTTTTTCTTCGATCTGTATATATTATGTACACGAACGTTTTGTACTTTCGATGTAATCCACATATTTAATGGGTAAGTTTACACGAAAGGGGAAGATGTAAAAATTATTTTCAAAGAAATGTCTTTCAGTTTTTCGTTCAATATATTTCGTTGTACTACTAAATACCTGAACACCCCGGAATCTTGGTAACCACACTTTTTTTCTGGAAAAAAGGTTCTGAAAATAATTTCAATATATTAAAAAATAAATTTGTCAATGATGACCTCGTTTTCAATTCAAATTGGAAGCTCAAGAATGTACATTTTCATGCTTGAGGTCAAGTGGTCATAAGTGATTCAACCAGCATGTTCTACTGTAACGTCTGAAAAACGAAATATCCTAAAACTTTTCTTGCCATGTTGCCAAGTTTTGGGGGCTTGTGTATTTAATAGACACCCTGTATATGTATATATGTATTAACTCCAATTACCATGTTCTTAAAATACCTGCAGGATATTTATTTGAAAAGTTCATATACCAATGAAGATTCATCTGTGTATATGGCTTAATCATTTTTTTTAACTTGGTCATTGAAGTTTGTATGTATACATTGTTAGCATGGTTTACATTTATTTATTGCTTTACAAACGCAAATCAACCAACGTCTGTTACGATACGATGAATTTATAGCTTTGTTACGGATACATTGCAGGAATTTCTTCAAATGAAGTGTCATGGAACATTCGCCATACCACAGACGAATAATACTCAAATAGGTAAATTCTGAATACATATTTTTGCTGTCTTTGCATAGAAAAAATTCAGAGTTTAAAACAGCTTCACATTCTGGTTCCTAATATATCTCATGACATTTCATCAATTATATTTATATGCATCTCTAACTTTTTTTTATACCGGGTGTCAACGAAATCGTTTTACAAGCCACTATTCACTTGCTGTTTACAGAAGAACCTTGAAATTTTGAGTGAAGATGTGACATAGAAACTTGAAAATCATCTTTCGTTGACACCCGGTATACGTGCCCTTTATGCTAATTTGCTAGTCATATATACAATGTCCGCATTTTTATTATATATCGTTGAGTGTAGGCTAGAGCCATCCATCCAAGAAGAGTTACTGATATTCACATTCTTTAGTTATGTTTCCTATATACGAATACCACACAACTGGAGCATCAAATTGAGTCTAATTGGCAACACTGCTCTGTACTACCCAGTGGCGGACTAAGCCTGTCGGAGGCTACAAGATTTCACATACCTTATAATAACAAGTGAAATATTTTTCATTGTGACATGACTAAAAACGAAAAGGTTAACAAATGACTATTTTTTTCAAAAATCATCCATCCTCAGCACCAGTACGTAACATTATCTTCCAATGAATACACGTACGTAGGCATCCTATTTCCCAATACAGTGGACACGCGTCTAACACCATCTAAAGCTTCGACTTCGTCAGATCTGCATTGATCACCTGACCCGAAATTTCCGTTTTCGTCACATGTACATTTCTGGCATATTTCGCATTGTACAACTGAGAACGCTACGTTCCTAAAAACTTCCTTCACACTTCATCGAACTTTTTGTTTTATACAATCAAATCTAACCCAAATTAGCGCCAACCATTATGACCTTCTATTTTTTCTAAATATGCGATCACTGGTTTATAATCTACACTCACAAATTGACGAAGACGAAAAAAATATGAATGTAGTTTTTGTTAGACAATCTATTTTTTACATAATTGAATTTTTCGTAATTTGGGGACCTCCTTAGTCCGCCACTGGCGCTGCCCCTCCAGTGGTGTGTGATTCGTTAAAACAGGGGCCGGAAATTGTCTTTTCTAGCCCAGTCATTTACTTTTCCTTTGAATGTATCTACGCTTTGGTTTTTATTTTGTCGTTTATCAGTGACTCTACTTTATATGAAGCAACCAATGTTTTACTTGGGTCAGTATAATCTGATTTTGGCAGTTCATTTGGACCCACTGTTCAGACAGTAGGTTTAAACGTACAGTTTTCATTTCTGGATTTTCCCTTGCCAGTGAAGGATATTTCCAAAACATGGGGAAGAAAGTCCTGTGGTGATGAATAGTATTATTCTCTTTGACAACTTACTCTACTAGAGCCTTGACCTTTTTACAACTGGATATAGGACCATAGCAGCTAATCGGTGCATAGTGCTGTTGATCCTAAAAAGAAGAAAAATGTGAACTAAGGGAACCACAACTAAGTTCTTAAACCATTTGATTTGAGCAAATTAGAAAAACTTGTGAATGAATTAGACCATTTTCAATAGGTTCAATAAACATTTTAGTTTCCAAAAAAATGTTAACTCTGCTTCTAATCCATGCGGTTCTTCGAGAACAAAATAGCACTAGTAAGAGCTAACTTTTGCCCATTGTTTAGGAAACACTCTTACAACTATCAACGTGTTTATTGTGTAATATTGTCGAAATCAGCGTATATTCGACCCGAGCTTAAGATTTGTACCCATTATTCTATTGTAATGAGTTAATTTATATATATTATGCCCTTTGTAATAATCTTTTACATACTTCCTTGTGCCCTTTTGAAACGGTCGGTTGTTTTTATTGACTGTATTATATTATGTACGCAGTTCAGTTGTGATAATTTAAAGGATAAGTGATGTAAAATATTTTTATGTATCACTATATGTATATTTTTTCTTCTAGAATATTATTTATCCGCAATTCATTTTCATTGTAAATAATACCAAATCATTAAAATAAGTTATAGGTGAAAAATTATAGTCTTAAGATATTTAACTGACAAATTTAAAATATTTTTACATTCTTCCATAACTTTCCAGTCTTGCCATCGTAGAATGCTATTTTAGAAACTTTTTTTTTTGAATAAATATTGTGTTGTATTTTTGTATTTTGTGGTTTTCGAAGCTGCCAGATTGTTCTATTTGCTTCTAATTTTCATTCCAACAACTGATTCCTGGCCAACTAGGGAAATATACCACAGAACTTAGGACTGAAAATTTCATTTAAATGTAAAAACAAAAGTAATCACTCGTTTCATTTTTTCATAAAAAAGGAATATTGACACACAATTTCAGAGCTGTACTTTTTATATTTGTTAACAAGTTATTGAAGAAACAATGCACAAAAATGCATTTTTTGACTGAAAACATGAAAACATTGTGTTTTAGTCATCTCTATACACATTAGGAAATTATCAGATGAAAAGGAGACATTACCGCTGTCTACGATATGTAAACAAAAACCACAAAACGCAAAATTTTCAATAGAACCAGTGTTGAAACCTTCCAGCATCATGAAATTTTCTATTTGTCAGTTACGTAGTTTGAGAGTAAGTGCACGCATTTTCAGGCCACATGCAGTATATGTAGTTTCTCAGCAGATGCAGACAAGAAAATAACTGTTATATTTCAATGTCTTAATGTCAAAATCTGGATGTTCTTGTCTTATTCTGTGTTTGAGAACACTAAGGTTAACATTTTGGGCATAGAGATAACCAAATTTTACTTTCAAAGTTACAGTAAAGAGGAATAGTCGGTGACATAGTTTTGCTTTAATACAATAGATTTTTAGTTTTATGTGGTATATTTTTTTTTGAAAATAGTTGTGCAAAATACTTGTAAGAAAATTTTATACAAAGGAAAAATCTGTAAGTGCTTGGGCGGTATTGCGACACGTAGTTCCGCCTGTTGAAAATTCATACTTAGTCAGATATGTTGTGTTCAACTGTTAGTAGTTCAGGACTGGTAAATTAGGTAAACTTTTTGTGAACACGTGGTACAGAATTCTTTATGACGAAAATCAGGTTCAAATATATGGATGATAATGTTTAATTGAGTACAGGGTGGTCCATCTATGTGTGGACTGAATATTACTCATAAACAAATACATTTTGGGAAAATCGATGTATGGCATGTTATACATGACATTTGAGGGCACATTTCTAAAATATTGGCAATTATACAGGGTGTCCCAATTTTGACATACATATCAAAGTTCAAAAGAAGAAGATTGACATAACATACTATGGGGTTTTGGTAATTAGCTACTAAGATGTAAGGTGTGTTGTCCAGGAAAACGGTCCAGTAATATTTGAGGCATTCTATTTGATAAATCACAATTTTGATATGTTGGTCCAAATTGGGACACCTTGTATAATGGCCAATATTTTAGAAATGTGCTCTCAAATGTCATGTATAACATCGCATAAATAGATTTTTTCCAAAATGTATTTGTTTATGGCTAATATTCCGACCACACATGGACCCTATATATTTTAAGCCGCGTACAGACCGAAAATCCAACGCCAAGCAAACGAATGCAAGCACATGTGACGTTATTGGAATGCGCTCGCGCTCGATAAATTTAGTTTCGAGTTGGTCCGCGTCGAGTTAAATTTGGTGATAATGTCGAGCGATGAGGACGATTATGTAATATCCAAGAAAAATAAGAAACGGCCTAGGCGTTGGTGAGTAACAACACCATTTAAAAATAGGACCTATTGTCTTCTTTGACAATTCAAAATGCTTATTAGTAGCGTCCCAAAATATCAAATTTTGTCTATAGCACTCAAACTTAATTCATCAGTCCACTCCATATTTTTCAAACAGCAATCCCAGAAGCGCAACAAATCCTGTCCAGACTAAATCAAACCTCCCTTTGATGTCCCGATCAAGGAGCGAACGCAATCGAACGCCAACGCCGACGTTGGAAACTGTTGGCTTATTCTAAATTCTAACGCAAACCAAAGCACATGCAATGTTTGTCTGCATTCGATGAGAAGAGACTCGTCGTTCGACATTAGCACCGAACCTAACCCAATACCTTCCAACAACAAACGCCAATGTCACATGGATTTTCGGTCTGTACGCGGCTTAACCACATGTGCCTTGGCGTGCGTACCAATTGAAGCAACAAAAAAACCTTAAGCTGCAAAAAGGTGTAGAATCAATTTCGCACAAGTGGTACAGCAGAGCATAAGAAGTGCTGAGCAGCGAAAAAACCTGGAGCAGCAAAAAAGGTGTGAAATCATCTTCAGATAAGTGGTACAGTAGAGAAAAAAAAACTGCTGACTGTCGACCAACTGAATCGTGGCGATGACTGTAGCATTCACGTGAAACAACGAAAGCGAGTATTTTGATGGTCAGGACACGCGCTGTTGCTTTACTTGCTCTTATCTATATTGGATTTCACACCTTTTTGCGGCTCCGGGTTTTTTCGCTGTTTTTGTTACCATTAGATCTGTATAACAGATATTAATAGCTCATAAATGAGATGAGAGTTTTTGCCAATTTACATGAATAAAGAATAAGATATGAGGTTGAAAGGTTACACGAAGGAAACGTTATCTTTCGAGAGCCGGATTTTTGAAAATAATATTGATGACAAGTCACTGCAAAATATCAACTAAATTTTATCTACTTACCAAGATCTTGGCGCTGGGTTTACTTGGAATATCCAGTTATCTGCAGGCTGTCAATCTAGCTTACTGTAAAAAAATCGCTTTTGCTTACAAAAATCGGACCTCATTAGTGGAACTTATAAATTTTGCTGCTAGGTTCAAAATCAACGGAATACCATTCCAGGGCGTGGTATTAAGAAATCTAAATTTACTCTTATCTCTGTATTTGAACCTCGGTCTGTACCTGTATGTGGAAATAATATCTAGGAGTATCATTTATTTTTATATTTTGCAACAAGTGTTGTTTCAGTATAAATGTAAAATGTAACTAATTCTTTGAATTTGTCAACAAAGTACTTTTGCATACTTGCAGGATTTTCATTTTTTACCTATTCAGATTCAACCCTCAAAGTTTTAGCATTGAAAATTTCAATGCTACAAGCTAACGAAACTTTGCCTACCGGAATAATTTGGGACGCTGATTTAGAATATAGTCATAAAGAGACCTTGAAGCGTCGCGAGGATCTATTTAGAGTAGGAAAATTGGCCTTCTGGGACCTCTCCTACCGATCTTAATAAGGAACTAACAATACCCAAGATACGTGTTTTTATTTTATATCTAATTGTCAATTTCTATGACAAATATAATTAAGAAAAAGCTAAAGTAACAAAACAAAAATAACCTCATCTCTGTTGCATCTAAAAAAGATTCAAAATGGTCCCTTTGAGTGAAAGAAGAAAACATCTCCGTGATTTTTCTGTATGAACTCTTCAGACTGTCACAGCTCCAATTTCTAGCTCATAGCACATGTTCTAGATTTAATGCATTATTTTTTGCACTCGTTGCTCTAAAATCCATAAGAATCATGTGCATCAATTACCACAGCATATGCAATTATTGCATCTCTACCTAAACTGAAGGACCTCAAATAATTACAAGCAAGATGCACTTTTTATATTTATGAATTATATTGAATAGAGCACCTTTGTATTATTGGTGTTCTTTTCCTTGTTTTGCTAATTTTATTTTTTTTGTACTCTAACTGGAATTGTAATATTCTGTTGGGCAAGGAAATAAAGAAAGCATTAATATGTTAGCGATTTTGAAACGAAACTGACCAAAACCGAAATCCAACTTCCGGTGGGACACTATTCGTAATTACGTGGTGACCCAAACATTTTCACGTGGTTTTGTTTTCATATCCTTGAGATGCTATCGAAAAAACACTCGTTTGACTCCTCGCTCCTCCTCAAGTATAATAGCTAGAGTATTGATTTTTTGCCAGAAAATTTTTATAATTTCATGTTTTCTCCATATCTACACATTTCTTTCCTGATAGTCCGTGTAGAGTGTAGAGTAATGTCAAATCGATATACTCATACACTAAATAAATCATGTTAAAGGTTCAAGCTTTAAACTGCAAGTTTATTTCCACAAGTTCAAGGATATAAAAAATGTTGAACACAATGGATGCGACCTGCCAGGTTACCGTTAGCGTACATGTTATAAATCATCTCTAAAAAAATCCTGCTTTCAAACACAACTGTTACTTGGAGGATGTGTGACTTCACGTGAATGTTTTTATGTATATTTAATATATACTTCAAAAAGAGTCTATTTTCTTGATTCTTATTTTGTATACGACCGCTGGCCCGTGTACCATGTAGCGGTTATAAAGAATGTCTATTTTTGCATTTTCACCTTTTATATCTGTGTTCGTGTGCTATTATTTTGTAAAGATCATACAATGACACCGGTGGAACGAAACTTATTTTTAATACACAGCTTCACACTTTTCATAATACGAGGTGCTATTTTAAGCATTTTCAATGCACCGGCGGAGCATAAGGAGTTTTAAGAATCTGGGTTCCACTACGACTCATGTTATATGCCTAAATCAGCATTTTAGGATTTCTAGAAGGTCATATTTGAGTTTATCATTATTAATTTAGTTTCCTTGGCATGTAGCTACAGTAATGGACAAAAGAATATTGACAAATATGAATATTTAAATAAATACCTTTAGAAAACGAATTCATACTTCATTGCTCCATAAATAAATGCGTTATTAGTAGAAAAACTAAATTCCTTGTTTTTACATTATACTTTTGTCCATTACTGTATATACTGTAATACAAAGTACGCACTTGTAGGATTGTTTTCTACAATTGAAGGGAACCAAGTTGGACCTTAAAATTTGTATATTTAGCACGGTTTTATGTACGATTTTGAGGATTTTTAGGATGCAGTTATGTCCTCAAGTAACTCTGATAAAAAGGACCTTCATGGGGTTCCAGAAGAGTCACTTCCTACTCCAAACTCGGGCGCTGCGTCACAGAATTATTCGAAAAAAGTGTATTGGGTTTCCGGTATTTCAGATTATTTTGTGTGGCTACGCCAATGATAATCTTACAAGCCTCGGCCTCAAACCACTTCTCATTGACGCGTGACGACATCAAAAGTTCGCCCACTGTCAGAGAAAATAAAACAAAATAGGTGAACACGTAGGTCGGTGACTATCAAACTGGACCATGTGTCTTCCACCTTAAAATTTATAAAAATGTACCGTAAATAATTACAATACAATAATACATGCTCTCGCTAGTGTCCGTGTGCATTAAGTAAAACGCTCTGAGAAAAAAGTTCTTGACGAGCATGTACAACAAAGAAACTAAACCGATCAAGTCAGTCAAACAGGCCCATGCAATTAGTCCATAGACATTATTTCCCTTCCCTACTGGTAGTTACCGTCCATCTGGCAACGTTACCCCTTCCCATATCGCCTGATGTAGAGATTCTGTTTACAATAGATGACTCTGATATACCCCCAGAATGATCTGTAGTATCTCCAGTTTCGAGATTTCCCAACCTTTCGCAGACACGCTGTATATGAGACGTTTGGGCTGTAGTGAGAGTTATATGCGATGAGCTTTTTTGAAGAAGCAAACAAGTTACTATCAAAAATAAAAAGGAGAAAACGAAGCCCAAGTTGGGTATCAAGAAGGTTGCAATTAGGAGGATCAACACTATTAGATGAATTGACGAGAGAGGTCAAAGTAAATTTGACGAATTTTTAGATTATGTACCGAAAAAAGATACAAAAACGAGGGTAGCCATACCAACAACAATTAAGTTAGAAATTACGTCAAGGTATCTGGCTGCAGGAGATTTCTTTGCTTTTTATCGAGTACCAAAATGCACTATTTCAAAATTCCTTCCTGATGTCTGTGCTGCTGTATAAGTATCACTGCAGGAACAGATCGTCTCGTAAATAAACAGTCAAACTTCAGGAGGTTATACACCAAAGGGCAAAAGAAAAAAATACACTTTTGTCACTTGTCTACAAGTAGTAGTTGTTTGCAAGCAACATGTTTTATTTTTCTGTCAAAATAACTGCATGCAAGTCCGCCTTGCAAGTTAAACTTTCGTGTATTTTAGTGTTTACATTTGCAAGTTGGATGCCAATTAGACTTGCAGCGTAGACGCCTCTTAAGAGATAATATTTTAACAAAGGTAAAATGTTGACATTGTTGCCATAGCATGCTTCAAATATAGACAGTCGGATATCTTTGCTTTAAATCAAGGTCATTGCACAACTACCGAGTCGATCTACTTGGTGGCATATTTGCAATTTTTGAAAATTAACGAGTTATAGAGTGTAAACACGAGGATAAGGATTAAAAGACAAAAATCGAGGTAGGTTGACACCTATTTATTTACAACTTGTTCTATAAAATTATTTAGTACAGTTAGTAGTCAGCAAAGTAAACTAGGTTCAGAAACTGGTCTCAAATTATGTAGAACAATAAGTAGGTTTCAGATTGAAATTTAGAACACCTACCAACGTAAAAAAATAATTTATTAAAAGATGAATAATACTAAAAACAAAAACAATGTTGTATAAAAAATTTATAGGTTTCGCACAGGATTATCTTTTAGTAACTCAAAATATCGAAGATCTATTCAATAAAGATGCTCTTTATATAAAAAAATGTGCAATACAGTGTACACCGATTTTTTTGTATAAGTACTAGTAGATTAGTTTTCTCAAGTAGGAGTCTTAAAATTTACCAAGTCTTGCACTTTTGTGTACTCATTTATAGCAAAAATCAGGGACCAAAATTCACAGAAAACTAGTAACATAATCAATGAAAAATCAACCATTGTTAACAAAAATTAAATCTGATCAACAGAAATTAAAGATAGCAAATTTATTAACAGAATTTTATCAAAATTACAGGTAAATTGTTAGACAATTTAGAACATAAGAAATCCTTGTACTTTGGAGACATACGCATTAAATTCCCCCCTTGAATATTTTTAATTCCTCAAAGAAACACCCTGTATCAGCCTTATGTACAAAATGAAGATGAAATTAACCAAACTGCAAGATCATAAGCAGGCATTTTCTTGTCCATATCACAATAGGAAACATTACAAAAGTCTTTAAACATAAAGCTGTATCCTATTTACATTAAATAATAGCAAATTAAAATAACATTTTACAAAAACAAAACACACAAACATACTGTACTAAAACGTACATAACACATTCACACTTGAAGCATCTCAAAAGTCTACTAATTTGGTAATGTATCATATATTATGTCCTTTGCTGATTGTGACAGATGATCTGGGAACTTGATGTCAAAGTTAACTATCAAATCTCCATGACGAGATGGTTCTTTAGGAAGTGGCAACCCATATCCTTGTATCCTCTTTACTGTGTTAGGTTTGATGATCTCATTCTGGTAGTTTAGGCTCAATGTCTTTCCAGCCATTGTTGGAACTTCGATGGTACATCCACACAGAGCCTGGAACAAATAAAGTCTTATTTAAACACATGATCACATCACATTTAATATTATGTTCAATCTAACTATCATAGTATTTTTCAAAATAGCAAATAGCTGATTCTCTAGTAAGATTCGGAATATATGCCATATTAACAAGTAACATACAATTTTGATGAATCTGTTAATGCTAGATCTGTAAGCAGTCATATTTTGTTGTGGTTTGTTGCACTCTATGAATTTTCATTTACAAAAGCTCCTACATACAAAAGAAAAACAATATGGCTGTTTATGATCATTACATTTTGAGGTGATCTTGTCACAAATACAGTCAACCCAGTTGACAATTTGTCAACTTGAATTATAAAATATGATGAATTACAGAGCCAGCTCTACCAGCTGAAATTTTAATTGGGATTCCAAATGTACAGCAATGGACAAAAGTATATAGACAAATATGACTATTTACCTAAATATATTGATAAGCATCTGTGACTGGAAGAGGGTATGCTTCAGTGACGAATCCAAGTTCAATATGTTTGGATCAGATGGAGTTAATTACATTAGACGTCCTAGTGGACAAAGATTGAACCTATTGTCCACTTTCAAACATGGAGGCGGGTCTGTTATGGTTTGGGGGAGCTTTTCGGGGTTTTACATAGAATAGATGGCATTATGGATAAGTTTGTATACACAGACATTCTAAAGCATATCATGTTACAATATATGGAAGACAATATGCCCCTATGATCAGTCTTCCAGCAGAATAATGACCCGAAGCACACTTCAAATCTCGCAAAGAAATTCTCTCTGGATGAAAAAATACCAGTTCTCAAATGGCCTTCATAATCTCCTGATATGAACCCCATTGAAAATCTATGGGAATACTTAGATGAGCAAATACAAGATAAAAATTATTCAAACAAGGCTTTAGAGCATAAGTGGAGACAGATTGATGAATTTTATATCAAGAAACTTCTACAATCTATGCCAAGATGATGCCAGGTAGTGATTGATAATAATGGTTATGCTACAAAATATTAACACAAACATGGTTGGTTTTCTATAGTTCAATGAACTTTGCTTCTTTTTTCTATAATTGTTTTGCTTTGTCTATATATTTTTGTCCTTGATAGTTCCAGTTTTCTTTCAATTAATTTTTTATTGAAGGGAGTGTAATGAATTTATTTATGTATAAGTGAGTAATTATGCTATAACAAATTATGTATATTAATAAAACAAGATAAAAAAGAAATACAGCACAATATTAATTTTTCAATATACTGTTGTCCATTACTGTATGTTCCATTATTATCTAACAATAAAGTCAAATGAGGGTAAGGACGGTAGCTAGCATACAGAAAAACATTCAAGCTAGCCCAAATAAACTGACTATTTGTTGAAGCCGCCCTGTATCCAAAAACTTGCAGATGACTAATCTTTGATACAGCAATTCCAAATAAAGAGTTATGTTAATGTACCAATAGACCTTGTCATGACTTGAACATGAATATAAAATGTTTTTTTTAAAGTCTAGAGAGAAAGCATTAATTATACAATTGTGTGATTTTTGAAGATATTGAAAAGTTTTATTCAATGTGTTACTCCCACACAGAGTTTTGGGTGCTGATAGATCACAAATAAGAGTTCAACATATTCAAAAATAGAATATTTTTAGAACATAATTCATTGAATTTTCTGCAAGATAAAATTAACAACTTGATTTTTTTATAGGAACTGTGAAAATGCCAGAAATATTTTTGGCAAGTTGCATCACAGTGGGTCAAGTAATTGCTAAATATAGAAAATCTGAAAATGCAAAATTCAACTCACCTGTTTCAATGAAACCTTGGCTGTATACTTGATGTCACTGCCTTCTCGCTTAAACTGTGGATGAGGTTTGTCCCTGATGATGAAGACAATATCTGCAGGAATCTTATTCCTGCCTTGGTCGCCCTCCCTTTGGAATGTAATCTTTGTTCCAGCTTTCCACCCAGGCTTAACATTGATGGTCAATACTTTGTCCTCTTTCTTAGTGGAACCATCAGGTTGCAGAACCTTCCTACTGATCTTCATCTTTTTCTGGCAACCTTTGGCTATGTCTTCTAGAGATACATACAGATCATGTTCGATAGGGGGATCCTGCATCTTATCTTTACTCCTATTTGGACTTCCATGGAAGTTAAAGGACTGACTTCTGAATGCCCCACCTCCTGGACCTCTAGGCTGTTGACCTCCAAGGGAAGCAAATGGATCATCAACTTCCATATCATCTTCATGCATGAACATACGGTTGTTGCCAAAATCGAAAAATGAAGAGAACGGACTGGAATTTCCGAAGAATTGAGCAAACGTGGCCCTTGGATCTCCATGGTAGGTGTAAGAGAAGTTGTCTGGTTGTCCAGTGCCACCACCTGAGCCTCCTCCAACACCTCCTTTGAGTCCATCCTCGCCATACGTGTCGTAAATGTCTCTTTTCTTCTTGTCTGAAAGTACTTCATATGCTTCCGCTACTTCTTTGAACTTTTCTTCGGCTCCAGGGGCCTTGTTTTTATCCGGGTGGTATTTGAGGGCTAGTTTTCGGTACGCCTTCTTGATGTCGTCATCACTAGCGCCCTTGGACAAACCCAAAATCTTGTAATAATCTTTTCCCATAACTGTTTTTTGTCTGAACGTATGAAATTTGCTAAAGCGATCCTTGTTTTAAACACTTGTGTTAATAACTAGTGAATATTAGTAACACGCGTTAATAAAAAAACACGTTCTGCACGCTAATAATGGCAAATGCACACGGCACACTCCTTGCGCAGCGAAACACTTCAGTCTTATATATTAAAGGTTATGGACGAGAACGTTCGTGACTTTTCTGGAAAGTACTGGAAGCACATTAGCGTCACACACAACTGGCCATTTCCAACACTACGAACACAAAATGAACCCTACTCCCTATACCGGCCGTATCATATTTACAACACTTTTCTACGTACGTTTTCTTCAAAAAATATATCATAATATCTCTTCATTGCGTCAAAATCAAGTAAAAAATCTTATTTTTCACCTGGAAATCTACCGCACTGCTAACTGTCATCTCCGATTCCAACTTTCCAAAGAAGCTGCGAGTGGCGGCAAATTTGAATGTCATTTTAGAAAACGTTTTCTTCATAAAATACGGGAAAATTATACATATCCAGCGTTTGTCTATGAGTGAAGAATGCAGGTTGTTCTTGATATTCCCATATAGACTACCCGTGAGTCAATGTTAGGACTTTCAAGTTTAAAAGTAAGCTAGGTATTCATAGCTGGTGGGTAACCATTGTGAAAGTTATTTTTGTAACAACCCACCATAACATATTTATTTCGGTTAAGGCATGTTCATAAGATAACCATTTATCGGTAATATTCCATATTGATAGAAAAAATAAATACTGAGTAGAAAAGTTATCTCCTCAATACGTAAACGTAATCTTCTGTAGTTTTGTAATGTTGCCAAGTTTATCCTGTTGTCTCATCAAACATTCTGGAAGTTATGAATAAAAAACAAAAAAATCAGTGATCCAGGGAAACAGGGCAGGAATCAGATACTTTTGAACCAAGGCTTGTTTTTAAAAAAATGCTTCTTTATTTGTTTTTACTTTTTAGTATTCATGTCACTAGTCTAGTAATTTCAATATAATTTTCATATACTTCATTAATGTAGTTTCCTATGACTTCATTAATATTATGAAATTTCGATAGATATGAGTCATATAATGATGAATCGATACGAGTAATTTAGGGCGACCGTCATATGGAATTTAGAATGACTTTAATCTGCATAAATATATTCTCTCTCATCAAGATATTTGATCTGCACCTAAGTCAGAGGGGCGACTATGAAAATTATAAACGCCTGGAGCGATCGCCCTATTGGATTTAGAATGCCGTAAATTTGCTTATTATGTTTCTTCCACTAAGCACTTTCATTTATGACACGTATAGTATACGGCTCACTGTCAAAATTGTAAACCGTATATTGGATTTAGTAATGACGTCACGTTGCTTGTTATGTTTTTCTCACCAAACCCTTTGATTTGATACCTATATCACATTGATGACTAAGGAAGATATAAGCCTCATCTTGGGGCGGTTGCCATCTTGGATTTAGAATGAGATCACTTTGTTTGATGTGTTTCTCTCATGAAGCCCTTTTCATTCGATACCCATATCATAGGGGTTACTGTGGAAATGATCGTCATTTTGTGACATCCGCCATATTGGATTCAAAACGGTGGCAGTTAATTCAATGTGTTTTGTCACACGCATCAAACCTGTATACAAGATACAATTGGTTAAGGTAAACTGGTTCAAAATTTAGTTTCAAAATGTGTCCCATACAAACATACTAACATACATACTAAAAAGTTAAAATTAGGCTTTTAAAAATGACTACAAAGTTGTGTGCTATAAGTCTGAAAAATTAAGTCCACAGTCGCGGGGCCTGAATCTACTTTAATGTCCATTATCAATTGATACTGAAACATTGCAAATGTATTTATAAGTAAAACGTTATTTTTATGATAAATCTCGAGTATTTAAGATTATTTTGGATTTCTAAGTATTCTTGTTTATTTTGATTGTTATTGGCAACAGTGTTTTCACTTCCGGCGACTGTCAAAATGAATTCCAGAAGTGTTCTGTCAAAGTCAAATTCTGAATGCGTGTGTTGGGGAGCGGCTTTTTTTCATTTTGAAAAAACCTTTAATTTCAATAATAAAGAATAAAGATGGATTTAAATTTATCCGTTTTTCAAGAACCCAGAGGGGTAATGCGTATATTCCATGTTGTAAGTAGAGCTTTCGACGCTGAAAAAATATAACCGTGAGAAAATGCTGATGTTAATGTTTTTCAGGTGTTTTCGATTTGTGCATTTTCGACTATAACAGGATATTCTACCCAGATTATTTTCAATTGCCTGAGCGAGAGAAGCTTATATGAACTAAGTTATCCTTTCGATTTCCTTTTTGAGAGGAAATTTGGAAACTGCACCTTAGATGTAACAGGAAATTTCTCATCAGATGCCAAATTCTTCGTTACCACTGGGGTCTTAGCAATGCTGTATTCAATAGTCATCATATTGGTATACATTAAGTTCGATGAAGCTTATAAAAGAAACCCCAAAATACCAATGCTTGTAAGTACCAGATTTGGAAAATGTTTTCTACATTCACCTGAATACCTACACATTGGCATGATTATCTCAATGCGTATTTTATGAATTAAGGGAAATGTCCAGAATTTCATGATAATCAAGAAAAAAAATCTTTGAGCTGTCTCAAAAACCAAAGTTCAAATTTTCATCCATTAACATGGATATTTAGATATCTTGAGAACTGATAGTTGACAGGTAGATGCTGAATGAAGTGAACTTGCCACAAGAGGTAGATATGTGATATTCCTGTTAGGGAAATCATAAAAAATGAAATCTTACAAAATTTTTATCTCCCTAATTTTGGGTATTCTACTTAAAATTTTATTGCATCTTATTTTGGACAAAAGTATATAGACGAATATGAATATTTTCAACATTAGTTTAGTACAGTTTCGTGTCAAAAGAGGATTAGTTTGTGTTCATCAAGTAGTGTGGAATAAGTTGAGTGATTTTAAGACCATGCTGAGTGGTCCAGAAATTTCTTTCGATGTTAATACTAAGATCATTGAGTTATACAAAGATGGTCAACATCAAGTCGACATTGCCAAAGATTTGAAGGTGAATCGTAAAGCAGTTCCAGTTTTTTTCAATTAATTTTTTATTGAAGGGAGTCTAATGAATTTATTTATATATAAGTGAGTATTATGCTATAACAAATTATGTATACAGGTTGGTGTATTAATAAAACAAGTTAAAAAAGAAATACAGGACAATATTAATTTGTCTATATAACAGGTGGGCTGAAAAGTCCGTATCGTTTCTATGAGATGGCGCCACCAGAATAAAATCCATACGCTTCTTAGCTAGTACCAACCTTCAAAAGATGCCTGTCAAAATTTGACAGCTGTCGGATCATTAGTTTTTGAGTTATCGTATCGAGAGTGACGCTACTTTTGTTATTTTTGAAAACCATGGAAAGTCAAGAGTTTCGTGTGTTAATGAAACATTATTTTTTGATGAAAAAAAGTGCCGTCGAATGCAAGAAATGGCTTGATGAGTGTTATCCGGACTCTGCCCCGGGCGAAGCAACCATTCGCAAGTGGTTTGCTAAATTTCGTACCGGTCACATGTCAACTGAAGACGACGCACGCAGTGGACGCCCAAAAGAGGTCGTTACGGACGAAAACGTGAAAAAAATCCACAAAATAATTTTGGGAGACCGCAAAATACGGTTGATTGACATAGCTGAGGCCTTAAACATATCAAAAGAACGTGTCAGTCACATCATTCATGAATATTTGGATATGCGAAAGCTCTGTGCGAAATGGGTGCCGCGCAATCTCACATTTGACCAAAAGCAACAACGCATCGACGACTCTGAGGCCTGTTTGGAGGTGATTTTGCGCAATAAAACCGATTTTTTTCGCCGATACGTCACCATGGATGAAACATGGCTCCACCACTACACACCGGAGTCAAATCGCCAGTCGGCCGAGTGGACGGCTGCATCCGAACCACCTCCGAAACGTGGAAAGACGCAACAGTCAGCAGGCAAGGTTATGGCCTCTGTTTTCTGGGACGTGCAAGGAATTATTTTCATCGACTATCTTCAAAAGGGCCAAACTATCAACAGCGACTATTATATAGTGTTACTGGAGCGTTTGAAGGCCGAAATCGCCAAGAAACGGCCACAAATGAAGAAAAAAAAAATCTTGTTTCACCAGGACAATGCGCCGTGCCACAAGTCCATGAAAACGATGTCGAAATTGCATGAATTGGGCTTCGATTTGCTCCCCCATCCACCGTATTCTCCGGACCTTGCTCCAAGCGACTATTTCCTCTTCTCAGACCTTAAGAGAATGCTCACCGGAAAAAAATTTCACAGCAACGAAGAAATCATCGCCGAAACTGAAGCCTATTTTGAGGACAAGCCGAAGGATTACTACCGGAAGGGTATCGAAAAACTTGAAGAACGTTATAATCGCTGTATAGCCCTTGAAGGCAACTATGTTGAATAATAAAAGCGAATTTTGACGAAAAAAATATTTTTTCATTGAAACGATACGGAATTTTCAGCCCACCTGTTATTTTTGTCCATTACTATATATCTCATCGAAAAATTATAGAGTCTCTTTTGACCGAATTTTGGTATATACTTTTACAATATTTTGTTATTGTATGAGTGATAGCCTATCAAGATTAGTCAGCATACTATCGTTATTGTAAAAATATCATAATACTATAATTTTCAAGTTTTCCTGTCAGAGTTTATATGTTTTGTTGTTATTCCAGGATTTCCTCATCACAGTATTTTTTGGAGTTTTGTGGCTATCTAGCAGTGCTGCATGGGCAAATGGTCTAGTTGGTTTAAAAGCTGCAACCAACAGACCTGGGGAAACCAAAGGGCCATGCCAAACTTGCTCAGTTACTACCAGTAACTTCTCTACGCTTAATATATCTGTGGTATGCTATATTCTATGACTCATTATTATCAAGACATTTCTTAGATACACTTTATTGTTACAAAAATACCCAAGCATAATTAGTAAGAAATACAGGTGAATAGGTAACCCTTGTCAAGTAGGTTGACTCTGCAGTGATGATGATTTAGAGATGTTTTGATCAGATTCGCGACTTGCAACATTCGAATTGAAACGCTTCCAGAATTTGTACTGGTTCAACTTATCTTTTTGGTGGTTATCAATCGGAAGCAAAAACGTCAAACTAAATAATAGTGGCTATCAAATATTCCATCTGGTAAATTTCATTTTGTTTCCAGATTTTCGGATTCCTGAACTTTTTCCTGTGGGCTGCTGATTTATGGTTTGTTTACAAGGAAACCCAGTGGTTCCAAGCAGCACAACCTCAACCTAATGAAGGAATGTAATCACCATAGATTGCCATAACTTATCTATATCTTTGATCCATATCAGGTGTATGGAAAAGTCTGCTGAACACCCAAATATTTTATCATAGAATTAGTCCAAAATTATGGAAAGTCTGAATTCTTCACTATGCCATAGCCATACTGAAAGGTAGAATTATCAAAGAGCGAAAACAAAGAAACATATTGTTTTGTTGAAGAATATTCATTCGAGAAACTATAAGAGTAAGTCTACAGAAAAAGTTAGATCGTTAATATTTGGGGAGGATTCAAATCATTAAATGTGCAAATGAGCTAAAATAGTAAAGAACTTGGAAAGCTGTTTATCCACGAATACATATATTGGACGACAACTTACGTATTGTGGATTCAGATTTCGATATTTTTGGGCAAAAAACCCTTTCTAGCTTGCTTTTTCCTTCCAACTTTACCTGTGTTCACTGTGTTTGATAATTTTCATTCTGTTAACCTAAACTTCGATGCCTAACTAGTCACTTTCTGTAATATTTTAAGGGATAAAATATCCCACTTCTGACCCAATATTTGATTTAGTATTATTCTGAAGTGAGATACGAGAATAAAATCTTGTACTTGTATCCTAAAATAAAAATGCTGTTGGAACACTTTCGAATCTCGTCAAATGATGCGTAATCCTGCACCTAGCAATCTCCGCATTGTACAAAGTACAGGGTGCGACAGCATAACATCCTTTTTCAAAACTTCTACGAATAAGAACGTTTTCAATTGTTTTTTATTTTACATACACTTTGTCATGATTCTTGTCTGCGATATGTTGGCAATTTCTTCCTGTAGGGCGTTGTTGGAACAAAATGTCACCCAAGTAGCACGTGTTTCGTTTGTTGATAGCATCCTCAGGCGCGACACCGAGAAGAGGTTCACGCATGCATTCATCCGAGAATTGAAGTCACGTTCCTGCACAAAGTTATATTGTATTAGGCGATCTAAAGGGCCAACGAACACCAGTTCTTCATCTGGTTCCACTTGCAGTTTGTCTGAAAGTAGTGACCCACGTAACAAATAAATTCCGGTCCGGGACGGGGGCCAACGGGGCTAAATTAAAGCTATCCCAAAAGGCGAGCTGGGTTAAAATCATAGAACATCTACTCTAAAAGTAGGCCTCAAAGGCAAAATCAAACTGGATGCTGGCTATTGAACTCAATCGCGTGCATTTTAAAAAAAGTAGTTATCCTGCCGCACTCTGTAGAATTTTGTTAATTCTTTCCTAACAGTAAATAAGAGACCAAAAATTATTTGCCATTCAATAGTGTACCTATTGCTTCGAAAAATTCACTTAATCTGTGTATATATGTATGTTTTGGACAGTGATGGAATAATTTAGCTGCTAAGTTGAGTGACCCTTCATACAACTTGATAATAAATAGTAACCAACAAACCATAGGAAATTTTATACTACACAGCACCGCGACTATCTAAAAATACGCTGGGTTGCGTTCGTAAATTGTTACAGAGAATAATTTGTACTACTCTGTAACAATTTCAGCGTTCGTAACAAAGTAACCCTTCCGGATCGTCAAAAGTGCAGTTTTCTTCCGGTGTTCAAAACCTTGGAAATAAGAGTGTTATCACTTGTCAGTCTCGTGGTTGTTTGTTTACTTTATGTGGCTATCACTATAAATTAACTACTTCATATCCATAGCGTTTCTTATAATAAATACTATGGTCGCAGAAGACGTGGTTAGAAATTAGTCGCATGTCATTACATGAATCTGTAGTAATTTAGGCGTTCTAAAAATAAAGTTTCATAGTATTCCGGAGTTAAATTCCATCTGGTAATCAACATTCCGTTACTGTGTCCAGGTGATTTACAAATGCACCCCTGAATTTCTGCCACCTCGGGAGCTCGGTACACCTTATGAGAAACTGCCATCTGTGATCGTATAGTCGTTTGTGGGTTACACGTTTTAAATAGTCTGTTCTTATCTGTAGTTGCGATGCTGTGTCGTATTAGATATGCTGTGATCAAAGGTTGAAAGCTGGATTATTCTAGCACTGCTTTTCTTGTTATTATTCAGAATTAGAATTTGTTATTTTATCGGTTTCACTTTGAGAGACAGTGTTGTAGAAGAATTCACATTTTATTTTTGTAGTGGGTTAATTGTACCTTGATGTTAAGGTAGCTTTCAGGTAAAGGAATACTTGAGTCAATTTGGTAGACCAATTAAACATAGTGGTTGTCGTTTTCCCAAAAAAATAAACAAAAAAAAATTAGTAATTAGCGGGTGAATTCTAAAAAGTTATCATCAACTAACATATATGAATCTGAAGAACATCTCTATCAACATTTGCCGTTTTCCTCTACAAACTGGACAATAACTATTAAGAGTTCTTGATAACTTTTTAACGATCTAGGCCGAGATTTAGAATCACATTGTAACTATAGGGTCCAAAAATTACAGACATTTCATATGAGAAATTATTGTGCAGTATTTTATGGTATAAGAACATTTTGAAAGGTTATATAACGTCAGAATGGTTTCTGTGTTAATATACGATTATGTCAGGTTTTTAGAGATAAAGTAGACGACAACGATATTGTTTTCGTTTCCATTTTTTGCCGATTCTCAAAAAACTGCTATAAAACCGAGAACCGGAGGCATGAGGACAGAGACGGATCTGAAAATTTTCAAACATTTTCAGGTTTCAAATCTGTGAATTCTCCGCAGGGAACAACTCTCGCCTATTTCCACCAATTCTCGATGTACCATCTTTGCTGTGGGAATTTCATTACGTTTATAATGATCATACACTATGTCCCTTATTTCGGCAGTTGTTGCTGCACTTAAAGGTACAGATGTCACCCATTTCACGTAACATTAATGCAAATCTGTTGAGCATCAACAGACAGGCACATTCTTTAAGAAATACGACGGTATTCCTGGCTATCATTGCTGCCCTCGTTACTGCTATCAGTATCATGCGCACTATAAGTATCACTGTCAGAAAAGGCTTTGCTACAAGATGGGTTTCCATCATTCATAGCGCCTTTGTGCATATAATTTTCGATGTCCGTGGGCCCCTGACCTGCCTGAGCAGATCGTTCCCAAGGGCGGAAAAAGAACTGAAAATATATTCCTGAGTACCGCTCTGTGCAGGTCTTCATAGCGCAGTCACATTATGTGAACTTGTTGTTACGACAGTATCGAAACAGTGCGATTTTTTAGATTCGCTGCATTCAAACCAATAATTGTATCGAACTATTAGAGCTTTTTAGCTTATTGCACATTGCCTCAAATGTGTAATTTATACAGATGAACCAGATTCCATTATTATTTATATCGTATCATATAATGACCGTACTATATGGTGGGTCGGAAACGCAAGAAAGCAGAAGAAATGTAAGCGAATATATAATATCGTTGTCGTCTATTATAGTTCTGTTATGTTTGGAACCCTAAAACGGAAAAGTAGTAGTAGATCGGTACAAGAGTAGATGTAAGATTGCTACTTAATTTTGTTCAACCGTTTGAATTGGTTGTTTTATTATTATTTGATTCCATCCTTATTGTAAGTATACTTAATCTCGAATTTAGCACAAAATATGACTGAGAACAGTATCTGTTAATAATAAGTATGAAAAGCGCCAAGATATTGGGAATAATAACAGTTGGGGATATAACGTTATGAATACCTACCTTATTTATTCTACTATGTATCCTGGTACAATATTTTTATAGGATTAATGTTTTTAACATATTTGTTCATAATTTTCTACCTTGTATTATTTTTTGTTTGGAATAAAGAAAAGTCTACACAGCCCTATGTGTTTCTCAACCAGTCTATTTTTACCTCCTCGCGATTCAGAAATTCTTGTAGCACATCACAAGCGACCCATTTTCTAACTCAAATTTGTATAAGTTTTCCATGACAACATTTCGAAAATCCATTACATATTCGAGATCTAGAAGAAAGTTATTGTTTTTTGGATGTTATACGTATGACATGTACCTGGTTTAACCTAGTCATCCGTTAAAAAAATTCATGAGAAAAGTGACCAGCGGTAATTGCTGGCAATTATTTTCAACTTCTTAAAATGGCCGCTAGGCGTATTTATTTTTCAAAAATGCCTAATTAATAACTCGTATTATGCTGATTGCTCATATTTTCGAACTTTTTTCTCAGTCTCATTCTTCAATATTTTGTTTCGTATAGGGTGGGGTTGAATGCCATTTCAGAAAAAGTAATACAACTTCTTCACCACAGAACATCTAAACCGACCCGAAATTGTAATTACTGTGAAAAAAATTTACCAGACTGAATCAGCAAATGACATTAAAAACTAGCTATTTAATGCTTTTTCAAAAGTAGTAGAACAGTTCTAGTTTCTTTTTACTAAAAACTGAATAATTCCAACTTTTGTCATTGAAGCCGTAATACGAGGGATGTCTTTTAAGTTTTGCATATAGAAACAGTAGGCCGCGCGGATCGAATGTCAGTACGCAATCTTAACCTCACTCTTTAGTAAACTTAAATTCAAAGTTTCACAACGATACGTGCAGTGTTCTCACTACAGTGAATTTTTAAGTGTCACCAAGTCATTGGAAAAATGGAACTCAACCGAGAACATTTTCGCGCCATAATTTATCACAACTTTCAGAGACAATAAATTATCGCAACAAGAATACCTTGCTGAGTTACTGTCTGTCTTTGACAACGAAGCGCCACATCAGTCGACAATTTCCCGTTGGCTGTTTGGGTGTTCCAAGGTGAAGAAAAGCCAACAAAAGTCGAAGTGTATCGAAAAAGGTGGTCGCGACGTTTGTGTCAAAAGCGGGTCATATTGCAACGATTCCTCTTAATGAGCAAAGAACTGTTGCTGTGGATTGGTATACCACCATTTGTTTGCCAAAACTCATCACCGAGATTCGAAAAATCAACCCCGAAAGAAGAATCATCCTCCACCAAGACAATGCAAGCTCGCACACAGCCCAAAAAACAAGGCAGTATTTAACGTGGAACTATTGGACCATCCTCCATATAGTCCCGATCCAAGTCCTAACGATTTCTTTACTTTCCCGAAAATTAAAAACAAACTGCGTGGTCAAACGTTACAGTCACCAGAAGAAGCAGTTGTCGCATTAAAAAATGTCGTTTTTTATCTGCCAGCAAACGAGTAGAATAAGTGCTTCGAAAATTGGTTCGAGCGCATGGTGTATTAATCTTCGTGGAGAATACTTCGAAAGACAATAAAGTCATTTAAAACTACCTACCGTGTTGTTTTATTTCCATATGCAAAATTTAAAAGACATCGGCTGATCCAACTGGTTTTCCGTAGACCTCATCTTTTAAACATCCCCAGTAAAAAAATCCAGATGATTCAGGTCTGGGGAGCGCGGGGGTCGCAAATTTGGTCCTAGACAGCCAATACATCTTCCAGGTCCTAGGGAATGTTTCATCAAGATATCTCCTTACTGCACTGGCATAGTTCATGTGCCGCTTTACAGTTGAAAAATGGACGTGTATGGTTGATTGGAATCAAGTAAAACTGGTCACATAAGCTGTCGACAAGTGGACAAATAGAAAAATGTTAACTGTCAAGTTATGACATTTGGACGAAAACAATCAACAATAATATAATAAAAAATGTACATGAAGAAATCATAAAGGGTTATATTTGTAATATGAGGACCCTAACAAAAAGTGATTTACATTTTTTAAGACAGCTACACGCAGCATGTGGATCGAAGAAGAAGAAAATATGCAAACGTACTACAAATATCTCTTTTAAAAGATGTAAAAGTAATCACAATTTATTTTCAGTAGCCCTTCTTGCTCACCAGACCATTTCTTCAAATTATTCCAATAGTATAGAGCATTTATCCCAGGAACTAAGTACCACACCAGAACAAATATACAGAGCAATCGGAATATACATATATTTGATAAAACTATTCCTTGCATATAGAGATAAAGAATTTGTAAGTTCACTACTCGAAATGGGATTCACCAATGATGACATTGACGAGTTACCATTTATACATAACAGGGAAGAGATATTAAAGACACAAAAAAATATGTTCATGTTCGATTCTGAGAAGATCTTAAATGTAAAGTGGAGGATCGACATCAGTCTACTGAATAGGTAAGAACTTATTTTTCAAAAAAAATATTCTACCAGCATAGCATCATACAGAAACTCTGTGTTTTAATGTTATGTTTATGTTGTCAGTTGTTGTACATTACCCCTAATGTGTTTAATTTTTCCAATTAAATTAATAATAATTTTGCAAGTTAGACAATAGAACCGTTTTTATTTTTTTACTCAAAAATGGCGCATCGAAGTAAAACAATTCAAGAGAGATCATTTGTTTCAAATTGAACGGGGAATTCAAAAATAATTTGCTGATCCTTTACTCTGTTGTTCCAAAGACATAAAAAACAATCATATAACACGAATTCACTTATAAATACTAATGGTTAACTAAAACATGAACAGGTATAGGTGTACATCAAGTACACAGCCTGGTTAGTGAAATATGGTAATTAATACCACATATTCATTTATAAATGCGAATGGTAAACTGAAACATGTAAGGATAATTATGTAGTAGATTTTAATTTCATTTGCAAAACTTTGATTTTACATGTAAAAATTTCCTATTATATTTTATGAAACCTAAATAATACATTACCTTGTATCTAGAATCCTACTAATGCTAATACTAATTTAAAATATCTGAGTACTGTTTACTATTGTTTTCATGGAGCTACTACCTGCATATTTTCCGTATTTTTCAGTACCCTTGTGACAAGCAGCCCACTATCAGTGATCCTCTGCTTTGTACTGCATAACAAAGAAAAACAGGTGATTGAAATCGACATGAGTATGTTTCATAAATTGCGTTTTACTGTTGCTATCCTCTTAAAAGAATTTTTTGCATTTGAAACAGCATTGAGTAATACCCCGTTTATCCATAATGTATGATTATCCTGTGCTTTAGGTATGTTGATGAATAAAAAGCTGTGAATCATTTTGTTTTTTATTGTGCACCATAAAAGTTTCGTGTATTGGTTTATCAGTAATAATTTTTCAGTGAAAACTGTAACAGAAATCCCGGAAACCAAAGCAATAGTAAGTTATGACTTCTCACAGGTTTTTTAATCTCGTGTATCTAAAAGAACATCGTTTGCTGTCAGGTGTTTTTCAGTTCTTTGTTTTCCTGTACCAGAGGTGGGGCTCGCACCACCTTGTTAGCACAAATAGTGGCGCTAAAAGCTGCAGAAGCATAATCTTACTTTGTGTAGCAGTTGATTTCCAATTTGTGGATGTTTTTGGATCATGGAGGAACTTTTTCGGAACCTAAAATTTTGATGGCCTTTTTGGAAAGGTTTTTTTTAAGGGAATTTTTAAAAAACTTTCTAATTCATTTCATTAATTTTTCAATACCTGTATTTATACCGTAAAGATACCCTATTAGGGAGCACTTCCGATTCAAAACTAAAACAGTGCAATGCCTGAGAATTATCCGTCTTCCTTTGTGTCAAATTAAACGATTCAGATGGATACTATCAGCCTTGACATCAGTAAACTCGTTGCAACTTTATTAAACAATAAAAAAATAAAAAAAACATTTCCCAATCGCAACTCAAAATTAATTTTCCTCTTTGTCTAATTATGCTAACGGCAAAAGGCAAACTGTAAATCAGTTTGAGGTTTCATCCTTTTTCATGGAATATTATAAGTTTTTGTTAAAAAAAAAGCTCAGAGAAAATCGGAGGCAATTTGAAAAATTACGAAAAGGTTTTTTATATGCTTGAATTGCGATTCCAAAAATCAACTAGTTTTTCCAAAGAGGAAGACCTTTTTTTGTAGCACTTTTGTATGATACCACCCCCCCCTAGGCAGTACTGCTGGCTACGCCCATGACTGTATCCCCGAGATCGATTCAGAAATTAGCCCTTGTTTGTACCTTCATAAGCTAGAATCGACCCGATATTGCTTCTTATATTTTTTAAGATCTTAGTATTCTTGGAAAAAGGCTGTCTTTACGTGAAAGTTGTCGAAGTTACAGAAAATGTCCAGTCCGTCTCTGAACCTATTCATACATAAACATAAATACCCATAATCTGCACACTTAGCAGGTATTATTATTTTACTTTAAAATGAAGTCCATTGAGTCTACAGGGTCATCTTGTACTGATATTTTTCATGCATATAACCTATTCATGTTTACTCAAAATACATTTTTATTTGAGTGGTATAAAAAACTATCGAATATTTTCTGGGTTGTATAATGTTCAGATTTAATCAAACAAAATCGATATCAAAGGCCATAATTTAACTACTAAGTATTAGAGAGCTTTTTTACGATTATTGGTATCGGTCATGTGGACACCGGGGATGGCTAGAAGGTAATGCAATCTGAAAGAGCAATTCTATCTCAATTTCGACCTTGAAATTAATGTCGTCTCATGTATCGATATACATATTAACCGCCATTACAATTGTGACACCTAATTCAAAGTGACGTCTATATGGAAATCATCACGCCATTGTCGAAATCAAGGAGAGATGGAAATTAATTTCAAGGTTCAGTTACAAAATTGATAAACCCATTCTACCTGAAGATAAACAACAATGTACAGTATTCTGGCGTCCAAAAATTATCCGAGATGAAATGAGATACCCTGGCGTCATCTATGAGAATTTGCCATAGCTATGTTTCTCCGATCTGCAATACTTTGAAAATGTGTCTCATAGATGGCGCTGTAGCCAAATATGCCCTCATATATGCTTATATAGTTGACTAATTCACCATAAGGAGACACAAACCTTTTCAAAGTAGATTTCTAATTATCGCGTAGATGATACCAGGGTATCTCATTGCATTCCGGATAACTTTTTGGACGCCGAAATATGCGGTTAGCTATGATAATCAGTACAATCATCTCGGTCACTTTGAATACTCATGTTTTCAAAAACGCGGCAAATGGTATCTTCCAGAGTATCACCGCCTCTGGAGTATCAACGTAGATAGTGATTTGACACGTACGGTGAATAATCCACAGATCTGAGATCCTACGTTCCACAAGGGTCAAACCTGGGGCACTAATATTAAATTAACCCCTCAACGATTTGGATAATGAAAGGTGTAAACTAATGTATAGCGTTATTGATTATCCATACCATTTGCCACGTATCAAAGTCAATGTGTCTAGGCATTCTTTAACATTTTATTCTACGAGGGGCTCTTGAAACCTCCAAATAGCACAAGCTCTCGAATTTTTTCAACATTTTCGTCGATTCAGGCAGTTGATGGACGTCCAGAGCGAGGTTTGTCATCAATCGACATGTCGTCATTTTTAAATCGAGCAAACCACTCATAAACCCATAGCATCATCTTTGTAAGCAATTTTCAACATTAAAACAGTTTCACCAGCATTTTTACTAATTAAAAAGCAAAATTTCACAGCTGCACGTTGCTCACTGAAGCTTGCCATCGTAAAAAACGAAACAGCTCTAGCAAAAACAATGATTACAGAGGAACGAAGCAAGCCAGATCGACAAATCAGGTGGCACTGAACTGGTAATGAGTTGCGCTGTACGCCTCTAGGGGCAGAAATGTGTACTACACAAGCTCCGCCCACTGCAATGCTATTCCGGTTATTTTTGGGTGCCTCCTCGTATTACTGCCAGAACAAATTTAATGTTAAAATCACCAGTCAGGCAACGAAATGCTATTATGACTATTATCTCGGCGGCCATATTCTCATATGCATTATGAGAAATAAGCATTTATCGAATGTTATTTGTTCGTTCACCATTATATGTTTTGTCAGTGAAAAAAGTTGAAAAGTAGAATGGGGGTCGTGTCATACTTCGTTTTAAAGTTTCTCATGAGTAGCACGTTGTCAAAGTTGAGCGTTTTTGTACATTGAGTTGTTTGTAACTCAACAACCAATCATGATAACGCTATGGCAGGTCATATCAAACTTCTTGTTCTGCACTTGAAATGGTCTATCCGATTGTGTATTAAAATATGAAACATTCGCTCTAACAAAATTCTCAGTCTTTATTTTTAAACGGAATGTCTTATATTTTATTGCACTTTCAGATAGTTCCTTCTAAAAAAAGATTCATATAATAGTTTTACGTTAAAATATAGTATTTATGTTTCTATTTGATCATTCCTAATTTCAGTCTACTTACTTGGCCCGTTCAAAAATAATAAGGTGGGGAGGAGCTATTTTTCAACATGAGGTGTGAGGTTTTTGGAAATGACCTTTAAATAATGATTTTCAACTGCAGTTTATGAACGTGTAAATTAAATGATGCTTAAAATGACAAAGTAAACGTTGTACGTTAACTTTGAGCTATTTTTCAAATCAATAAAAAATGGGGTTTGGTTTTTGCCATTTTCCTTTATCAGTTTGCAAAACTTCAACATAAACTTCCAAGGCAACCCCTTTTTAAGCAAATGATTGGACAACTTTTACTTTGTGAATGATCCTGTATATGGCGTGTTGCCTTGCCTTCCATTTTATTGTAGTGGGACAAATACTAACTATGTAAATAGTTCAGAACGATTCGGCTTTTCGCGAGTTATTATTGAGCAAAAACGTTATTGACGAATTGCCATGCGCAAAAAATCGTAAGTAGCTTAGATAAAAACACGTGTCAACCTGTTAAAAGTGTGATAGATTAATCCGATTCTAAAATATTCGCTCATTAGTTATTAACAGTAAGTACATACGAAATTTATTTTCGAGCGAGATTTTAAACATCATATTCGTTATAGGTCAAACTTGGGTTATATAGTATGATAAGACGTCCGACAAGATGATACCAATATTCTGTTGTCAGTTTGGTGTTGACCGCTTCCGTTGCATTTGGTAAGCATGTTCACCTCTATCTTGATTCTCCTAGCAGACGTATCTTAACTTTTTGACAGTGGTATACTTTTACGCCTCTAGCCGTGGTAATTCTACGCATCTTTTAAACATATTTCAATAATCATAGATTTCCCCGTTCATTTATACTTAAAACAGAATGATGGAGAAATATTTCCGACCCTTGTGAATCGATCATACGCTCCGCGGTCCTGCCGCTGCATACCTTTTGTGAGAAAGCGTAACCGCCTCCAAAATTTCTTGAGGTTCCAGACGGAGACAAATCTTTGAGCCCCATAATGGTACAAAAACATGGTAAATATGCAAATTTTAATTGTGTGTGTGTCTGTTTGGCTAACTTGATCCGTTTAATTTTTTGTTATACATGTTCATAGCTAACTTTTTTCTCAGAGGGGCCAAGTGCAGTGGCGAAATTTTTTTACAAACGCGATGTGTTTCTCAAAGAACTTAAATTTGATCGAAATTTTTAATTCGTTCCTATTTTTGTAACTCAAGTGTATATGTGTGAAGTATGTCCAGAGCAGGTGCGAGAAATCACAAATCGCAGAACGTCTGTTAACGACTTCCCCAAATATCTAGAAAGCCCGGAAACGTGAAAATCTATAGGATTGAGAGATTTTATATTATTCGTTTCACATAATTCCGTATCCGTTGAAATGATGTTCAGGCATCGTAAAGCAAATCATTTCCATGAGAAAAGGTCAGTTACGAACATGGTCAACAGAGAAATTGAACGACTTAAGTCAGCCAAACAGGCCCATACATATTATTCACCTGTTTCACCGGTAGTTACTGCCAACGCTGCCCCTTTCCACATGTGCACGGCAGGGCCCAGCGCGGCATCACAGCAGTTAGTTATCGTTCATTTCGTGCATGGTCCGTGTACGTGTATATGTTTTGCGCTGCAGTGCGGATAGATTAGTCAGGCGGACCAGTTCGGCGGGCGGTGAGCTTAGATAGCATGAGTATAAAAACATTTCTGTGCAACAAGTTTTAAAGGAAAATGTACGGGAAAGTCTATGATGTGTGAAATATGGCTAATAGGTGCATATAATTATCAGGGCTGATGAATCTACTTGGATCAAAAATTCTTCCACCCCCTACAACCCCCAAATTTCAACTTCTACAATTTTTTCTGAAAATAACCTGGACCATCTGAAATGTCAAGAAACGATGTTTGATTTACAAAGCTTTTTCGTCCTTGGCATAGAAATAACCTTGTGTGAATTTAATCAAAATCCGGGAGGTACTTCTCAAGTTATAGAGGGGCCAAGGATGTCAGATAACATCCAAAAACGCAATATCTCATGTTCTAAACTTCGAGATAATATGTGATCCTAGCTACGGCACTGGATCTTCAAGTAAACTTGAATAAGAATCATCTTCCGAGGATAGTGACCTTCGTGGAAATATACTATATGACATTGAAATTGCAACATCGTCAAGAAAGATGATAGTTCTCTATTTAACGCTGGAATAATCAGATTAAAATATTAATAGCGAATAAACTTCGATTGAATCGAGGATGACTTTTCCAGAAAATTGTATCATAGGAAACGTCCAAATATCATAAGACTCACTAGGTGTATATAGTCGAAATCACGAAAGATGACGATCAAGTGAACACAAACGACAGCGATTTGTGAATATTTTTAATGAAGTTTTAGATATGTTAGACAGAGGCAAGACAAAGATAGACGATGTTTTCATGATGCATGATCGATCATATTTGAAAGATGGATAGTCAGGTTATGTTACAGCAGGTTAGGTTGTTTTCGAATGATACTTTGGTCATTGGTGTTCCTGTCTTAGAGTATTCTACTCATAACTGTTTTTTCAAAACAAAAACTCCCCACTAAAATTATTATTAAGGTATCACTCAAAACCATGAAATAAAATGAAAATAAAAAGTCAGTGATATAACCTAACTTCGCAAAATCATAGTATAAATTTGTTGTCATTATTTTCCTGACATCGTGATTGTATCATCGACGAACGTCCATTGATTACTTCAGTACAATTTATGGTACGACGTAATAGTCATCTTTCGTGATTTTGACTATATTTTCATTTTCGTTATCCGTATGTCACTCGTGTTCTAATGTTGTCTTCTTTAATTACTTCTAATTAACGTAAACGTTATCGTTTTCTCGTATTATTGAAAAAGAAACATTCATGAACATTGGATTCGTAAAAGCAGAAAGCACAATTTATAGTCATGCTTATATGTTTGCAAGTTTTAGAGGTTATGTTTCTGTCAGATCCTGTTTACAAATGGTATGACGTCAAAGCACATTAATATGGTGGACAGTGTTTTTCGCCTGTCTGAGAAAAACATAAAATATGAGAGTTTTTACGGTCTTTAACGTCTGAAAAAATAAAGTATTAATTTTTTTGGTCTAATAGAACAAATATTAACTATTTAAGACCTACTAAAAAAATGTCAACTAGCCTAGCAGGGATGTTATCAAGAATATTGTTGCAGTTTTTTGCGAGACAGTATATATGAATATTAGTGGCGAATCCGACGCTGAGTGTGTCATCAAACGGTACTTCTTCTTCGCGAAGTTCCGCCTGACCGTCTCAACAGTACTATGCAGTTCTATCCGCGTTCGCGCCCGAGCTTTGTCTAATATTGGCTGATTTTAGATCACTTTCGACTTCATTTATAATGTCTACTTAATTTTTTTCGATTACATAAATACACAAATAATTGGACAAACCTTTGTAATCTCAGGTGCATGATACATTCAAACTGCTAATTTACTAGTTATGTGCTTCTGTTGATACTGAATGGTATGTTATCTTTTTAATTGTTGGGAATGCAGTATGCAATATAAGTCGTACGTTAGATCTAATTGTACTATATTTTATGCTTTTTTTTCTCTTCCAGACACGCGTCTTATGTGAAAAACAGGCCCCATGGCGCAAGTATATAATAACGGTGAGTGTATATACCTCATATATGTATTTGTAACATCGATTCAGGGTGTTATATTTCTTCTGAGAATCTACTTAATTTATTCATCTTATCAGGTCATTTGAAAAATGCAATGGAGTATTTCTACTTCGTCCCGCATTATGACGCTCATATTTATGGAGTTTACCCCTTGTGAGAAATCGCGTCAAGTAGGTTGACTCGGCACTTGAGACGCAATGCCGTTAGCAGTTAATAAATGATTATGTTCAGCATAAACTTTTGTGAAAAAGTCGGTCAAACATTTCCACACAATTAGTCCATAGACAGTCTTTCCCTGCCCTAGCCTGCCTGCCGTTAGGTATCCGATCCGTCTGCTGAGAATATTTTTAAGTTTTAAGGTGAGATCTATGATGTGTGAAACATGTCTAATAGGTGCATAGACCAAGGTTGGGAGCGTGAAATGAACTAACATCAAAAAATTGCCCACTACCCCCCACTACCATTTTTTTACCTTTAAAATCTATTTCAAAAATTGTCAGAATCCTCTGGAACGTCAAAAAACGAAGTTTGAGTGATTTTTATCCCATTTCGTTTTTCCCATACTACAAAGCCTTTGAGTCCTCGGCATAGTAGTAAAACGTTTACATGCGTAAATTGAAAATATATGAGAGTAGCAAGTCTTCCTGATGTTATTTTTTAATCTTAATGAAGTGTTTTCATAATTTATTTCCTAGAGATCCATCATTATGTCGCAATATGATTTGTTATTATTTTTTTGATTTTGCCAAATCGGTTTGTTCAAAATCGGCTTAGTTTCTGTATGGCACTTTTTCAGTCAGTAATCAATTTTCAATGATTGGAATCGGCTTATATATTTTACACTTTTTCATCGATTTTTTTTACTGTAAACCTAGTTCAAGCTCACTTTTGTTGTGGCGCAGGGTTGCCAATTTTCATCTGTACGTTCTTTTATGATCGAATCTAACTTATGTGTGTGTGTGATTTATATTTGACTGATAAGAGATAATACATCGTTGCAACACAGAAGCTGGCGTTTTTATATCAACTTTAGATTTGCCTTTGAAGTTACATAAACATCAAGAGGTTTTTGGCAAAGGTTAGACGATAATATTGGAAATGTTATGGAGATTAACACTTGCATAGGAGAATGATTCGCTTTGCCAGGATTGGACTTACGCTTATGAACAAATTTACACAATGGTTTAGCCATTCAACCTTTGTGATTTTTTTTTGGACGAAGAAATAGTAAATTACATGCCTAGGTTGAATGGCTCAATGTCGGTCTAGCACTTTTATATGCGCGTGGTTCCGGAGTATATACGTATTGTGCGAGATCAGTAATTTCCTTCTTAAATAGAATATGTACCTACACATACTTTATATCACTATATTTCGTTTTACAAGATTTTTTCTATTCATTTATCGTATAACCTAAACGTTAATCAGCGATCGTAATGTTATAGTAGACGACAACGCTTGCAGATTCGTTTACAGTTTTTTCCGATAGTCATAAAACGGCTATAAAACCGAGAACCGGAGGGATGAGGACAGAGACGGATCTGAAAATTTTCAAACATTTTCTCTTGAAAGTATCGATGAGATGAGAGATGACTGAATCAAGTTGTTGAAGTAACGTTGATTGTTCAAATCTCCGAAATGTCCGCAGGGAACAACTCTCGCCTCTTTCCATCAATTCTCGATGTACCATCTCTGCTGTGGGAATTTCATAACGTTTATAATGATCATACACGATGTTCCTTATTTTGGCAGTTGTTGCTGCACTTAAATGTATAGATGTCCCCTTGTCAATTCTTTTTCGTGATGACACCGTTTTTTAAGGACACTACTGCTCTGACCCATTTTACGTAACAGTCCATTCTTTTAGAAATACAACGGTATTACTGACCATCCTTACTGCCCTAGTTACTACTATAGCCAAATACCAGAATTGATGACAGTAGCAGAAGTCATCGTGCGCCACTGCTTTGACCCGGTACCTGATTACATCGACGGTTGTCGATATTTCACAAAGAAGTGCCGCATTTTCGAGGGCCTCCGCGTAATAGCAGTGGCGTACGATTAGTTTCGCTACTGTCATCAATTTTGGTATTTTACTATATCAGTATCATGCGCACTGACAGTACCACTGTCCGAAAAATCTTTGCTGCAAGATGAGTTTCCATCATTCATAGCACCTTTAGAGGCTGCAGACCTACTTGAGCAGATCGTTCCCAAGGGCGGAAAAAGAACTGAAAATATATTCCCGAGTACCGCTCTGTTGCATCGCGCTGATTCACCTGCTTGCGGGGCTCGGGGGAGGAAGGGGGTGCAGGTCTTCATAGCGCAGTCACATTATGTGAACTTGTTGTTACGACAGTATGGAAACAGTGCGATTTTTTAGATTCGCTGCAATAATTGTATCGAACTATTAGAGCTTCTTTTCTGCTAGTAGAGGTATTCAAGAGGGACACCTATATATTGCATTATACCTAACATTTGCCATTTTTTACCTGCATTCAGATATTTGGGAATATGCAGTTTGGTTGCCAAACAAAACACCTTATAAATGAAGTGAAAATCGTGGGAGATATTTTCAAATTACAAACAATTTGTTTCTCCGCTCTGAACAATGTGAGCGAAAAAATTTTTCAGCAAGTCTGAACAACCCTAAAACTTCCCATTTTCATTGCTCAAAAACTACAAGATAAAAATCATTTTTAAGGTTGCCGAGTATCTAAACTGAAGTTCAAACCTTTCACTACAAGATCCCAAGAGTATTTTGGGCTTTATATAGTACGAGGCTGGGTTACTAAGGACATTTTATAATCAAGTGATTTGTTTTAAACATTGTTTAAACAAATTTGCACCAACGAATAATGAATGGATAATGAAAAATTACGCCGGAAATTTTTTCCTACGAATGCGAACTTTTGCATCGTCTATTAACACAAAATGTTCGTTTCCGATTGTCACTCTTAGTGAATTTTTAATGAATGCATTGCATCCAAAACAAATGCTACGAGAACGTAATGTCAAATTAACATTCATACACGTAACGTGATTTCCGCGACAAAAAATTAGCATTTTAAAAACTTTGTGCATTGCTTATCATAATAATTTATTCCGAATTATCGAATAACTGTAGTGAGTTAGTAGGATTTTATGTCATAGATTTCGCAAATGTAACGTTATCTACGCACTTGGGCAGGAACGAAAAAACTTTCCATATAAGATTTTTAGGTATTTATGAGTCCTACAAAGTGAGACCACGCGTAAAAAGATCCGACTAATAGCAAAAAAGTTATGGCCGAAAACCGAGGCAAAATGCAGGTTTCGGCAGATATTTGAAATTCTTCAAATTCATAGGATTCGTACTTCTAAATAATCACAACAAAATTGGAGTAGATTGGTCAAGTGGTTTTTGAGAATTTCTAATTATTTAAGTCATTGTATAGCAAAATGCGCTAGTTTACCTTATCGATATGAATTGCAACCTATTCCGGAAGATAAATGTTATTTTTTTTGCAAAAAATGATGGTTTTCGTTTTTTCTTCTAAACAAATTCAAACATTTCGTATTATAACACTTATCTTTCGGAATGGTTTGTGATTCATATCGGCAAGGTAAGCAGGTGTATTTTGCTATGAAATGATCTTTGAACGAACCCTTATAATGATTTTCCATTACATAAAAACAGAACATTAAACTGATATTCTATGTATAGTGTAACTCATTAACTTCGCAAATACATCTTTGTTCAAAGTCGACAAAATGGAAATGCAAACATAAATAAATCAAGTTAACAATGAATAACCAATGTAAAAATTCAATGCATAATAGGTAATAAAACTAGTAGCAGACCAAATATCATTTTTCTGGAAAATCGTTCATTTTGTCGATACCGATCGATGGCACATGATAACCAAAAACACCCAGGTAACTAATGTCATTTGAAATTGTATTCTTCTAACTTCACAGTTATGACACCTAATCTTTATATGTATTTAGAAATGTATTTAAAAACAAGTGATAAATAACTAATATTAGATATAACAGCAGAATGGAAACAAACAACAAACAAATCTGCGTTGTGTTGCATATATTTGAGTTTGTCAGTTTGACAACACGCTACTAGATGTTTGAAAGTATTTGTAAAATGAATGAAAATATTTATAAATACGACCAATAGTCGTCGCTTCTCAACCTAGGTATGTAAGGTACTATTTTATACCTCTATTTTCATTATACAGTCTGTAAAAATAAACTTGGGATTTCAGTACTTTCAATGGTGTTTCAAGATATATACTGAGTGACAAACAAAGGTAAACACCTACGTATCTTTATTATACAGGGTGACTTCGAAGTTGAGTCATTTATTTTAACAGTGAGTAGATCTGATCAAAAGAAATGTTTTTTTCCTTTAACATTTTGGTGGTAAAATTAAAGTAACAAAGTTATAGCTCTTTAGAAGTTTGAGTACCGCCCTGTCTCAATAATAATATTATGTGCTCGTGTTTGGCAACAACGGATATAATCCGCCTTATCGGTTCATCGCATCGGAAACAAAAAAGCGAAAGAATTTGAAACGCTTATCACAATGTTTTTACTACCATTTTATTCAGTTGTATTCAGTCGATGTGTCAGTCGGTAACGCGTGAGTGAATAGTGGTGTTTGTTGCGTGGCTCAAACGAAATAAAAAATGGCACATGTTTACGAAAATGCTGAACTTGTAGACATGATTCTTGTGTATTGATATACCTCATTATGGATTACCGTGGTTGAATGATCAAAGTGTTCGCAAAGAATTCTCTAACTTGGGTTTTATATTGCTCCAGGGCCCGATCAAATTGCACCTGCCGAAGACGAAGTAGCTGTGAGAGCCGACGAATATGTCCGCCTTCGTATACCAAAAAGTGGCAAAGCCATTGAAACCATCCGTCCATTTTCCATACCCTTCCTTTTTAAAAAATCTGTAAAAGAATACGCCAACAATACGGCCCTTGCGCAAAAAGTCAACGGGGTATGGAACATCATCACATACGCGTAAGTTTGATTTCAGGCATCTTGTTAGGAGATTTCCATTTTTTACGAATTTCTTATTTAAAGTTTGGAATTTGATTCGCCTATATGAAAGAAAGTTTTTTAAATCTCTAGTTTTCGCACTGTTTTTTATCAGACAATGCTTTCTGAACGATGAAAGCCATTATTAATTGTCAAGAAGATAAATATCAGAAGGCTGCTATCGGTGCGTCAGTTTAAGTTTGGTGTATATGACGGCCAGTATGCCAGAAGCAGCCCAAAAGGATTTGAAAAGAATCAATTGTACAAAAAATCCAAATATTACTAACGAGGTAATGTGTACGAGAGAGCGTACAATACGTAGCTGAGTCCGTGACCTCGTCACTCGGGTTGTTAGGCAACGTGGTGATTCTATCTGCTTCTACGTATTGCACGCCTCTCGTACACATTACGACGCACAGTGGTTCAGAGGGCACCATTTCCGCGAAAATACAATAGTAACCAAGTGTAAATATTATTGTAAAAAGAATAAATAGTACCGTTGGCGCCATCTGTTGAGGACCGCCCCAGACTCTCCTACTCGCCAGCTGCTTCATGGCCGATCTCTGTTGGGGACCGTGCCACTCTCCTTCGGTGGCGACATCTGTTGAGCACCGTTCGAGTGACTCGCCTTCTAGATCGACGCGAAGTGACCTCGACGATTCTGGAAGGCCGCTATGTGGCTCACCGGAGTCTTCTCGACCCAACGATGCGGACTATACTGGGTGTTAGGGTAACGCCCTGTATAGTGCCGCCATGTTCAATTTTTGACATATGTTAATTTTTTAAAGAGAATTTGTTTAGCTTTCTAATGAGGTATGGCTCATAGAAATCGGTTTACCAATAACAAAATTAGAACTCTTGATACTTTCTTCGCGGAAATGGTGCCATCTGAACCACTATGCGACGTCAGTGGTATATGGATTTGTCTATATATCTGCGTATTGCAAGCCTGTATTATCAAAATGCAACAGATTATTCCCATATTTGTCTGAATCTATCATTCTGAATTACTCGCAGTTCATATGCTGTTAGCCGGTGAATGAAGATCGATCTTTATTTTTCATTTTTATATTCTAATTTGTAGGGAATATTATCAACAAGTTCGTACCTGTGCAAAAGGCTTCTTGTACTTAGGACTGGAATATAGACATTCCGTTTGTATATTAGGATTCAACAGTCCGGAATGGTTTATATCAGATTTAGCGGCAATATTTGCAGGGTGAGTTTAGTTTTATTTTGACATATTCTATATTGTGCCTTATGCCCTGTCCAGACTCCCGCGAACTGTAGGAATAAATTTCGGGATTCGCACTGCTATCCGCGCCGCGATTTCGCGCGTGAGTGTTGAGAGGGTATAAGAAATATTTTAATTCTGGAAAATATACTTCTAGGCTTAGAATGTATCATTACTACTACACTTTTTTTCATTACCTTCCAGGGGTATAGCTGTAGGAATTTATACGACGAATTCGGCGGAAGCTTGCTACTATTGCTTAGATCATAGTAAGGCAAACATAGTTGTCGTCGAGGATGAGAAACAATTGGAGAAGGTCTTAGAAGTCCGCCCCAGGTTGCCAAATCTAAAGGCTATTATTCAATATAGCGGCGAAGTGAAACATTCAGATGTCATCAGTGTATGTGAAATATTTGATGATCATTGAAGTGTATTTCTAGTGAGACTAAATCCCTACTAATATTATAAATGTGAAAGTGTCTACGTATGTTCCGTTTTCACGCCAAAACCGCTAAACCGTTTACGATTAATTTTAGCAAATATAAAGATTAGAGTTTGGAGACTAACTACTTTACTAATAATTTTCGAAATCACCCCTTTGTTCATTTTTAATCTTTGAGAAAAGTCAACATTTCTGACACAACTTCTGAATAATTCAATTACTTTGTCTCTTAAATCTTTTGAAAACTGTGGTATTTAAAAAAAAACGCGCGTTTTTATTTTCAGAGAATTTGAATATTGATAAGATAAACCTTGTATTAGTACAGGAGACAAAGATAGACTTTAATATTTATATTATCTGATCCTTCACAATTTTAATTTGGGTACACGAAATAGTTCATAATAATGTTAATATCTGTTTCCAAACTTTTGTCTGCTACTGTATAATACGCATAGGCCAAAAAATAATCTATGAAATTATCTGCAAATGATGACATTTTAAAACAGCGTTCTTAATCGGGCGCGGTTGAAGGAACGTAAAAACATTTTTTTTTTCACTTTCCGGTTTCGGAAGATTCGGGAATTTTTCCTCGTCAGAGGAACTGTGCAATGTATAGTTTTTGAGATTTATAGTAAACCTAACATATACTGCATGGTATGTTTTTCAGTGGCAACGTTTGATGGACATTGGAGCTCAGCAATCGGATTCAGTCCTGGAAGATGCTCTAAAATCTGTTGCTATCAATCAATGTTGTACTTTGGTCTATACTGTAAGTACGTACTTGCCCTCATTTAGGTGTTTGCTATCATAGAAAATCGAGGATTTGGAATACATAATGTCAGAGACAAATATGCTAGTTGTCAACTCCTGCTAAGTAGGTCTTAAATGGTTAATATTTATTCTATTAGACAAAAAAAAATAATACTATATTTTTCTAAGACCTAAAAGTTCGTAAAACTTGAAAAAATTCTTTTTCTTAGACAGGCGAAAACGCTGTCCGCCATCTTTGGCCATATATTAACGTGCTGTGACGTCATACCATTCGTAAATAGTGACAGCAGCATAACCTCAAACTTTTAAACATATAAACATGACTTCTACTAGTTCACCTGAAAAGTATGCAATTATTGTTACTGTATCATTCGATAATGTAAAACGCATCGATAAAGACCCCAGAAAAGCTGTGGAATTTGAATGACTTCTGAAAAAGAAGATTATGCAAGAGTATCACTTATCATTTCTTATTATGCCTATCATTATATCAGATGTACTGTACTTACACAGAAGTCTGGGTTAAAGGCAAAAAATTACCAGCTGTCAATGTGCCAATTTTCAGCAAATTTGTGGTTCTGCTTTTACGAGTCCAACGTCCATGATTCTTTTTTCAATAAGATAGGAAAACGATACCTATTTAGGAGTTCTTTTTAACAATATTTAAAGAAGACAACGTTAGTCCACGAGTGACATACGGATGACGTTTCTTTGTTTACAGTTTGTATGACGTCACATCATGGCCGATAGTGTTTTCACCGTTTCATATAAAAAATTGAAATGTATTTTTTTAAATTGGACTTATACAGAGTGGCCAATATCGTTTTCCTAAGCCAAATACTTATTCTATGACATTAGTTGTCTATTGACTACGCTTTGTTCAGAACCTTTATCTGATTGATTTATTGGCATCTGTTTTTTTTTTTTAGTCTGGAACAGTAGGCCAACCTAAAGCTGTAATGTTGAGTCACGATAACTTCACTTGGGATGCACTAGCCCTCCTTGAACGGTTAAATCTTGAAAGGGGTGCTGAAGTATTGGTCAGTTATCTCCCCCTAAGCCATGTTGCAGCTCAGGTATGTAAAATTGAAAATAAAATATATCGGCTCGGTGCGTACTTTATTCTTTTTTTTTCCGGAGCAGCCGCGCAGGCAGAAGCCTAAATCTCAAAGAAAGTTTGTTAATCCGATTTTTATTTAGTATTCGACCCCCGCAGCAAAACGAGCACTGTTGCCATGTATATGCCACATGTTCGAATATATGATATTTGTTAACAGGTCGTCGACATCTACACTACAATGTCAGTAGGAGCAGGTGTCTATTTTGCGGACAAAGATGCTTTGAAAGGATCACTGATAGTGACTCTACAAGAAGTTCAACCCACCAAATTTTTAGCCGTTCCTCGAGTGTGGGAGAAGATACACGAGAAAATGCAACAAATTGCCGCTCAGAATGGATACGTCAAACGAACTATTGCCGCATGGGCCAAAAGCTATGCTTTACAGCATCACCTTGATAGAATCAATGGGTGAGCATGGAATTACGTAATTTTGTCTCTCAACATCTGACTACTAGTGCGTGAAGTGTGGCAACTATGTGTCCCACCTGTGCCCTGATACCACCCCGTTTCATCTCCGCCTTGAAGAATGATTAGTTATCAAACAATTTTAGGCAACATTTTTGTGATTAATTAATTATGCAAATGATTTTTCGAAAATTGACTCAGTACCTACGAAGTCCCAATAGACTTTTCCAGTATCATGATAATAATGACAACAATTTTCATTAGTATTATCACACATTCATGCCTTAGTCTACTCATATTAGCAAATTTTCCGGAAATAATTGTAAAGTCTGATTGATGCTAGTTGTTCAAGGGGGTATTTGAAACATGGGCACACAAAACTGCTTGACCAATCGAATCCAATTATGTTGTCGTTATTTAAAAGTATCATACGAATTTGAAGAATTTCAAGTATCTGCATGAAACTATTGTAGCGTTTTTCTGGGTTCTTTTGGGTGTGGATTAAAACACTGGATTCCACAAAAAGAAATTCACTAATTTATTTAACTTGATAGAACACCACTATTTATGTCTGACTTTAAGACGCCATTGACTGCACTATACTCCACTCCGCTCTGCTACTCTACCGTATTCAGTACTCTGTGCTTCCATCTCCCGGCCGCCGAGTTATATATAGTCCCAATTGCTGCTTCGAGAAAGGCCGGGTGAACCACAAAGTGACATCTAGAATATTGGAGGTCACTTCGCGTCGATCTAGAAGGCGATCCTCTGTCACGCCAAGAGGCTTGTGCAGTCGTGGTTCGCGTAAAAGCAGAGATCGGCCATTAAGCTCTGGCGAGTAGGAGACTCGCCCAACAGATGGCGCCTATTTGTCACACTATCGTCGCATTACCAACATGTGTTAAAACCTGCATCTTGCCTCGGTTTTCGGCCAGAACTATTTTAGGATAGCTACTGCTGCGCCAAGATCCTCCTGGATGTAACATGTGTCAAGAACAGTTGACAACCCTCATATGCTAATGATTGCACTGGAAATGTGACACTCCGACAAAATTTCGTTCTTCCAACAAATCTTCGGGATTGCTTAACAGAACCTCAAAGGATGAGGTCAAATATTTTACCCACTTGCCCAATTTACACATCCGACAAAATTTCAATTTTATAGCAATTCCCGGAGATTGCCTATTTCGTTGCTAATAGAACCTGGAAATAAAAGGCAATGTCTTAAGAGAACCGAGATATTGGGCTCGGCAAACCTGAACCAAACTGAAGCCGGTCCTGTCCGATCCCTGGATCACGTCCACAGCGCAAGCGCCAGCGCACAGTTATACGACGTACGACTATGATGCAAATACGGTAGTATGCAACCTAACCTAGACGCCAGTAGTGTAGGTCAACAAACCATTACATTGGTAACCGATTGCTGTTCAAAAATAAAATAAAAATGGCACACTCATACACCAATAGCGAACTAGTCGACATGCTGTTAATTTACGGTGTCTTCAAAATGCGACCGAGGCTTCGCGAGTGTATGCAGATCGTTTTTCCAGACGTCATCACACAAGGCCCGTAGATTTGTTTACCTTGTGCAGAGACTCAGATTCGTTTGGAAGAATGTCGAGGTGGGCACAGTGGGAGACCTAGACAACCACGAATGGTACAAACTGAGGAAGAAGTACTGATTCTCGTAGACGAGAATCCTTCAACAAGGACTAGGGATGTGGCTAGATAAGTGCAAGTGTCGAAGACCAAAGTGTGGCAAACGCTGCATGGTGAGGGATTGACCCCTTTCACGTGCAACGTGTACAAGCCTTCCAAGCTGAGGATTTTCCAGCAAGAGTGCGGTTTTGTGAGAGGTTTTTGCACCAGCGTGACAGTAATCCAGACTTTTTGAATTGCATATTAGCCACAGACGAATCCACGTTCACGCGGGGTGAATAACTTTAGCTGGACGGGATACATTACCTAGACTTTTTACAGAACATTTTACCAACCCTGCTAGAAGATGTGCCTTTGGGTGTAAGACAATCAATGTGGCTTCTCCATGACGGTGCACCGTCCCATTTTAGACGCGAAGTGCGTGAGTTCTTAAATGAATCATTTCCGAATAGGTGAATCGGACGTAATTGACCCGTAGCATGACCTCGGCGATCTCCAGTCTTGACACTGTGTGATTTTTTCTTTGGAGCGAAATGCAACGTATTTTTGAAGAGTACTTATAAAATACGTTCACCAAGAAAAAGTGACACCGACGTCATATTTTCGATCTCTTTTTTGTTATTTTTGTGCTCCTCGGATTTTACGACAGAGCCGTACTTGGAATTTCAGCCTTCACTCTCGTTACACAATTAGTCTGGCAAAGGGGTTGCAACAGTTTTTGAATTCACGTATATTGTAACCCCGTCATGTACCTTCCTATCATTAATTCATCATGAAATAACCGATCCTCATTAATTTGATAGATGTGTCATTTTAATTTTAGAGTGAAATCGAACAGTTGGGGGTACACAGTGGCATCGTCAGTGATTTTCAAAAAAATTAAGCAAGCTTTAGGTCTGAACAGGTGCAATATGTTCTTCTCAGCTGCCGCACCTCTGGCAGCTGAAATAAAGAAGTATTTCTTAAGTATCGACATTCCTATTATGGAGTGTTTTGGAATGTCTGAGGCCAGTGGGGCTCACACTATCTGTATTGAAGGTGAGTGTTTAACTTAAAGCAATGCAAAAGACATTTTGTTGATGTAACAGTAATGGTAGTAATTTTTAAGAAAATTTCGTATGTTATTTTAGATATCTTGATGAAAAATGTCCATGGCACAACTTGATCGTTTGACTAACTTTCGAAGAGAAGGTTTTTAAAAATAGATCACTTATTGATTTTGTTGAAATCTGACTTTTTTGCAGTCTAGTTTAGCCATAAATATTTTATGATTTTATATTATTATAATAATAATAATAAAACATGGTATTTTCGACTGTTAAAATTTTAGAACGTCGCTGTTGAACTTAAAAATTTTAAAATAGTTACAGCTGGTTCGCCCCCTGCTACGACAAAAATAATAATAATAATGAGATATTTAAAAAAAGCTTTTTTGATGTTTCTCGATCGATGCGATTATATGACTTTTCATTGGAATGTTATGAATGTTGTTTTCATATCCATTTTCAGATAAATCCACCAATCCCAAATAGCTACACTTCAAGGCTAGTTATTTAATGCCTTGTAAAATACCTTTATACTCAACTGGCACACTAGTGTTAACTAGTCAGATAAATTATGCTATGTAATTATCGAAAAACGTACCCTTTTCCCTTTTTCACAAAAAACACTCAAATAATGTACCACGCTATCATAGTGAAACTCACAGGCAAAATGGATGCCGGTAAACGGGTCGGCTCAGGTCGGGTTGCCATTATACGCTTGGGGTCAAACGCACATGCGCCATAGCAGAGACTATTTAATGAATATTTTCTAAATAATGGAGATTTAATATTTTTCATTGTTTGAAAAGTAAATATTAAATAAATATTATAAAAAAATTGAAATCAAAATATTCTAAAGATATTGAATGAATATTTAATAAAAAATATTATATTCCAAATATTTGTTTAAGATAACAGATATTTAAGTAAAATAAAAATATTTAATGAATATTTCGTGGTATCGGGGTTATAGCTGTCAAAGGGACTATTTTTGTTTTTCAATTTTAGGTGCTACCAATTTGGACACAATTGGCATGACCATACAAGGAATGAAAACGAAAATTCATAACCCAGACGAGAATGGTCAAGGTGAGATTTGTATGTATGGTAGACACGTCTTCATGGGCTACTTGAATGAAAAAGAAAAAACAAATGAAGCACTTGATAGTGAAGGATGGTTACACACTGGGGATTTAGGAAGAGTTGATGAGAAAGGATTTGTCTATATAACAGGCAAGTAATGTTTTTACACGAATATATGAATCGGTGTTGTCAAGGATCATGTGGAACCTGGATTGTAGAAATGGTACGCAATTCAAATATTGCGCTTCTGTTCCGTGAATTAATTTTTAACAGCTGTTTGTCATCTTTACAGGTAGATTGAAGGAACTACTGATTACTGCCGGTGGAGAGAACGTTCCACCAGTTCCAATCGAACAACTCGTGAAATCCTACTTGCCCCATATTAGCAACGCGTTCCTTGTTGGGGACAAAAGAAAGTTCTTGTCTATTTTGCTCACACTAAAAACAGAAGTGGACATTGAAACTGGTACACCTCAAGACACCTTGTTACCTTCCGTTCAGAAATGGCTTGACGGTTTGGGATGCCCAGCAAAAACAGTGACGGAGGTCATCAAAGCTGAGAACCCGAAATTGCTAGCTGCACTTAAGGAAGGAATTGATAAGGCCAACCAACAAGCTACTTCAAATGCCCAGAGAATACAGAAATTGGCACTTCTACCTGCAGATTTCTCTCTACCTACTGGAGAATTGGGTATGTTCCACCAAACCCCTTTGTCTACTTCCCACGTCAAATTGGCCACGACTTATCATAGTTTCGAAAAATTTCGATGAGATATTGTCTTTTAGATGGTATATGATATTGTAACGAAAACAATGATCAATTTTATTTATTCATAGCAGCCACGGTGTACTGCCATTTAGGCTTCTGTATAAAAAAAATTATGACATATTTATTACTATGTCGACTGGACTATAAATCTTGACACGTCTGTCACTGTTCGTTGACTCGACTGCCCTCCTTCAACTGTCGTCGCGCCCTTATATTTTGAAATCGACCAATCCAGTGGCTCTCCAGAACATTCGCGCGACATTTTTCGAACGCTCCCGATGGCAACTGAACCGTCTCGATCTCTCACACACGTGGACGTGTCACTCAAGAAGCTTCTTCCGTACGCTGCAAGCTGCGATACATGATGATGTAACTCTGGTTGCGTAATTTTGCGAGCGTATTCGCTATTCTAGGTCTCACTTACGAAAGCGTTGCAATATGTACATCATAAAAATCAATGTCCAACGCTATTTTATTTATTCATAGCAGCCACGGTGTACTGCCATTTAGGCTTCTGTCTGCTTCTGTATAAAAAAATTATGACAAATTTATCACTATTAGACTGGACTATAAATGTTGACACGTCTGTCACTGTTCGTTGACTCGACTGCCCTCCTTCAACTGTCGTCGCGCCCATATATTTTGAAATCGACCAATCCAGAGGCTCTCCAGAACATTCGCGCGACATTTCTCGAACGCTCCCGATGGCAACTGAACCGTCTCGATCTCTCACACACGTGGACGTGTCACTCAAGAAGCTTCTTCCGTACGCTGCAAGCTGCGATACATGATGATGTAACTCTGGTTGCGTAATTTTGCGAGCGTATTCGCTATTCCAGGTCTCACTTACGAAAGCGTTGCAATATGTACATCACAAAAATCAATGTCCATCCTTTGCCCTCTATATTTTTCGAGATACAATAACTGGAAAGGAACTGACAATACGCCTTTTAAGTAAATTAGCTTTTCCGTACAGGATCGCGTTTCATACCCCACAGCCTTTAAATATTTCTTGAGGAAGGTATCTGAATACGACTGTAACATACTGTCAAAATGAGGTTGACTCTACACTTATCAGTTTTACGAAAAGCTAGATGATTCATCTGATCTGTTTGATAGATTTTTATCGAGTATTATTTTTTTTTCAGGTCCAACAATGAAAGTAAAGCGAAGAGTAGTAGAACAAAAATATGCAGATATCATAGAAAAGATTTATGCCTGAATTGTTATTGTTTTAAAACATGGTTACTTATTTTTATCTTCTACACTACAAATGATTTTAAAGATATAATTCACTGGAGTTATGATTTATTTGTGTGAAATAAATATTTACATTAATATATTAGTTTTATTATCGCCCGGAATTGACTGATAATGCATGACCGTTTTGATCTTCAAAGAAATACGGCCCAATAATACCCTTGGATGATATGGCGCACCAAGCAGTCACCTTTGGACTATGTAGCTGTTATTGATGTTTCTCTTTTCGTTGGTGCAAAAAACCGGCAATTTTGCTTGTTCACATAACCGTCCAAGTGAAAATGGGCCTCGTCACTGAAAACAACGTTCTCGAGTCTGCGCTGCGTAGGGAAAAGATTCAACATCCGTTCAGCACAAGATTTCCGTAATACGTAATCACTTTAAAGCATCGACTGATTGGATTTTGAACAGTTACGTATGAATCACGACTCTTAGAGCAGACCTCGATAGCAAAAGCAGGTTGCGCTCCGGTCCAACGTTCCATTCCAACAATAGCAAACTTGCCGAGTTTCCTGTTTAGCATCAAAATACGCAAGACTTGACTAGTTTTTAAAATTCCATATCAGTACATGATGTAACCAAAACTTTGCGGTTGGCTCTTGGACTATTACCGGTTTACGTTTACGTGTTTATGTGCTACCGAGGCGGTGTTGCCAAGCTGCCATAAAATATTTATAAAATGCTACATTCATACTAAGCAGAATTGAGATCAGTTCTTTTCACGGTTTTTTGTGGTTACGTCGAAAAGTCATACGAAATAAATAAACATATCGTCTTGACACTGTCTAGATAACTCGCGACCATGTCAAATAGGTCGACGATAGGCTAAACAAGCAATTGGAGGTTAGAAAACTTTCAGATTTCAAGCTGACGGACTTCTGTTATTACTAAACTAAGTCGTGAGGTACAGTAGCGGGCAAAAGTTTGGAAACATCCTTAGTAATTTTTAAAAACTTTCCCACTGAACACCCTGTAGAAGTGTTGACTGGCAGAGGCAACTGGAATTGACGCTCGACGAGAGCCTCGCTGCTGACAATTTTGCCAGGCGTGTAAGCAAGGGCAAATACAAAAGCACGAATGCATATATGATGAGGATCTCACACTTCAGGCAGAAAAAAACGTTAGGACAGTGATGTCGAGCTGTTCTATCTGAGAGTGGCTATAAAAGGTTTCGGGTATGAAATATCTGAATCCAAATGTGTCCGTGAAAAAATCTGAAGCGTCGTGGGACAGAATTTGGGGTAGATAAACTCAACATGATGGAATTACGATTTATTTATAAAATAATAAATACTTCAACACATATCTTACACAGTTTTTCTTTCAAATAAATAAGTATGGTATAAACATTCAGTATAAACAATATGTACATGGATTCCTAAAGCAACCAGTGAACATTTTGGTTACATAATACCTGCCGAAAATCTAACAAAAAATATAACTGATTATGATCAAGCTATTTGAAGGTCAACTGAAAAATGTTAAATACAAACTCTAGTTGTTCAGAAAAGTCATATGAATTTTTTTGGAATCATTTTTTCTCGCAGTCGGCCTTGAAGTATGTCTGGCTTTGGAAGCAAAATTTATCTAGCTTTTACTTAAGATTCGAAGTTGTCCTCAAAGGACAAGGTAAATTTAAAGGGCATAAAAGAGCCAAGCATTGCCAACAACACGGTGTTTGACATTGGGCGATCTCAGGTATTCTTGTATTTGTCTGGAAAAAAAAATTTTAGAAAACAAAGCTGCCGCTCAGGCCACACAAAAAAGTCGCAGTAGGAAGAGGCCACACGGACAAAGTTTATGTTTATGCCCGATTAAACAGACAAGCAATCAAAATTTTTAGGCACAACACTTCTAACGGGGAAGATTTAACACAAAGTGAACAAAACATGGATAGCTGTACTTGTCGACAAGAAAAATACAAGAATACCCGAGATCGGCCAAAAATAAGTAATCCACCGGAAACATCGGTAGTCTATCGTATATCGTGCACCTGCAGAAATGTTTAAACAAGGTGTAATCAAAGTTGAGACTTTCCTTTACACGGCGTATAAATCTTGGAAAAATGAGCAGTTTTTCCTAGTAAAGTCTTGAGATTACCGAGATATTAGGGTCTGCAAAGTAAATCAAACCTAAACAAAACAGAATCCTAATCCGGTCCTGCAGTACTCAATGTAAGCACTGGCCGCGTTGGTAAACGACACCTTTACACATCGGTTCTAAAAAATGATATAAAAATGGCACTCATACAGCAATATCAGAGTCGTCCATATTATTTTAATTTAGGGTGGGTGTTTTCGAAATGCTACCGAAGCTCCGCGAGTTCATGCAGATCGTTTTTCAAGATCCTTCGTTTCTTTTCGATGAACAGTTTCCCGGATGTTTCACCGCATGCTAGGTTTGATATCGCAAACGTAGTTTATGAAAAGGAAAGTCCCAACTACGAAACGATCGATAAAAACAAGCATTTCAGAACACAGAGCAAGCTGTCGCTTGTATACCTATGGCGAAAAGTCAAGAATCAACAATCACCGAGGTCGGCCGAACAGCCCAAAAAGAAGGACTCGTTTAATACAAATAGTTTTTTTCGGCAGAAAGTTGCAACCAAAAAGTTCACTACGAGTATATACTAAGACTATAATGTGGTAACGAACTGCTAGCTATTAGAGCAGAGTTCCGTCTCCGGTTCCCTGTTACTGCTATCACTACTGTCCGAAGAGTCTTGCTTACAACATCGACACTGTTGTTGCTGATGTTGCTTCGACTCTTGTGCGCGTTTACGTTTGTCACATTTCGATTTATGACACTTTGTATTACATTTATTTGGCCTATATACAGGAGTTACTAATTCAACTTTAATATTAGCTGTGGCAGTTACTTTGGTCGTATACGGGCCACTAGAGCTCGATTCTGGGCTACTATACTCGACAGTCACCTGTGGTTCGACAGTAATACTCTGGTTACAACTTTCCTCTGTAATAGTAGTTAGGCTGGGCTCTCTTGTAGCCTTGGCTGTTGAGGAGGTCCTCCGGGAGGGCTTCGGAAATGTAGTGGTTCTTGTGGGAGGAGCAGGGGGAGTACCAGGTGGGGGAGTACTTATACGATCCGTATGTTCAGTAGGCTGCAGCTCAGACTTAGGCCCAGCGAATGTGAGCAGTAGAGGAAAGAATACCAACGAGTTTGCTATCGAACCACCAACTGACAACAATATCATAAGGAACAGATGACAGTGAATGAACTCGAATTGTGAGGTAGCTAATACTGAGGCGCATATCAACAGCCCAATGTCACCTTTGACTATTGGCTCTGCGTAAGCATCTAGGGATAGTCGGACGCGACGTTCCCTGCTGCCCAAGGCACTCAAGAATCCGATCAATACTAGGAATATATTCCTATTCATCGATACAAAATGCAGACAACCTATAATACCAGTTAAAGCGTTGACGTTCATTAAACATAGTAATAACATACAAACTAAAGTACTAAACAGTGCACACCACAATTTTGTCCAGTGCACAAGGAGACATGACACAATGGCCGCACAAATTATGCTCAAAATGAACTGGATCAACAAGTGGCGTTCCAAATATAGGAACTGATTGAAATACGCAAAGATTAGCCCGATGGGGTAATTTTTCAGTCCTCTTGAGTTGAACTGTTCAGATATGTCTTTGATTTGTCTCAAAGTACTTATGATGCTTCTAGTGTTTTTCATATTTTTTAAATAAAATGGCATTTGTGCGTTGACGAGCGGCTGTGATTTAGGAATTTTCAAATCGTACTCAGCCTTGGAACTATAATATTGGAAGGGTTTTGGAATCAAATTTGCCTGAGAGCTTGTGTATGACAATTGATCATTACTATTCCATACCGATAAATAATTATAAAATGCTTTGGGATCTATAATATTATCAACAACCAGTCTTTTCTTATATATTTGACTCTTATCTACAGGATACTCTACAACACCGGTCTGCGCTAATAATTTAAATGCTAATACTGCTTTCTCAGTGGCATTAGGGTACCACTTTTCACTGCTTAAACAGCTGGTATTTCTACTATTATCGAACTCCAACTGCAGATCAACTAAATAGTCTTTGAAATTAGCCAGCCAAAAATCATTCATATCTAAACCACCGTTCGAGTCTTTTAAGACATGTGGAACATTCGTGAATGAAGAATGGTACTCATACAAAAGGGGCTGATACAAAGGATACTCTAGCTCAGTCGTAACCATATAAAAATTATAGAAACCAAAAAACTTATTATGAGCTTCTAAGTATTTGTACTCTTGAGTATCTATTGGTATGAAGGCAGACAGTCTTACATCAAACTCTAATTTCAATCCGTTGAATATACAAAATATTATAAGTACAACGTAAGTTATGCACATTGTCACCTTCATAAAAGGCTTCAGCAATACAGAAGTGAGGTAACGGTTCACACACCAACATATCCAACTTTTCTTCTTCTGGCAAATCTCGGCTGTCAGCAAGTTTGCCCCATGCTCCTGAAACAAACAGAAAATGGCGTCAAGGGTTACTCTCGACTTCACACACAACGCACACCCTATTTTTTTTCTTGAATCTCAATACTTGCCGAGTTTCCTGTTTAGCACCAAAATACGTAAGACTTGACTAGTTTTTAAAATTCCATATCAGTACATGATGTAACCAAAACTTTGCGGTTGGCTCTTGGACTATTACCGGTTTACGTTTACGTGTTTATGTGCTACCGAGGCGGTGTTGCCAAGCTGCCATAAAATATTTATAAAATGCTACATTCATACTAAGCAGAATTGAGATCAGTTCTTTTCACGGTTTTTTGTGGTTACGTCGAAAAGTCATACGAAATAAATAAACATATCGTCTTGACACTGTCTAGATAACTCGCGACCATGTCAAATAGGTCGACGATAGGCTAAACAAGCAATTGGAGGTTAGAAAACTTTCAGGTTTCAAGCTGACGGACTTCTGTTATTACTAAACTAAGTCGTGAGGTACAGTAGCGGGCAAAAGTTTGGAAACATCCTTAGTAATTTTAAAAAAAGTGCGCTTATTTTTTATTCTTAAGGTCTATTTTTTTTCTCATATAGTTTGCACACAGTCTTGAGGATACAAATGACAATTTGTGTTTGCTGTGGCACTACAAACTGGAATTAAAATACCTTCCTATTATTTTATGACAAAAAATGAGACGGCAAAAGCATGGAAACATATTTTTTATCACAAGAGTAAATACAGTAACTCTACAAAAAGATTTAAAAAATTGTGTTTAGCTAATATTTGGTAGCATAGCCTTTAGCATTCAACACCGCCTGACACCTATATCTACATAATCAAATAAATCGTTCCTATTTTTAAAAATTTTTCTCGTCAGTTGTCTTAACATGCTCCCAGAGATGTTTTATAGGGTTTAGGTCCGGGGATTTCGAAGGCCATGTAAGAACATTTTTTAGTCTTAAACAGTCCTTTATTAATTTTGAGGTATGGCTGGGGTCATTATCTTGCTGGAATGTGCATCGTAAAGGCATTTCTTCTTCAGAAAATGGAGTATGTGTTAAATAAGACTATCAATATCAGAGTATCGCAGAAGGAATAAATACGGCAAAACTGAAATATTCCCATGTTTTTGTCGTTACAAAAATTGTGGTAATTATAAAAAAACGCGTGTTTTTATTTTCAGAGAATTTGTATATTGATAGAAATACGGGAGCCCAGATTAGACTTTAATATTTATATTATCTGTTCCTTCACAAATAGTTCATAACAACGTTAATATTTATCTCCAAACTTTTGTCCGCTACTGTATTCTGCGTAGGGTGCTAAAAGCTGTGAAAACAAAAATAAATTTTCATATGATTTAATCTGAATTTGCCATGATTGTCACTGTAAAAAGAAGGGTTTGTTTTGGCAACTCACCAGATCTACGTTGTTATTGGTCGGTGTTTTTGACGGATGTTTGGATTCCGACCGGAAGCAAGGCACGTCCGCCTTTTGGCACCTTTGTTGTAATGCCAACAAAGACGGAAACATTATCAACAGCGCGGCCCCGTGGAAGACGACTGTAACAGCGCACTGGAGACAGAACACCCTTAAGGCTGGGATAGGGATGATGGCTGCTACCACAAGCGATCCTGAGTTTATCACGACTGCTGACAAGATGCCAGGACCTGTCCGTTGGAGCACCTGTAAAAAATGTCATGTGAAACTTAACCTTAACTATTGATACACTCTTTCTTGACTGATTTACGTTTACCTCCTACGCCAACTGGCGAGGTGTGATCGCAAAAATTTGCAAAAATGAGATATGTGTTTGGTTGTATGACATGATATGAAGAAGTTCAGGAGATCAAATCTGTTCATAAATGAATACAGATTTTATTTTTTTATTTCAAGAAAACTCAGTGGCGTGCGGTTGTGTGAAGTTTGTGTTTTAATAATTAGAAAAAAATAACATACTTGAAAATTGGATTTGGTATTGAAACTTGACGTTATTTTTTACTTATTTTTATTCGAATACTACGAAGAAAGAAGTACATTTTCACAAATTAGGAGCGTAACGTGAAAGTTTCCCGAACTAGTTTCGATCACTTACCTCTGAAGGCGTCAGTTTTCTTCTAGACGTAGTCAAAATTAGAAACATATCCCGCATGGCTAAGCCAACTGTAATATACGGCAGAACATGTGTACTGAGTAGATTCATTGGCAGGCCAATCAAACTACAGACTCCAAGAGCTGCAGCTGCTGAGCTAGCAAGAACCAGCACTCCGATAACTGCTATCCCAGAATGAGCTATCCAACCGTATATGCACACCACTCCTAGGACAATGCCACACTTCACTAGATCTGCTTTAGAGTATTCTTCCAGAATTTTGTTCACATTCGCCGTTGAGAACGTGAGGAATATGTACGATGACGATTGTTTTTTGCTAAGCGAGAGCCGTTCTACCTCCTGAAAAAAAAAATTAATATCTGTTCAAGTTTCATACCCCGATGGCAGAAGCACGCTACAAACTAGAAACGAAATGACGTAAATCGCGAGTTGAATGACGTAAAAGTAACGTTTTTTTTATATACTCCAACTACCACGAAGGCCTTAGGCCTAAACACCCATGGGGTACCGTGGGGCTATAGGGGAAAACAGGGGTAAGGGGGGACGGGACGCCACACGTTGCGCTGCGGTCCAACGTTCCATTGTGACTATTTAACCCGCACGCCGAAAGCATCGATCAACACCTCTCCCCACTTCCTCGCGTTTACGGTTGCCGCGTAATTCAAATTTGAAATGTGAACTTTTCCGCTGAACACCCTGTGGTTTCACTTAAACATAAATTCGTATTTCTCGTATTACTGAGAGTTCCCACTCGCTTTCGCAAAACATTTAGCACCAATGACTTGACAATGAAAGTACGTTAAGATCAACTAACTGAATGCTGTTGCTATTTTCTAATTTATTTGTAGCTCCTGAAGATGACGTAGTTTAAATTTTAAAGCCGCACGTCCCTGTATTTTCGCTTTTCTTTCACCTACCTGTTTGCAACAGTATTCTAAGTAATTTTCATCTGATTACTTCATGATGTGTATACAGATGACCAAAGAACATCGTTTTTAATTTTGTTTTGTCATAAAATGCATTTTTTGTGAATTTTTTCTTCGATCGTAACTTGTTAACAAATATTAGTAGAGCTCTAAAATTGTATGTGAATATTTCACTTTTATAGATGAACGAAATAACTGATTACTTTTATTCTTATCACTTTTTCTCTTTGCTTTTCTTAAAAACTCAACTTGCTGCTAGGCGAGGCTTCAAGAAAATCAAAGACTTTTCGAAAAAGAAAAGTGATAAGAACAAAAGTAATCACTTGTTCCATTTTTCCATAAAAGAGGAATATTCACACACAATTTCAAAGCTGTACTTATATTTGTTATCAAGTTCCGATTGAAGAAAAAATGCACAATAACATGTACGAAAAATGCATTTTTCGACAAAAAAAAAATTAAAACATTGTTTTTAGTCATCTCTATACACACCATGAAATTATCAGATGAAAAGGATATAGAATACAGCTGCAAGCAGGTAGTTGAAAAAAAATCTATAAAAAAGGACGCGCCACCTTAAGGAAAAAGTTTCAAGAGTACACTTTGCAATAATCTTGCCGATATCCCAATTGACAAATTTTCAACTAGTTGTCAATCAAACCGAAGCCGGTCCTGTCCTATCCCTCGATCACGTCCACAGCGCCAGCGTACAGTGATACGACGTATGTCTACGATGGAAATACGGATTTTACGACAGAGCCGTACTTGGAATCAATTCAACTGGACAGCGAGTACTTTTTCAAATGAAAAATAAATATTTTTTCACTTGGTCGCTCATGTTTCACCACACATTAGGTTTGTTATATCAAGCGTAGTTGTGTCTAAAAAGGAAAACCCCAATTTTGCGGACACCCTGTATAATTCAAAACGTACACGTACACATTTAGTAGACGTCATAACGACATCAATATTTAGAAGAATCACGTCAGTTGACGCTAGCTGGGTATTTATAATATTTCTCGTAAAAGTCTAAATAATACGAAATAATATCAGAAATACTGTATTAAAAAAAAGTGACTCACCTCTGAAAATTTTTTCTGCCACGTATTCAGTACCAATGTGGCTTTATCCTTCGTCCAACCAATATGGTGGACTTTATAATGACCAGACCAATACTCATATAATTCGTGCCCACTCATGAGCTGCACAACAGTTTGTAAAGCTTTGGCTTCTTTGATATGACCAGACTTATTCTTAAGCACACCTCCAACGATTAATTCTTCGGGCCAGTGCATGTATTTAGCGGCGAATCCATAACATCCACTAGTTAGTTCGGCTCCAATGTCCAAGGTCATGGTTGAGTTGAAGTTTGGAGCAGAAGTTGGACATTCCGGGTCGCGAGGATTGAGGCAAGGCTTTTCTTGGTATCCTGTAGTTATACCAGCACGCTTCAAATAATCACGTAGTGTGTGATAGTCGAACTGGTTCTCTTTTTGTTCCATTTGAGCTACCAAGTCGCTAGGATTCAGGTTCGTCCATTTTATGTGTGTGCCTATTCCGTACCTGGAGGAGAAGATACCAGTATTGTCTGAACACTCGCAAGAAGGATATACATACACGGTAATTCACTTCACAAGTCGTGACCAAAAATGAAACTTCATACACAGGAACGCATTTTAAGGGAGGGAGGGGGGGGGGGTTGTTCTATGTAACATTTTTCCTTGAGGGCTTTATTATAGATATATACATATATATATATATATATCTCCTTGAATTGCTTTGGGATGAAGTACACTTTTTTAAATTAAACTCAAGGTAGAGGTTACTAGTAAAGATGAAATTTCGAAAGAATTTTCAATAGTTAATAAATCTTCAATCCTTCTAAGTCCGTTAGGGATTTTTTGAAAAACACAGACAGCTATGGTTCTGCCAATGATTAAAAATTTCGTCCTAATTAAACCTCATCGGTTTTTTTTTTGTTAGTTGACTATGTGTTCTCTCCCACTGTCGCTTAAGAACAATTTCAGCAACAATCTCACCGACTTGTAAGTAATGATATTCCTCCTAATTGTTTATTGTTGCTATTTCCAAGTTTTGTTTTTAGCCCCTGATGATGATGGCATAGACCATCGAAAGCTTGAGTTTAAGTTAAAAGAATGTACTTATGCAAGGAATTTATCAAGTAGCTTGGAACTATTAAGCTGTTAAAATGATCGGATAAATGCTAAAATAATTTCAGGTATAAAATAGACTCTGCATTTGCTTGTAGAAAATAATAACTATTTATTAGAACGTTAAAGCCAGAAAATACTCACGGTATAGGAACAGGATAGTCAGGTCCAAGTAGCTTAGATCCTTCCCAAAAACAGTCCAAAGGGGTGACGATGGAACAGGGCATCATGTTCTCGAAGATCTGCTCGATATAATGGGCATCAAAGTTGGGTATGGTTGGCGAGAGGCAGAAATCTTTCAGTCTCCAAGTGATGTCGAACATGGTAACAGTGACTTGTGAAGCTTTTTGGACAAGCACCAGATGCTCCAAAAGACCGTGAGGATGGAGAAGATCCACTTCTGGATCCACGCCAGTTTGCACGATCATCTGATGCGTCGAAAGGATCTCCGAAGGCGTGGTGTCTTGCATCCCTGCAAATGAAGAATTTTCTGTTTTCGTGTCAGTTTGGAGACGTCTACAAGCAAAATTAGCAGACTACCAATAGTTGGATCACTTGCCGAAAATACTTTCATATTCATTATAACATCACAATGTGTTGTCTCTAGGGAAATTTTAACTGTGACAATATTACCGGTACAAGATAATATTAGTTTCAAAATAATTCATTTATAAAAGTTTTTTACAATTATAAGCACTAGGTATTACCTGCGACTTCGTACGCGTTAAATGGTTACTCACATTGTTTTTGAGTACTGCTATAAATGTATTGCATTAGTACACTCAAAAATAGCGAGCGTAAAGCCGCGGGGAGGAGAGCTAACAAATTAATAATGAAATTATCATTTTAAATTAAACAGAATTTTACATTGTAAAAGCTAAATCTGTCAAATTTCCAGCTACACAATTCTTAGCTTGAGTCTAATCTAGCCAGAGCCCCATTGTTGCCAATTTTTAGATATTAGAAAACTCCAAGCAATTTCGAACAAACTTGCAAGTGTCCTTTAATCGCTTATTCTGACCCATTCTTATACCCTCTCTAGACTCAAGCGCGGATCACGGTGCGAATCCCGTGAAGCCGCGAAGAATACGCGAATGGGATCCACACTCATGGGTCGTTGGTAGTTCGCGGCTTCGCGCGCGATCCGTGCGTGAGTCTGGAGAGGGCTTTAGATGAAATGTCCCGTCCATAAGCTACCTCGACGCCAAATTTCATGTTTGTAGGTCAAATATACTCAGTGACATTAAAAGTGTTACATCTAGAAAAAATAATTTCTCAACTTGTTTTTTTTTTGGCAACATAGCGGCTACATTTAAAGCATGTTGTGGCAACAATGTCAACGTTTTATCTTTGGTTTTTGTTTATTGTTTACCTTTCTTAATTTTTTTTGTTTTTTGTGAAGAAAGCAGTTTCAATAAAATTTCGTGATAAATTCAGCTTGTTTTTGGTTGGACCGCTGAGTGACCCTACTATTAGTATTCCGTATACTTTGCCAGCAAAAGTTTCGTATGTGTGACATACTTTAAATGTGCTAGGTGAAAATAACTATTCTTCTACAACTGCCCCATAAAGTAAGATTTATTGCTCAAAGTCAGGCATAATTAAAGTGATGCATTTTAGCGCAAAACAACCAGTTGAAAATTCCAAGATGGCGACTGGGCGCCATTTTGGAACATTTTTTTACTCCATGAGTAATCTAACTCTACAATATAAAATCACCATCTTTCAAAATGGCAAACTGGCAATCTTCTTCTCTGTCTGCCTATCCGAATATGTATTAAAATTTGAAACATTCCATTCAAGAAAATTGTACAAATCTGTTTATTAAACTAAATTTTATTGCACATTCAGATAGACCGATTCAAAAGAAGATTGATATATTATAAACTCTTGATGATCGGTTGTTGGGGAATAAGCGATTCAATATACAAAAACACTTAGTCGCCATCTTGAAATTGTCAATTGCTAATTTTATGCTGAAATATAGTATTCATGCGTCAGTTTCACAATCCGGCTTGCCATACGCTGCTAATGACGCGGCTTGCCTTTAAACTGGCAACGTATCCCGCCGTATACAAAGAGATGCCGCGATTGCAGTGGCGTACTTTTCGGTACCGGAGTATAACTTAGTCCGTTCAAAAAATAAGTGGAGGAGGACCTTTCTGCAAAGCAGTGTATACGATACAAGATAGTTTTGATTACATAATTCCGCTTTCCGTTTACGTGCGGAAATATGCAGTATTTTTCAAACAGGTCCCCACCCCTTCTAATTTTTGGAACACGTCCAGTTAAGAAGCTGAAATTCAGAATGATGGTATTGACGCATGAATACTTACTATACTTGACTATACAATGATTTTATATTCCAAAGTCATAAGATATACGAGGTGTCTAAAATAAGTGGTGAGACCGGCAACGTAGCGTTCGATATGGCAACACTGGAGGCGTCGGGTTTGGAGGGGAGACAGGGGAACATGTGCTCCGCCTTCAGTACAAGTTTGAACACGCGCGAGTCATTTGGTTGTCTGTAGCGACTCATCGGATCAAGAACAACTGGGTGTTACATCACGATAATGCTCCTTGTCGCACAGCAAAAATAAATAGAGGGGACCTTTTCGAAAAGCACTGTAGTACTAGGGAACTCTTTTTACCTGAAGGTTCGGTCCAGAGGTACTCCAGATCGGAATGGAAGGTCATACTCTTGAGCCCAACAGAAAAGGTAGCAATGGCAAGCATGCTGACGAAAATGAATTTTCCGGCGTGTGTGTCCAGGATGCGTCCTAACCATCTCAATTGTCGGTGGATGCGACTGCGTAACCATAAGATTCCGCGATCGCCATGCGCCAACCCCTGGAACAAAAATAAAAACATTATGAAACTTGCAACCTAAAACATAGTCAGTCTACTTCACTTACATAAAACATTAAACACTCAACGTGGACATGGAGTCAACCTACTTGACTCTGTACCTCCCTCGTCCATCGCAAACTTTGATACTTTAGAAACAAACGGCGTCACGTAGGTTAACTCTTTACTTCCCTCACAAGTTCAGGAAAAGTAGAAATTTTGAAGTATATGCGCCCAAAGGTTAGATTAAGTTCGTGAAAACAATGCCCCATATTGTGCCTTAATAAAATAACGCTCGTTATCAAGATATCCGAACATTATTTTTAAGAAACCTGCTGGAGAGGGGACATGTTTTATGTTATGTTTACACGGAGATTCGGTGTTATTTTGGCCGTAGAAATGTTGACATGTTTTTCAAATCGCCCTGTATACCGAGGATCCTTTGATATCTGGGGGGCCGAGGGGGTCCGTAGGCACCGCTGGCGCTGGCAGCGGACATCAGGCGCGCGGCATGCCTGCGTCAACGCAGCGCGGCACGCGGCGACCGGCAATGCCGGCATGGGCACCCGGGACCACCCAAGCAGTGCGGTGACGTCATGCGGACCACCCAGGCTGCAGACCGGGCTCCGCACATACACGGATACCATAGCCGTGCCAACCGTTTTTATTTCCCACGGTTCAGATTTCTAATGTCCTCAAATTATCTACTTAGGATCTACCTAGTTGTCCAGCATAATGTTATTCTACCCTTTTATACTTATTTTTTTCTTGTTACCCAACGCGCGATTACCAAATTTTGTTTAAAATATGTGTTAGCAATGACAATGCGTCTCACCTTCTTGCATTCATCTCTGGTTCAGTTTCCTAACAAGGCTTCAAGATATTATGATCCAGCATTGATGTAGTTTCACTCAATAATTCCTGTTTGTTATTTGTTTTAATGTAATGTAAAATCACGTTTCTACTCTGGTTCAGTTTTTCAAGAGATTTCAAAATATGTCAGGATCGTGTCACTCAACATATTGATATTTTACACTCTTTAATGTTATCCTCATTAGTTTCGCTCAAAAGTGATGCGTCATTTGTGAATAATGTCAACTGCCCCAAATTTCTCATATTCCGCCCTGGTTCAGGCTTCAAATATTCATCAAGATATCTATGACCTAGAACCTTATTATCTTGCTAATTCTTATTTCTTAGTTATATAGAATTATCATTTGTTTTGTTAGGATTCACTATTAATGTAATTTTATTCTTTCATTCATATTAGGAATGCCAGAGGTCCTCAAATTATCTACTTAGGATCTACCTAGTTGTCCAGCATAATGTTATTCTACCCTTTTATACTTATTTTTTTCTTGTTACCCAACGCGCGATTACCAAATTTTGTTTAAAATATGTGTTAGCAATGACAATGCGTCTCACCTTCTTGCATTCATCTCTGGTTCAGTTTCCTAACAAGGCTTCAAAATATTATGATCCAGCATTGATGTAGTTTCACTCAATAATTCCTGTTTGTTATTTGTTTTAATGTAATGTAAAATCACGTTTCTACTCTGGTTCAGTTTTTCAAGAGATTTCAAAATATAAGCCAAGATCGTGTCATTCAACATATGGATATTTTACACTCTTTAATGTTATCCTCATTAGTTTCGCTTAAAAGTGATGCATCATTTGTGAATAATGTCAACTGTCCCGAATTTCTCATATTCCGCCCTGGTTCAGGCTTCAAATATTCATCAAGATATCTATGAGCTAGAACCTTATTATCTTGCTAATTCTTATTTCTTAATTATATAGAATTATCATTTGTTTAGTTAGGATTCACTGTTAATGTAATTTTATTCTTAATTCATATTAGGAATGCCAGAGGTCCTCAAATTATCTACTTAGGATCTATCTAGTTGTCCAGCATAATGTTATTCTACCCTTTTATACTTATTTTTTTCTTGTTACCCAACGCGCGATTACCAAATTTTGTTTAAAATATGTGTTAGCAATGACAATTCGTCTCACCTTCTTGTTATTTGTTTTAATGTAATGTAAAATCACGTTTCTACTCTGGTTCAGTTTTTCAAGAGATTTCAAAATATGTCAGGATCGTGTCATTCAACATATTGATATTTTACACTCTTTAATGTTATCCTCAGTAGTTTCGCTTAAAAATGATGCGTCATTTGTGAATAATGTCAACTGTCCCAAATTTCTCATATTCCGCCCTGGTTCAGACTTCAAATAATCGTCAAGATATCTATGAGCTAGAACCTTATTATCTTGCCAATTCTTATTTCTTAGTTATATAGAATTATCATTTGTTTTGTTTTGTGACATGACATTTGCTAGCAATGAAGACAATTCTCATCTCATATGAGGATCAAACTATCTAGCAGAACGTTGTTTTACTTCTCAATTCTTATAAAAAGAAGTCATTTGGACTAACCTTCGAATAGACCAAAAGATTGCAAGGATCTCCAAGATCTGGGAATGGATTAAAACACGTAACTGCAACTACAAAATGAAGATCGAGAGGTAATTTTTTTCGTCCGAGGTGAATAATGATAACAAAAATACCTGGTTGAATAATGTCATTTAAAATTATTTCGTTTCAGTTTGACAACTAAACTGTATATTCGGAAATATATTAAAAGCTAAAATAAAATTAGGTATTGCAGCATTTCTCGGTAATTTCAATAATCGGTAAAGTTTAGGAAAACAGCTTTTAATGCTAGCAGAATGAAAACACAACTAACAAACTTTAACACGTTATTCCCCATTGGAAATGAATTGGACCAGTCCACAGACCACATCTGCTTCCATCTATATTCTGTTTAAGTTTGTCAACCAGATGTTTCAAATTATTTTCAGAATGAGCATGGGTCATGATCGTTGACTTACGTATAAGATAAATAATACTATAGAATAAAAATATTAAGTAGTGAAAAAAATAATATAAATACCTCACAAGGCCACTACTGATCTCGCATTATGTTCGACCAATAATATCAACTTAGGTATGTAATGTACTATGGATCGGAAGCTTGCCCAACCTACAAAATAGTTTTACTTATTTTGAAATTACCAGTGTGCGTTTTAAAAAAAGCACGAGGTTTGGTTTCTTGTGCTCTTAAGAAGCTCGCATCCGGCAACACTGCTTGAAGTATGTTTATGAAATATTCCTTAATGGAAACCACAGGTCACAGCGGGTGTGAGCTTTTCAGCCTCTCACGACACAATTCGATTCGCATTTGCTTTGCTAAGTATTTGGTGCAGCTGACATTTCCGATTTTAAGCTAATACTTTCACTAAGACATGAACATAAGTATTACTGAATACTGAATACTAAAAGTGAAGACAGCTATGCCTGTATTCCTTATACTTTATGTATAAATCCGTACTTTTCTACAAATCTGTATATGGGATATGAATAAGGAACAATTAAGTCTAATTTGGCCAAATAAATGTTAAGCACTTTCACATTATATCTTAAATTCAATAGAATTTGGCAGATCCAGCGTCACAATCTTCGTTGATAACGAAAAACTATTTATCAAAGAACAAGTTTCATCTAGAATCTAGATCACTGGATTTAAATCCGTTAACTTTTCGCCTTCGGGGTTTGGGCTTTATAGACGCGTATTAGGCCTGTACATACTAAATTCTAAAAAATTTCAATTAAAGCGGCTGAAGACTCATTGAGGCTTTTCTAAAAATGAATTTTCAAAATAAGTTTGACACCTTACATCTAGAAAACCAAACAATACCAAGCGTATGAAGTTTCCTTTTTACAATCAACTAAGTAATCACCATCAAAAGTTTGCACAAACCTATACATTTCAAAGAAAATGCCAAACATAAACGAATTTGTTCTTTGAATTGAAGATAATATGCATATCAGTTTGCTTGAACAACTTGTAAGGAATCGCTTAATGATTTCAATGAAAACGAAATTTAGAAGAAGGGTATATTCCATAGGTATTTTTTGATATATTTTAGCAACCACCTTGGGTGATAAAACCGATCAATAAGCCACTACCAGTATCTTGCTTGTTCAGTAAAAATACAGAAATCTCTTTTCCTCTTATGTAATCGTCTGTTGAATAAAAGCAATATATCATCTACGTTTGTTTATGAAACCACCCTAGATGATAAAAGAGGGTATATTTTCGCCGCCACTGTGAGCAAGTCCTTCCAAGAAGGTCAGCCACCAGCTAAATAATAGCAGTTATAAGGGGACGGTAAAGAATTGTCATAAGACCCCTCCAACTTATATTGCCATCGTTCTAGGGTGAGCGTAACTATTGCTTCATTGTCACGACGTATCTGACAGGTGACACTCAATATCTTAATGGATCACCCTCGGGGCACAAGATTCACTAGACAAAACCTCGGCGAAATCGTTCGCAGTCCCTGGCATTTGTCAAATATCCTGTACGGCCTTAGGCATACCTATCTTTATCGGCGTGAAAATGTCTCGATTTCTCACTTTTTGATTTTATTTTATTGATATATTGCTAGCAACAGATGCTGTTGAGGTATGAAATGTCGTATTTAAAAAAAACTGCATTAGGAGCGCTGTAGTTTAATAAAAACTAAAGGATACCAAATAATCAAAAATACATCTTTCCACAGTTTTTTGAGTATTTCTTACGTAAGTGAAACTTTTTTGCAGATTAATAAAACTTTTTTTTTAATTCAGACCTTAAGGTCGAATGCCAAAACCTTTCTTGAAGCCTCATTATTGTGTATTAATGAAGACTAAAAAAATTAACACAGTTATTTCACATATTTGCATTATTGAGAGAAGACAGATAAATAAAATATTGTCAAAAAGTGTCATGTACTGAAGAAAGTATCCGTTGGAACCGAAACGTATAATTAAAGGAGAGTTTTACATTCATGTGGTTTCATTGGGCAGAAAAACATGGGGGATTAAGAAGTGAATTCTTTAAACTTAATGGAGTTACAAACTAGAAACAACCAATGTTAAATATTTCCTGTTATTT